ATAGCCATCGTTTTCACTTTCATGTCCTGTCATATAGACAATGTTATAGCCAACGTTTTCACTTTCATGTCCCATGTCCAGTCATATAGACAATGTTATAGCCATCGTTTTCACTTTCATGTCCCATGTCCAGTCATATAGACAATGTTATAGCCAACGTTTTCACTTTCATGTCCCATGTCCAGTCATATAGACAATGTTATAGACATCGTTTTCACTTTCATGTCCTGTCATATAGACAATGTTATAGCCATCGTTTTCACTTTCATGTCCTGTCAAATAGACAATGTTATAGCCATCGTTTTCACTTTCATGTCCTGTCATATAGACAATGTTATAGCCATCGTTTTCACTTTCATGTCCTGTCATATAGACAATGTTATAGCCATCGTTTTCACTTTCATGTCCTGTCATATAGACAATGTTATAGCCATCGTTTTCACTTTCATGTCCTGTCATATAGACAATGTTATAGACATCGTTTTCACTTTCATGTCCCATGTCCAGTCATATAGACAATGTTATAGACATCATTTTCACTTTCATGTCCAGTCATATAGACAATGTTATAGCCATCGTTTTCACTTTCATGTCCCATGTCCAGTCATATAGACAATGTTATAGCCAACGTTTTCACTTTCATGTCCCATGTCCTGTCATATAGACAATGTTATAGCCAACGTTTTCACTTTCATGTCCCATGTCCAGTCATATAGACAATGTTATAGCCAACGTTTTCACTTTCATGTCCCATGTCCAGTCATATAGACAATGTTATAGCCATCGTTTTCACTTTCATGTCCCATGTCCAGTCATATAGACAATGTTATAGCCAACGTTTTCACTTTCATGTCCCATGTCCTGTCATATAGACAATGTTATAGCCATCGTTTTCACTTTCATGTCCCATGTCCAGTCATATAGACAATGTTATAGCCATCGTTTTCACTTTCATGTCCCATGTCCTGTCATATAGACAATGTTATAACCATCGTTTTCACTTTCATGTCCCATGTCCTGTCATATAGACAATGTTATAGCCAACGTTTTCACTTTCATGTCCCATGTCCTGTCATATAGACAATGTTATAACCATCGTTTTCACTTTCATGTCCCATGTTCTGTCAAATAGACAATGTTATAGCCATCGTTTTCACTTTCATGTCCCAAGTCCAGTCATATAGACAATGTTATAGTCATCGTTTTCAATTTCATGTCCCATGTCCTGTCATATAGACAATGTTATAGCCATCGTTTTCACTTTCATGTCCAGTCATATAGACAATGTTATAGACATCGTTTTCACTTTCATGTCCCATGTCCAGTCATATAGACAATGTTATAGCCATCGTTTTCACTTTCATGTCCCATGTCCAGTCATATAGACAATGTTATAGCCATCGTTTTCACTTTCATGTCCCATGTCCTGTCATATAGACAATGTTATAGCCATCGTTTTCACTTTCACGTCCCATGTCCAGTCATTTAGACATCGTTTTCACTTTCATGTCCCATGTCCTGTCATATAGACAATGTTATAGCCATCGTTTTCACTTTCATGTCCAGTCATATAGACAATGTTATAGCCATCGTTTTCACTTTCATGTCCAGTCATATAGACAATGTTACAGACATCGTTTTCACTTTCACGTCCCATGTCCTGTCATATAGACAATGTTATAGCCATCGTTTTCACTTTCACGTCCCATGTCCAGTCATATAGACATCGTTTTCACTTTCATGTCCCATGTTCTGTCAAATAGACAATGTTATAGCCATCGTTTTCACTTTCACGTCCCATGTCCAGTCATATAGACAATGTTATAGCCAACGTTTTCACTTTCATGTCCCATGTCCTGTCAAATAGACAATGTTATAGCCATCGTTTTCACTTTCATGTCCCATGTCCTGTCAAATAGACAATGTTATAGACATCGTTTTCACTTTCATGTCCCATGTCCTGTCATATAGACAATGTTATAACCATCGTTTTCACTTTCACGTCCCATGTCCAGTCATATAGACATCGTTTTCACTTTCACGTCCCATGTCCAGTAATATAGACATCGTTTTCACTTTCACATTCCATGTCCTGTCCTATAGACTATATCAAGACATCGTTTTCACTTTCACGTCCCATGTCCAGTCATATAGACATCGTTTTCACTTTCACGTCCCATGTCCAGTCATATAGACATCGTTTTCACTTTCACGTCCCATGTCCTGTCATATAGACTATATTAAGACATCGTTTTCACTTTCACGTCCCATGTCCTGTCATATATACATCGTTTTCACTTTCACGTCTCATGTCCTGTCATTTAGACATCGTTTTCACTTTCACGTCCCATGTCCTGTCATATAGACTATATTAAGACATCGTTTTCACTTTCACGTCCCATGTCCAGTCATATATACATCGTTTTTACTTTCAAGTCCCATGTCCTGTTTACTTTCAAGTCCCATGTCCTGTCATATAGACATCGTTTTCACTTTCCAGTCCCATGTCCTGTCATATAGACTATATTAAGACATCGTTTTCACTTTCATTAACTGATTTAGTGAGTACACGTTGTACATCGAGATATCTGATATTCTGAGAAAAGAGTGCTGTTTGGCACAAGTAATATTAATTTTAATTTAATTCAAAGCGATGGTTTCGTTTTGAATATTAGATGGTAGTCAAAAATAGCCATTCTATTAACAGTTAAATGTATAATTGACAAAAAGAAAGTGTAATAACTCTGAAAAAATTACTTGGAACACACTATTGTATTGTGCATATTTTTGCATTCTAGCATTAATTTCTGTGTAAAACCGGTCTGTCCATGCAATACAAGTAGGCTCTGTTCTGGTATTAAACACCCATCCATGGATACAAGCACGCGCGCATATTAGTGTGAAGTGTCACTTTGCGATATTGCGTCATCGCCAAATACAACGGTTACGCACATGTGTGCATATTCTGTTTTAACTTTCAAGGGCCCCCTGTTGGCCACTTTTGGTTTTCTCATCAGTCCCAAAATCAAACGGGCACAATAAGGGACCAAGAAGAACCTACATATGAAATTTGAGATTCATTCAGTTTTTCATGAAAAATAGTGATGAAAAAACTCACTGTAAAATTCCCCGATGAGGACCTGTCAGTCATTCTGTTGTTCTGATCAGGCCCAAAATCAAACAGTCAAAACTAGGATTAAAAGAAACCTTGCGTGTTCTGATCAGTCCCAAAATCAAACAGCTAAAGCTAGGGTTAAAAGAAACCTTGTGTGTTCTGATCAGTCCCAAACTCAAACAGTCAAAACTAGGGTTAAAAGAAACCTTGTGTGTTCTGATCAGTCCCAAACTCAAACAGTCAAAACTAGGGTTAAAAGAAATCTGATGTGTTCTGATCAGTTCCAAAATCAAACAGTCAAAACTAGGGTTAAAAGAAACCTTGCATGTTCTGATCAGTCCCAAAATCAAACAGCTAAAGCTAGGGTTAAAAGAAACCTTGCGTGTTCTGATCAGTCCCAAAATCAAACAGCTAAAGCTAGGGTTAAAAGAAACCTTGTGTGTTCTGATCAGGCCCAAAATCAAACAGTCAAAACTAGGATTAAAAGAAACCTTGCGTGTTCTGATCAGTCCCAAAATCAAACAGCTAAAGCTAGGGTTAAAAGAAACCTTGTGTGTTCTGATCAGTCCCAAACTCAAACAGTCAAAACTAGGGTTAAAAGAAATCTGATGTGTTCTGATCAGTCCCAAAATCAATCAGTCAAAACTAGGGTTAAAAGAAACCTTGTGTGCTCTGATCAGTCCCAAACTCAAACAGTCAAAACTAGGGTTAAAAGAAATCTGATGTGTTCTGATCAGTCCCAAACTCAAACAGTCAAAACTAGGGTTAAAAGAAACCTTACTATGAGATTTGAGAATGATCCATCCAGAACTCCTCCTGAAATAGTGATAGCAAACTTTTATAGTTAAAATCCAAGATGGCTGTCTGTCTGCCATTTTTTCTCCAATTTGTTCCGAAATCAAACGAGCACAACTATGGAGCAATTGAAACCTGCATAAGAAAATTGAGAGAGATCCATTCCTCAAGAAATAGCAATAACCAATCTCGATGTAAAAATCCCAGATGGCCACCAGTCAGCCATTTTGTTTTTCTGACCAGTCCCAAAATCAAATGGGCATAACTAATGAATGAGTGGAAACTACTAATGAGATCGGAGAAATATCCATCCAGTACTTTTCAAGAAATAAATTGTTAAATTTTTCATCAGTTGGTAGGATGTTCATATGTCCTCAAACAGTTCTTGCTTTTGCTACTTCTGGAGAAGTATTTCCAATGGAAGTTTTCAGTTGTGCCCTTTTTGATTTTGGAACTGATCAAAAACATCATGACTGTCAGGCCACCATCTTCCTTGGTCCCTACCTATGCTATTTTGATTGTGAGACTGATCGGGAAAACAAAATGGTTGATAGGTTGCTTTTGTGGCTTTACACGATTTAACTCTATTTCTCAAGAAATATTGGATCTTATTCAAATTTGATACCTGAGTTACTTTTACTTACTAATTGTGCTCTCCTGGTTTTTGGACTGATTAGAAAATCAAATAATTGGATAGTTAAAGGTTCACTATTACCATTTCTTAGCAGGAATTTTAAAATTTAACACTTTTATGAGCAAACACGGAAGAGAGAGGAGAAAAGATCCAACTTTTAAAGAACAAATAAAGATGAAAGATTTTATGACCAGTGGGAGCAACATAGATGATTATCATGGCTGATAAGGGACATGACATGTCCTGGAGTATCAAAATAGGTGTTGTTACGTAACTACCGGAGTAAGATATGTTGACGTAATAATTGTACTTTCTGAAGAATAATAGTCACATGCTAGATTTTCTCTCTGTAATCCACTATGTACAAGTAAACCAATAATGTGGCACCAATTTGCCTAAATTTCTATTTATAGTTTCACCATTAATGTAGACAACACCAAACAATAACTTCAGATAAATTATTCAATATTATTTTAATAGGCAAACATTGACCAGCATCTCTATCATCAGTTAGAATATGATTGAACTTAATGTGTGAAAATTTGCTTAATGATACTGATATGCCTATAGGAGAGAGTTTATATACAAGTACAGTTCATGTATTGTTAATTGTATATATATCTACATGTCACATGTAAACTTTATCTTACAATGTCCTTAATGTTTAGTGGAAGTTTGAGAAACCATCATATTTTTTTTTAATCAAATTATCAAATGAAAACATCTCAAAAAATTTTGACAGATTTTTCAGCATCATCTTGAGATTCAACAGATGGTTTATGAATATAGCTATCTCAAAGTGGAATCCACAGGAAAGTCTGATCTTGATGGTCGATGAATATTGTGTGGTTGTCAATTTTGGCTAACATCAGTTTACATCTGTTATAATTTCCCTGTAGTACACTCTTGGACAGTAAATGATAAATACATAAAGCTTTCCTGAGAAATAACACATCCAGCACACTCAGTCACTTTCACTTCTGTTAAGAAATTGAAAATTAAGAATAATATGATATACACAAATAGCCAACAAAAATTTCTAGAAAAATCAAGAAAATAAATCATAAATTTATTGCATATTAATGAAACCATTAAGTCCTATATGTACGGCATAAACAATCTTACAAAGAAATCTTATACAAATACAGGCAGAATGCAGGGGTTACATGTATACTGGGCAATATAAGCATTTACATATATAAGCACTTTAGGGTAACTATATGAAGCTCAGTAATGTCAAATTGTTCACAAAAATCATTCCTGATTAGAACACACAGCATTTTTTTTTCTTTGTTCATACACAAAGGGCTCCAATTTCAATTTACAATAATCAATCTAATATAATGTTCCTTTAATTTACTGGTATTAAAATGATTTTTCACAATAATAATGACTTCTGCATCAATAATAATAATGATTTCTAGATATAATCTATCCAAGCTACAATCTGTCGGATTTATTTTTCACAATAAAAACAGTAAATGTGATATCAAGGCCAAATGAAATCAGCCTGTAGTTTCTCTGGCAGTATCTATTGTATTTTTTTATGTTTACAATATCTATTTTATCATAAAAAACACTCAAAAATAAAAAGCAGTATTGTGATTCCAGATATTTCCATTCCAATCATTACACATATCACCAGTAATAACATGCAATAGCGAAACCAATCTGTCCTCCATTCAGATGATGATAAGCTGGATAAAAGCATCATTTAAATGGAATCTTATTAACGGATTTACATGTAGTAACAGTATTTGTGTAGAGTTGATCTTAGGAGTTATATGTAGAGGTAGTCACGTCTCTGAGGATGGGAAAACAAACCCAGAACTCCTATTAGAAATGTAAATGGACAAAAGCATGTACTGCATGTTTATTGACAAACTGGACTACTGCTTTCTCTTTTCAAATGAGGTTGCCTGAGAAACTTCAGATTAATTTAAAATGACCACAGTGAAGTACTTCTAACTTTTTATATTTTAACTACAGTTTGCACTGTGCTACATTTATCAAATCATTCAGCTCCTTAGATATATCTTTATATTTTGTAGACTATTTTAAACCTTGATTGAGTCCCTTGAAAAACAGTTTACATTGATATGACACTTCCAAACTCCACAAGTGTGAAGAGGATTTAGGAATGAAGCTCAGAACATAATCTTCTATCAGAATGCATTTGAAACATGACATTGTAAATAACTATTCTGACTGGATACCTGCTCCCTTGTCTCTACATTTTTATATCTTACAAATCTTCAGCTACAATGTTCACGGGTGATATGATAGTTTTCATCCTCTACTCATTCCTCATACTGGTGTTAGAACTGTTGATATTTAGTATTGACACGTGCCATCACAATACAAGGGGGATAACTCCCACACTATTCCATCAAGCCACATCCTAAGGTGATCATGTTGAAGCAGTTGTATCCAACACAGAACAGACAGAATAAAAACGAGACCTTGCTTTCTGATGGAAGTGTTTTGGTATTATTCAAGATTTCAAGTTACTTTCTTTTCTTCACGATTTCTAATTTCCATTCAAATTTCAGGTATTCATGTTTGTCGTCATCAATAAATGTGCTTTTCATGTTGTATACTCCACGAGCTAACATTCCCTTGGGTGCTTCCTCTACACTGGATGTGTAGCATTGCTCATTTTCAGCTGGGCCATAGCTTCCAATCATAATGTTCTTAGTTTCAACTGCAATAAAAATAAAATTTGAGATTGCATTGTTTTTTTTCACCTTCAAATTAACCATGTATTGGACAATATTGAACAGTTTCACTCCACTTCAAAAGAGATTCATTCTGAATATCTTTTATCTTCCAATTATAAAATACTTTCATTGACTTTGCATTTCAGAGCTAAATAGTCTTTAAATCATGGTTGTATATGTTTGGAAGATTCTATTTTTTTTTTTAATTTTTCATAAATGTCTTCCAGAGTACATGTATTTAAGTGTTTATCAAGCAGTTGTCGCAATCAAAACAATCCCGAATTTTTACACCTAAACTCACACTAATTTAACCTAGATACTAAAAGGTGGGGAGTTATGTGTTGCTTTCTCAAGATGAATCAAACTAAGGAATACCTTCATCACTTTATTGGTGATAATTTTAAATTCTAGCATGCACAGGCGACTGTTAGGTAAGGAAAACAAAAACACACAAGTGAATATTTTTTACTTTGGCAGCAATATGTTAGATCTCAAAATTCACACTCAAAGGAAGTTCTTTTTACTTTATAAAGCAAAGTAAACTTATCAAGTGGGTAATGTGAGATTAAAGGATCATAAAATTCACATTTTCTTTCAAACCAAAGAAGACCCTTCCATCCACGATGATTCTATCATATCTTGGACTTGAGAAGAGTTTTTTGAAATTTGAATCAAGTTGACCCGTTTAAGCTCTGCCCATCAGCCACTGGGGTTTAGCCAGAGTCAATATGTGCACACCATTAAAATGTCATCTTATACTAATCATTCTAACCAAGTGTGAATCATTTATAGTAAAAATACAACAAATTATGCTCAAAAATGTTCAATTTTCCTTTAAAAAGTAGAAGTAAATTTCATCCCCTCCCAAGGGAGAAATGCAAAATCCTGAGATCATAAAATTCATAACTTTGCATAAACATCCTCAAACACTTTTATTCCTAAAAAGTATTTGATTTTGCCATATCAGAGTCTTGAGAAAAAGAGTATTTGATTCTGCTATATCCGAGTCTTGAGAAAAAGAGTATTTGATTCTGCCATATCAGAGTCTTGAGAAAAAGAGTATTTGATTCTGCTATATCAGAGTCTTGAGAAAAAGAGTATTTGATTCTGCAATATCCGAGTCTTGAGAAATATGTAAATATAAGTATCAAAGCTTAGTCCTTTTGACCATTTTTGGTTCACCATCATGCTCTTTGGGTGTGGAGACCATAATTTTGGTTCACCTTTTCCATTCAAGGTTTCTATTACAAAATTTCATTAAAATTGGTTTGGGTTTTTTAAAGAAGTCAAAAACATAAATTAGATACAGACACATGCTGGACAATGCCAGAAAAAAATGACTATCGCCAGAGATCACTTGAGACCTTGTCAGGTGATCTAATTATGAAAGCTTGCCTTTTCTATGCAACTTTTTGTCCAATTGCGATTAATGCCATTCCCTAAAATGTTTTAGACCCTACTCCACCTATTAATTCACAAATCTTTTAAATGAAATTTTATTACTACAATACTAAAATTTTCCAATTCATGCTAGAAAAGTATAAAACGTAAAATTTGACAGAAAACCAAAGTGATCATTGATTTCTACAGGTAGTAACATCAGTTGGAGACATCTGAAATGTCAACATCATTAGTAAGTTTTTGGCAAATCACTTTCGTACAAAACACCATGGCCAAGAAACAAACCTGTCAATCCCTTTCGCTTGGCAACTTGTTTATACTTCAAACCTGTCACAATTTCCCTTTGGACATGGAACAAAACAACAATCTTGTATTTACTGTCTTCCACTACTTCAAATGTCGTATTTTTCAAGCTTTCCAAGTCTGCAAAACAAATGTATTAACATCAATAACATCCTAATAAATGGATGTGTTACTAGCTGATTACATGTAACATATTGCTGGGAAATAGTCCTCATTGTGGATCAACCTGGCACCATCTTTATTCTGATATTTAAAATCCTGCTGATAATTAAGTATTTTGGGACCCTTATTGATAAAGCAGTACATCATTGATCTCAAACAATGGCCAGCTGAATTCACACTAGCCGGATACACAGGTAAGAAATACACAAAATCAGATATATTTTCAAGCATAGATGGATAACCGTAAACAAGCCTCGTCTCAAAAGTGTGACAACATTAAAGCCAGTTTTCGAGTGAAATGAGAAAGTAATAAATATTTGATAAATTCTCAAAATCTCAGGTTTTTGCCCTTAAAGCAGTTTTTGATTAGGAAATGTCAATAACATATGCATGCTCGCAATTTCATGCATTGAAGTATTGATGATGGACAATCAATCAATAGTAGTGAGGACCGTAACTAAGGAACCCCGAAACTTGATCTTATCTGAAGTATAATGGAAACTGCTTAATATCAGGTCCCATTTGTCAGGAGATGTGCTAATAAGCAGAGGGTGACAGTCAACACATTATTTCAGATGTCTATACCTTCAAATTAACTTTCTGAAAGGTCAAACTGACTTGTTTCTTACAGAAATTGCCTTCAGACAAAAATTTGTAAATCGATTTGTATTTCCATGAAGTGAAGTGATTTTTCTAAGTTTAATTTGCTCTATGAAATACCTAATCTACTATCATACATTATCGTGATTGATCTTGTCATATTCAGAATTCATGGCCAAATTCATACATAACACTACAGTGTCATAAGTTGTTATTTTACTGCATAATTCATTCATCCATTATTGTGTAGGCTTCACAATAGGGCACCATCACAATATTGATAGCGGACCCTTTGCATATTATCAAAGTCCCTAAGATAGAAAGTTGTTACAGTCAAGACTTGAGTTGGGGTGTGACTGACAAACATTGACAATACTATATAATTATGCATCCCCTTACCTCCTATAATTTGACAAGGAAGTCATGAAAGTAATTGAATTGTTTTGTAAAGTGATATATCCATACTACAATTTAAAGTTATTAAATCTGGATATTTGTGTACACTTTTTTGGTCTTTTTATAACCAAATGCTACATTCAGCATCCCTTATTTCTGTGTTCCTGGACCATGAACTTTGTATTTTTCAAATGTTGGGACTGTTGAGATGACCACAATGTAATGTACACATGTGCATGTAAACATATGTACATGTACAAAGATATTTGGTTAAAAATTGGACTTTCTAAGTAACACAGCCGAACAAAATTTATCAGGAGTAAAATACCCCACAAAATTAAAGTTTACCTTGAAACCTTACCTTTTTCACAGGCAAGACAAAGTTGTTGGTCTCCTGACCTACAACTATGTCGACCTGGGAAAAAGGTAGACAACTGTTCTCAAAATGTTTCAAATACACCGTTAAAAGATCAAACAAAATCTAAACAAAAGAAATTTAATGAAGATAGTACATTATTTCTTGTAAAGACTAATCAGAATTAAATAAGTTATCAGAATACCCACCATATGATAGCGAGCTAAGAATGGAGGGTCATTGATCAATCACACTTACCTTTCAGATCCATGGATATATTTTCCTCTGGTTTGCCCTCTACATGAAGCTCTAGTTTGTTAATTAGAACTTTATTGGGGTTATCTTTGTCTGATAAAAAAAAAATGCATGTTCATCAACAGAAGAGAAGATGATATTATCATTGTAAGTGTGCACTAGAAACTCTTAATAGTGAACTTCATACTATAATGAATCTATTTGAAGTTTCACATTTGTGTCACTCAATTAAAAAACTTTAATAAGCCTTACAAAATAGTGTAAATGTAATACTTGTTTTGCTTGAAGTGGTCAGATGTGACCTTTGTTTGGGTTATGAAGTCGTGAGGATATGACATTTTAGATGGCTTCATTTGAGAAGAACATACTTGTATGTCATTATACGTTACTATTAACATATTCTGTAAGAATAGATATGTGACATTTAATACCAAGTCTTTCATCCCACTAACAACACCTTTCTATATTTGGTTGAAATATACTCATATGTGTATAAAAAAGTTTTGAAGAATGATCTCTATGCTATTGGGCTCTGCCTTTCCCAAGGGGAAGGGGAGATAATACATTTACATAAAATTAAGTCATCTTCATTATCCATTGATCCTCAGATCAAAGTCTTTTACTTAAACAAGTATCAAATATTTGATAATTATATAAAATAGTGCATCAAGCCTTACCAATGACCACATGCAATTTGTCACCCATCAACTTTGACTTATAGTTCCTTAAACTCTCATCATCTTTGTCTGCTTCTAAAATTTCCTGCATGGTTTTTTGCTCAGGAGTTTTATAATATGGGTTGGGTTCCTCATCCTCACAATCATCAATTTCCACCTCATCTATTGGGAGTTCTTGGGCTACCTCTGACTCAGCCATGTTGTCTTTCTCTTGCTAAACTGTAAGTACATAATCATAAATTAAGTGATAATGACCATAGACTTTCCTTCTGTATATAACCTCACGAAACTTTTTGAAAACTCTTCTATGACAAATTAACTCTCTCAGATCACATGATGGATTGAAATTAATGATTTCAGCTTTTGATATGTACCTGTTACACATCTAAGCACCATTTGCTTTTCATTTTACATGAATGGATTAAACTAGTATTGTATGATTAGAATTGAAATTAATATTGGTGGCATAATTTATTTATTAATGGAACAGATTTACTGCTGACAAACACACTTTCTTTACTCTAATTAGAAAATCAAACTTCATACATGTATCTTAATTTTACTGTGGATGCCCATTCATTGATGAACTCAGCCCTCAGTATTGTGAGCTCAAAGTTAAGTAGTAGCACAGAATTCAAAAGATCCATTAGAGTATGCTTTTGACTCCGAAATTTGAGTTCAAGTTTGACTCTTGGGTTTGAATGGACATGATTATATCATATGTTTTGAACCTTTAGATTTTTATTCGAATCCAGCATAGCCAAAGGTTAATGGTCAACTGGATTCCCTGTAGGAGCAATGCATTTGCTCAAATTTGGGATTTAAGTCCAAGCTTAGACCATCCTCGATACTCCACAGTTTATGATTTCTTTCACTCTCTGCACCCTTGGAAATTTGTCATCGCAAAATTGAAAAGTTCCATGTGTGACACCTTGTGGTCAAGATGAAGAGACAGGTTTGATTATTCTATGTACATCAAATAAATCTTGAGATTCCACAACAGTATATTTTAATGGCTATGAAGTTGGGTGTCACTCCTTTGTAGTCTTTGATGCCCATCAGTCTGTAATTGGTAAGGTTTTTCCTTCTCGAACCAATCAAACTACTTTGCTTGTGCCATGATATGTGTCAGGGGTGCAGAGAGCAAAAGAAATGGTAACCTCTGGAGTATCAAGGATGAGCTTAAATTGATATCAGAGCAATCAAGACAAAAATATAATTGTGGTTAGAAAACTAACATCACGCTTGTGCAAGCGGTTTAACCTGAAAAACCCCTAGGGATCTGGACTGAGAATGCACTGCAGAGTATTTGGCATATATAGCTGAAAAGATACATCTGTACCTGTCAGAAACTAACATGCTGAATATCATGAGTTTTCAGAATTTCTGCATAAAGCAGTCAGTGCATGCAACTACTTCCGGAAATGTTACGATATTAAGTATGAATTAGTATGGACAAGAAAGTAAATACCGAATGTGTGCACCTTCAGCCTTACATCTGATGCAGGTGCGATGGTTTATCGTGGAAAAGTTCCGGGTTGCCTGAACCGTTTTAACAGGTTACGCGAAAGCAGTCTTGATGTGACATCAAGGAAAAATTTATATCAATTAAAAGTAACAATGTAACATCAAAAACATTAATTAAATCCAAACCCAGTTCTGAAAAGGACGAAAGAATAGCTCAGGAATCATAAACTACCGTTGTAGCACGCTGCTAAACTTTATAATAACGACTCGAGTTTGATTCATTACGAGCATCTGATCGAAGGCGGAAGTAAAGTTATAACCGGTGCGGTAACGTTCCACCTACTCATCTTTTGAACACTTGTCATCAACAAACGTATACATCATCGAAATAACTATCGAATTGAATATGTCACATGCAAATCAATTAAATACTCGAAAGATACAAGGAAAATGTCACTTCAAATATAATATCTTCCCGACATGACTCACCGGTGCTAGCTTCCTATCGCTCGACAAAGCGTATGAATCATTCAACCATCCGGCTTTTCACTTTTATTCCGCAGAAAATAGTTCGCTGTTGCCTAGCTTGTTATAACAAATAGTTGATGTGTATCGATTTTGATTATTGTGATAATATCGTTAAAGATCACTTAGAAGTTATAAACAACAAACCATTTTATTTTGTTAAAATTTTTGACCACGACTAGAATTATTTAACCCTTTCAATGCGAAAGTTCAAGGCCATTCAGAAGGTGTGTTGTCTGAATCAAGAGGTCCTGTATACAGCATCCCACTTGACTGCCGTTACGTCATCAAGAACTTTACATATTATTCCCTATTTGGTATCTCTATTTAACAAATGTAAGGTTATAAATCTTGACAGTTATGAACAGAAATCAATTTCCCCCCGTACTTTGAACATTTTATCGTGTGTTGTATAGTGTATCAAACCAGAGACGTCTCTGATCAAACTGTCAAATGAAATGCCATTACCGTCCTGTATTACAAAGCGTAACACCTCTGAAAACTAGGGCGCCATGTAAGCTTTAATCCACATGAGGGCATAGAAACCCTACCTACAGGTCCCTCTTTTCTATAGATGTATCTTTTTTTCTTCATACTTCAGTAGGTACTTAACTAACACCTAATATGATATCGGCCACATCACATTGCCCAGAATCCTATATGATATTAGTCATAGGTGTACATTTTATTTATCAGCCGTATAAATGTCACAGAAAAAGTGTTACAGTGTTTCCTAAACGCATTTCATTATTGTTTTCTTATAAGTATTTCAAAACAGTTTTACTCATTTAATTGAAGTCTCTGGCTGTCAACCCATTCCTATTTTCGTATATTTTGGTTCAAAAACCTATATTTTTAAAGACCTGCTATATTTCCTATATTTTCCTATTTTTAAAAAAAGAATATTCCTATATCTTTGAGGAAATTTGTCACCAATAAATGTAGTTATTGTAAATATTTCTTTGATACTGCTGTTGACTTCTTTATTTTACAGGTTAGATAATTCTGAAGTCTTTAACAGCATCACCATCCACCAGAAAATGATTCAGTGCATCTCTTTATCACCTGTATGGACATATTTCAAGGCAGTACAACAGGATATTGGCCTTTTAGGTGTTCATTCAGATGATGACGATGATGATTGAACTATGCAGCAGCTCTCTGCCTGGATTGTGATGCTGTTAAAGTGAATGGTTACTATTGGTTAGTTTTAATCTTTGATTAATAAAGAAACATTAGTGAAGGTAAGAATTGTTGGTATGAATGCCTTTGAATGAAATGACTTTTGTGTGGAAAAACTCCTATATTTTGCCTCAAAACTAGCAAAACACTCCTATATTTGTTGAAAAAATATTCCTATATTTTGAAGAAGACTTGGTTGACAGCCTGAAGTCTTTGAATAGAAATGAATTTTCTTGAATGGAAATATTGGGCAACAGGTGTTGATTGAAGCCAATACATAGAGAATATCCAAGACAGAAACACAGAGAATAAATAAGACAGATACATATATTTCAGACATTACCATGTTATTAGTGAGTGACAATATTCATACAAGAATAATGAAAATCGGTTTGTTATGAAAAAGTGATAACTTTCCAATCGCCAATCTTTGTGACATAAACGACTATGTAGTTAGAAGTAGAAATATATAGCACTGATAAAATTGTTGTGTGAATATGCTTTACAGGAAACAGTAATTTGTATATATGGCCCGAGTGACTTCTGACACATTTGTTGTTTTATTTTGATGAATCTTTGTAAAATGATCAGCCTGTGGTGTGTACATAAGAATTTAAACTTAAAAGAGAGAGCTGGCACTCTAGGGGAGGGATGAGTTGAGGCCTTAAGGGTTCTCAAAGTGAATAGTCTCCAAAAATCCACAGAAACTAGTATGTTTTCTCTAATGCTCCTTTAGGCCTATCTAAACTTTTGCTCCTGATTGAAATGAATTCCACAATTGGCCCTTTGCAAGCAAAAAGTTAGTAGCTTAATGTACTTTTTAGCCGAATTACAAGACAAAGACAGGTCACTAAGTAATCACTGTGGTTAATGTTAAAGGTTAATGTGTGTGTGTTATGCTGAATGTGACAGTCAGTGAGATGTAGTCTATTCAGATTTCTTGTTCAGTGTGCATATAAAATTATAATTAAATTTTTAGGCAAAATAGTAGAAAAAAAAAATTTAATCGTCAATACTTGCTATGTTCCTGTGGAATGATTCATCTGAAGATAATGTTTCTTGAAAAGTCTATCTCAAAGTATTCCAAGAGACATTTTGTAGAGAATGTTATGTAATTAGTAGGATAGTAAAAGAAAAGAGTTTTGATGAACTAGTTGATTTTGTTGTCTTTTTTACAGCTCCATGTTTCCAAAGTTGATATCAGTTCCTCGCTTGTGTAAACATCATCTGAATCAGTTTTTGAAGCAGCATTTTCGTAAATTTGTGACTGCCCCTACATCTTCAGAATCACATGTACCTCGTGTGTGTGTGGTAGGGAGTGGGCCTGCTGGGTTTTATACAGCCCAACAACTCCTCAAGGTATTTATACTGATATATCACCAATTTGCCTTTTATCAAATTTCAGTCGAAATGAGAGATAGAATTATTATGGAGCTTTACAACTGAAAAAAATTAACTCAATGTTATCCACATGCTACTGAAAAATGCAGCGTTTAATGATACACTTATAGTTTGTTTTCATGTCATAGGGCAATCCTGATGTCTTGGTAGATATCTATGAGAAGTTACCAGTTCCATTCGGACTAGTGCGATTTGGAGTAGCACCAGATCACCCTGAGGTCAAGGTAACTCATATTTAAATGTTTACAGTGTTTTTTAAATTGTCTCCAGTTCTCAAGGATACTTTCAGAGATCTTACCTCCAGAAAGGGTTCTGCTACATCCTAACCTAAATAGCACTACCATACAGATGACGCTATGCAAATCCGATCAGTCAAAGCTACACTTTAGGCATGAGTGACAGGTTTAATGAGGTGACCAGTCACATGGTATATGTGATGTCAAGTGATGTCAAACTTACCCTGTCTAATATATAAACAGTCGTGTAGAAGACAGACACTAATCGTGTGATCCTGTTTTTTTGCCCTTGATGTATCATTGTACCAAAATTTGAGCAAGTAATACTGTTTAAATAAAAACAAATTAGTGGTAAATCTACATTGACACAGCATATATTGAAATATGACAAAAGTTTGTTATTTTTTATTAAGATTTGGATATCACTTTGATTCCAAGGTATTGTTAGTAAGTGTATATCTGTGTGTGGAGATCCAATACACAGTAATGTATGTTTTGTAACAATCGATGAGTGCATTTTGATGACATTTGCTATCACAAAATTTCCCACCATGAAAAGTCTTTTTAAAAGTAATAATTAACCACAGTTATTCTAGATAGTGGCTATGAATCATCAAGGTCATTCCCATAACTGTGGTGTATGAATGTTGCTTCCCTTTCAGAATGAAGGTCACTGTATCAAGACATTAATTTGAGACCTTGATGATGGAAATGTAATATTACCTACACATGCATATATATCAGAGTGATTGCTGGTCATGTGGTATAATTTCTGATATTTGAGCTAGTGTCCTCATCAGCTACCTATTGTATATGTAAAGACAATATCTTTAAAGAGGAATTAAGTTCAATCAACAGATAAAATCACTGAAGAAGTATTAGAAGAATATTTCTAAATGTCTTGCAACATGCACATTGTCATGGTGAGGGCAGTGCAATTCTTTGCTTTTTTGTGAAAATAATGTTTCTGTTTTTCACAGAATGTGATCAACACTTTCACTAAAACAGCCCAGTCAGAAAGGTGTTCCTTTATTGGCAATGTAGAGGTGGGAAGGGATGTAACTTTGCAACAACTTAGGGATGCATATTCAGCTGTTGTGCTTGTAAGTATGTACTCTAGCAAATATGTTAGCACAACAGTAAACACAACAGTAATACTTGTATGTACACCAGATATCACACCTGTATTAATAGTATGTACACCAGATATCACATCTGTATTACTAGTATGTACACCAGATATCACACTTGTATTACTAGTATGTACACCAGGTATCACATCTGTATTACTAGTATGTACACCAGATATCACACCTGTATTACTAGTATGTGCACTAGATATCACACCTGTATTATTAGTATGTACACCAGATATCAAACCTGTATTACTAGTATGTACACCAGATATCAAACCTGTATTACTAGTATGTACACCAGATATCACATCTGTATTACTAGTATGTACACCAGATATCACACTTGTATTACTAGTATGTACACCAGATATCACACCTGTATTACTAGTATGTACACCAGATATCACACCTGTATTACTAGTATGTACACCAGATATCACATCTGTATTACTAGTATGTACACCAGATATCACACCTGTATTACTAGTATGTACACCACATATCACATCTGTATTACTAGTATGTACACCAGATATCACACCTGTATTACTAGTATGTACACCAGATATCACATCTGTATTACTAGTATGTACACCAGATATCACACCTGTATTACTAGTATGTACACCAGATATCACACCTATCACACCTGTATATGTACACCAGTATATCACCTGTATTACTAGTATGTACACCAGATATCACACCTGTATTACTAGTATGTACACCAGATATCACACCTGTATTACTAGTATGTACACTAGATATCAAACCTGTATTACTAGTATGTACACCAGTATATCACATCTGTATACACTAGTAAACATGTAGCTACACCAGTAAACATATCACACCTGTATTACTAGTATGTACACCAGATATCACACACTGTATTACTAGTATGTACACCAGTACACTGTATTACTTTCTATATGTACACCAGATATCACATATGTATTACTAGTATGTACACCAGAAATCACAGCTACACCAGTGTATTACTAGTAGTACACCAGATATCACACCTTGTATACACCAGTAAACATATATGTACACCAGATATCACATTTCTATAATACTTGTAGCTATTACTAGTATGTACACCAGATATCACACCTGTATAATACTTGTATGTACACCAGTAAACATTTCTATAATACTTGTATGCTACACCAGTAAACATATAATACTTGTATACACCAGTAAACATTTCTATAATACTTGTAGCTACACCAGTAAACATTTCTATAATACTTGTAGCTACACCAGTAAACATAAACATATAATACTTGTAGCTACACCAGTAAACATATCTATAATACTTGTAGCTACACCAGTAAACATTTCTATAATACTTGTAGTAAACATACTTGTAGCTACCAGTAAACATATCTAGTAAACATAAACATATATATACTTGTAGCTACACCAGTAAACATTTCTATAATACTTGTATGTACACCAGTAAACATTTCTATAATACTTGTAGCTACACCAGTAAACATATCTATAATACTTGTAGCCAGTAAACATTTCTATAATACTTGTAGCTACACCAGTAAACATTTCTATAATACTTGTAGCTACACCAGTAAACATATCTATAATACTTGTAGCTACACCAGTAAACATTTCTATAATACTTGTAGCTACACCAGTAAACATTTCTATAATACTTGTAGCTACACCAGTAAACATTTCTATAATACTTGTAGCTACACCAGTAAACATTTCTATAATACTTGTAGCTACACCAGTAAACATTTCTATAATACTTGTAGCTACACCAGTAAACATTTCTATAATACTTGTAGCTACACCAGTAAACATTTCTATAATACTTGTAGCTACACCAGTAAACATTTCTATAATACTTGTAGCTACACCAGTAAACATTGTAGCTACACCAGTAAACATTTCTATAATACTTGTATGCTACACCAGTAAACATTTCTATAATACTTGTAGCTACACCAGTAAACATTTCTATAATACTTGTAGCTACACCAGTAAACATTTCTATAATACTTGTAGCTACACCAGTAAACATATCTATAATACTTGTAGCTACACCAGTAAACATTTCTATAATACTTGTAGCTACACCAGTAAACATTTCTATAATACTTGTAGCTACACCAGTAAACATAATACTTGTAGCTACACCAGTAAACATTTCTATAATACTTGTAGCTACACCAGTAAACATTTCTATAATACTTGTAGCTACACCAGTAAACATTTCTATAATAAGCTACACCAGTAAACATTTCTATAATACTTGTAGCTACACCAGTAAACATATCTATAATACTTGTAGCTACACCAGTAAACATATCTATAAGAATTGCTGCCACATCAGTAAACATTTCTATAATACTTGTAGCTACACCAGTAAACATATCTGTAATACTTGTAGCTACACCAGTAAACATTTCTATAAGAATTTCTGCTACATCAGTAAACATTTCTATAATACTTGTAGCTACACCAGTAAACATATCTATAATACTTGTAGCTACACCAGTAAACATTTCTATAATACTTGTAGTAACCACATTTCTATAATACTTGTAGCTACACCAGTAAACATTTCTATAATACTTGTAGCTACACCAGTAAACATTTCTATAATACTTGTAGCTACACCAGTAAACATTTCTATAATACTTGTAGCTACACCAGTAAACATATCTATAATACTTGTAGCTACACCAGTAAACATTTCTATAGTAATTGTAGCTACACCAGTAAACATTTACTATAATACTTGTAGCTACACCAGTAAACATATTATAATACTTGTATACACCAGTAAACATTTCTATAATAATTGTACACCAGTAAACATTTCTATAATACTTGTAGCTACACCAGTAAACATATCTATAATACTTGTAGCTACACCAGTAAACATATCTATAAGAATTGCTGCCACATCAGTAAACATATCTGTAATACTTGTAGCTACACCAGTAAACATATCTATAATAATTGTTGCTACACCAAAACATATAATAATTGTAGCTACACCAGTAAACATACAAACATATCAGTAAACATTTCTATAATACTTGTAGCTACACCAGTAAACATATCTATAATACTTGTAGCTACACCAGTAAACATATCTATAATAATTGTTGCTACACCAGTAAACATTTCTATAATACTTGTAGCTACACCAGTAAACATTTCTATAATACTTGTAGCTACACCAGTAAACATATCTGTAATACTTGTAGCTACACCAGTAAACATATCTATAATACTTGTAGCTACACCAGTAAACATTTCTATAATACTTGTAGCTACACCAGTAAACATTTCTATAATACTTGTAGCTACACCAGTAAACATATCTATAATAATTGTTGCTACACCAGTAAACATTTCTATAATACTTGTAGCTACACCAGTAAACATATCTATAATACTTGTAGCTACACCAGTAAACATATCTATGATACTTGTAACTACACCAGTAAACATATCTATAATAATTGTTGCTACACCAGTAAACATTTCTATAATAATTATAGCTACACCAGTAAACATATCTATAATAATTGTTGCTACATCAGTAAACATTTCCATTAAACTTATAGGTACATGTTTAAACACTTCTATGATACTGTTACTTAATCAAGTCCTTTTAACCTTGCTCTAGTCATTTTACACACGCCTCGCTCCTTACGGGATAACATTGTGATTACCAATAAGTAAACAAGTTCTAATTGGTCAATGAAAGAGAAATAAACTGGTCACTATCCAATGATCTCCCTCCTATAATACACAGCTGCATTTTGATCACTTTGCAAATGCTGTAAAATACATGTGCTCACAAATAACTCTTTTTCCTATAGAAACAACTAGCACATGTCTCTGTGTGACAGACACTCTCATTTAGACTTGTAAACACTACCTTCATACTTGTAGTCACAATTGTCCTGATGGTTTTCAATATTTAAATCTCTATATCTTGCTGGTTTGTGTTGATTATTTTCCTAATTGTGTGGTGGCCAACATTCTTTTTATTACATAACTTCTCTCTGTTTCAGGCATATGGTGCTGATGATGACAAGGCACTAGGAGTCCCAGGGGAGGTAACTCAGTTAATTTAAGAATATGAAACACTTTTAACTAGTCAAATACATCTTTAAAGTCCTATCACACTGTCCTGTTATCCAGTCACCCTGTCTGAACAACTGATAGCCATTAGCTCTTGCTGCCTAGAAGTTTCAATACAACATAAAGTATAAAGTTTCCAGATTTCCCAGAGGCAATTCTACATTAGCATTTATGATATCAATATTCTGGTTATACCTGTAGGATGATGTAATGATATCAATATTTTGGTTATACCTTTATGATTATATAATGATATCAGTATTCTGGTTATACCTGTACAGGATTTGGACAACGTTGTATCGGCGAGATCATTTGTTGGATGGTTCAATGGACTTCCCCAAGACAGAGATGTAAGTAAAATAGTACAGCTGCTGATGTTTCTACAAAGTCATTGTAGTCTCTACAAGTCAAGTCAAATAAATTGTTGTTGTCCTAGAATTGACGATGGTTCAGAGTAACACATTGTTTTATGGTGTAGTTGAAGGTAGATCTGAGTGCAGAGAGAGCAGTCATTCTCGGACAAGGAAATGTGGCTTTAGATGTGGCTCGGATCCTCCTCACTCCAGTTGACATACTAAAGGTAACACACCTTCAGTGGGTATCATACACTGTGTTTTCTGGGCTATAAGCTGCAAAGCCAATTTTTAATGGTTCTTTTTCTATCTACATATCTACACATCTACATATTAGCTGCACCAGAATATATGTTCTACCCTTCCTTACAATAACTGTTATGTTGACCAAACAGGCTATTGAAAACTTTCATTATGATTTCCGAAGCAACCACAAGATATCAGTGTGATTAATGAAAAATCTATTTTTATAATTAATCTTGAAATCATCCTGTATACGACTGGAAATGATGGTTCTAGACAATATATTGCAGTCACAAACACTCAAAATGGGAACAGCCTCGTACTGGTACATTTCATTCTAAACTTTTTTAGCCCACCATCTATTCAAATAGATGGTGGGTTATTCAAATCGCCCTGCGTCCGTGGTCCGTGGTCCGTCCGTCCGTAAACAATTCTTGTTACCGCTATTTCTGGAAAAGTACTGGATGGATCTTTCTCAAATTTCTCAAACTTTTACATCCAAAATCCAAGATGGCCACCTGTCGGCCATCTTGAATTTGAATCAGTCCAAAAAAGGTACAATGCACAACAAGGGACCAAGGGGAACCTGCATATGAAATTTAAAAGATTGTTATCCTATTACATTCCAAGAAATAGCAGTAACAAACTTTTACATCCAAAATCCAAGAGGCCACCTGTCGGCCATCTTGAATTGTCATTGTCCTTTTTTGGTACAATGCACAACAAGGGCCCAACAGGGGAACCTGCATATGAAATTTGAAAAGTTTGTTACAGCTATTTCCAAGAAATATTAGTAACAAACTTTTACATCCAAAGTTCAAGATGCCACCTTCCCATCTTGGTCCCTTGTTGTGCATTGTACTAAGGGGAACCTTTTGAAATTTGACTGATTCATCCAGTACTTTCCAAGAAATAGCAGTAACAAACTTTTACATCCAAAAAAAAGTTTGTTACTGCTATTTCTTGGAAAGTACTGGATGGATCTTTCTCAAATTTCATATGCAGGTTCCCCTTGGTCCCTTGTTGTGCATTGTACCTTTTTTGGACTGATTCAAATTCAAGATGGCCGACAGGTGGCCATCTTGGACTTTGGATGTAAAAGTTTGTTACTGCTATTTCTTGGAAAGTACTGGATGGATCTTTCTCAAATTTCATATGCAGGTTCCCCTTGGTCCCTTGTTGTGCATTGTACCTTTTTTGGACTGATTCAAATTCAAGATGGCCGACAGGTGGCCATCTTGGATTTTGGATGTAAAAGTTTGTTACTGCTATTTCTTGGAAAGTACTGGATGGATCTTTCTCAAATTTCATATGCAGGTTCCCCTTGGTCCCTTGTTGTGCATTGTACCTTTTTTGGACTGATTCAAATTCAAGATGGCCGACAGGTGGCCATCTTGGATTTTGGATGTAAAAGTTTGTTACTGCTATTTCTTGGAAAGTACTGGATGGATCTTTCTCAAATTTCATATGCAGGTTCCCCTTGGTCCCTTGTTGTGCATTGTACCTTTTTTGGACTGATTCGAATTCAAGATGGCCGACAGGCAGCCATCTTGTTTTTTTGAAGTAAAAGTTTGTTACTGCTATTTCTTGGAAAGTACTGGATGGATCTTTCTCAAATTTCATATGCAGTTTCCCCTTAGTCCCTAGTTGTGCATTGTACCTTTTTTTAAACTGATTCGAATTCAATATGGCAGGCAGGTGGCCATCTTGGATTTTGAATGTAAAAGTTTGTTACTGCTATTTCTTGGAAAGTACTGGATGGATCTTTCTCAAATTTCATATGCAGGTTCCCTTTGGTTCCAAGTTGTGCATTATACCTTTTTGGACTGATCCGAAATCAAGATGGCTGACAGGCAGCCATCTTGGATTTTGAGAGTAAAATCTTGTTACTGCTATATCTGAGGAAGTCCAGGATGGATCCTTCTGATATTTCATAGATATTGGTTTCCCTTGGTCCCTAGTTGTGCATTGTACCTTTTTTGGACTGATTTGAAATCAAGGTGGCCCACAGGCAGCCATCTTGGATGTCGACAGTAATACAGCACAAGCATATTGTCCATTATTAACCTGTAACTGACTGCCATCTAATAATTCTTTGGGATCTTTTTCAAATGATATTTGCTAATAGGTGCTTAATAAAAATATCTTGTGCCATCATTGAGTACATTCAATGAAGACCAGTTCATGAACATTTACAACACCTGTAACAAACAAAAAAATCTTCAAGAACTGAAAACAGATCCTCAAATGGTGGGCGCCAAGATCCCTCTTGGATCTCTTGTTTTTTCATTCAGCTGATTTTTTTTCATCCACATATAAGGCGCATTGGTATATGAGCTGCACGCCCACCACAAAAGGAAAATGGTGCAGCTTGTGATCTGGAAAATTCAGTAAATCTCTAATACATGATAATAATCTCAAGGTAACTTTCATGTGTGCTGTAACAGCTCCTCCATTGAAAACATCAAGATTACCCATTCACTAGTTTGTGTTACATTAGATACAGGATGTTTGCACACATTCAACCTTATATATAAACACTTTATATTGAGTTAACAGAGGTGATATCATCATTCCAGAAAACAGATATATCCCAGCATGCCCTTGATGCTCTTTCAAATAGCAGTGTAAAAGAAGTGCTGTTGGTTGGTCGGCGAGGACCATTACAAGTTGCCTTCACTATCAAGGAATTGCGTGAAATGATCAAAATTCCAGACTGTTGGCCAAATCTCACTCCTGAAGACTATCTTGGACTCCAAAATCTAATACCAGGTAAAATGATGATCATTATCGTTTTCCTGTTCTCAAAGAAAGCAACAGACCAGTAATACAACTGCTGCTACAGATGCTGCTAACAATAGATATGAATGCTTTGGTGTATCCTGTTCTTTTACTAGGGGCTAATTCAGTAAAAAATTGATCTGACCCCAGGACTCCAAACTATCACTTCAATTTATAGTTCAGTTTCCTGCATATTGCTTCTGTTACTACCTGCTAAGTATCAATATAATTTCATGGGTAATACCCCAAAACAAAACTTGTAGTCCAGGAATGGGATAGATGATTCACTGGAATAGTGCTAAACATAACCTTGAGTCCAGTTCTGAGATAGATGATTCACTGGAATAGCCCTAAACAAAACTTGTAGTCCAGGAATGGGCTAGATGTTTCACAGGAATAGCGCTAAACATAACCTTGAGTCCAGTTCTGAGATAGATGTTTTACTGGAATAGCCCTAAACATAACCTGAAGTCCTGGAGGTGAGATAGATGTTTTACTGTAATAGCGCTAAACATAACCTGGAGTCCTGGGGTGGGAAAATATTTTACTGGAATAGTCCTAAACAAATAATTGAGTCCTGGGATGGGATGGGTGTTTTACTGGAATAGCAGTAAACAAAACCTGGAGTCCATGGGTAGGATAATGTTTTACTGGAATAAGCATCATGAATAAGAAGGGATTACTTCATTACTCTTAAGCATCATTTGGGTAAAGAAGTTATAACAATTGTACCATATCTTTATGCCACTGATGTAGACCTGCCACGCCCGAGGAGACGATTGACATAGGCCTGCCACGCCCGAGGAGACGATTGACAGAACTATTAATAACACTTGTACCATATCTTTATGCCGCTGATGTAGACCTGCCACGCCCGAGGAGACGATTGACATAGGCCTGCCACGCCTGAGGAGACGATTGACAGAACTATTAATAACACTTGTACCATATCTTTATGCCATTGATGTAGACCTGCCACGCCCGAGGAGACGATTGACAGAACTATTAATAACACTTGTACCATATCTTTATGCCAATGATGTAGACCTGCCACGCCCGAGGAGACAATTGACAGAACTATTAAAAACACTTGTACCATATGTTTATGCCATTGATGTAGACCTGCCACGCCCGAGGAGACGATTGAGAGAACTATTAATAACACTTGTACCATATGTTTATGCCATTGATGTAGACCTGCCACGCACGAGGAGACGATTGACAGAACTATTAATAACACTTGTACCATATCTTTATGCCAATTATGTAGACCTGCCACGCCGGAGGAGACGATTGACAGAACTATTAATAACACTTGTACCATATGTTTATGCCACTGATGTAGACCTGCCACGCCCGAGGAGACGATTGACAGAACTATTAATAACACTTGTACCATATCTTTATGCCAATGATGTAGACCTGCCACGCCCGAGGAGACGATTGACAGAACTATTAATAACACTTGTACCATATCTTTATGCCACTGATGTAGACCTGCCACGCCCGAGGAGACGATTGACAGAACTATTAATAACACTTGTACCATATCTTTATGCCATTGATGTAGACCTGCCACGCCCGAGGAGACGATTGACAGAACAATTAATAACACTTGTACCATATCTTTATGCCAATGATGTAGACCTGCCACGCCCGAGGAGACGATTGACAGAACTATTAATAACACTTGTACCATATGTTTATGCCAATGATGTAGACCTGCCACGCCCGAGGAGACGATTGACAGAACTACTCTACAAAACGGCACATGAGCCTACTGATGTAGATAGGAAATTATGGGCAAATGCCAAACGGGAATGGAAACTTCGTTTCCTGAGGAGTCCATTACATATTTATGGAGAAACTACGGTCAAAGGGATCAGATTTGCAATCAATAGACTTGAGGTATGCCTTTTTTTACTGTCCACAATGTCAGGATTTGATTATAAGTATAAAAGGAACAGGAAAACTAGCATACCCTGCCCTCTCCTAACAAAGAGGTGTGTCTGTAAGTAAAGGTTTGGAAAGTTGCAATGTAGCATACCCTGCCCTCTCCTTACAGTGAGGTGTGTCTGTAAGTAAAGGTTTGGAAAGTTGTGATGTAGCATACCATGCCCTCTCCTAACAAAGAGGTGTGTCTGTAAGTAAAGGTTTGGAAAGTTGCGATGTAGCATACCATGCCCTCTCCTAACAAAGAGGTGTGTCTGTAAGTAAAGGTTTGGAAAGTTGCAATGTAGCATACCCTGCCCTCTCCTTACAGTGAGGTGTGTCTGTAAGTAAAGGTTTGGAAAGTTGTGATGTAGCATACCATGCCCTCTCCTAACAAAGAGGTGTGTCTGTAAGAAAAGGTTTGGAAAGTTGCAATGTAGCATACCCTGCCCTCTCCTTACAGTGAGGTGTGTCTGTAAGTAAAGGTTTGGAAAGTTGTGATGTAGCATACCATGCCCTCTCCTAACAAAGAGGTGTGTTTGTAAGTAAAGGTTTGGAAAGTTGTGATGTAGCATACCATGCCCTCTCCTAACAAAGAGGTGTGTCTGTAAGTAAAGGTTTGGAAAGTTGTGATGTAGCATACCATGCCCTCTCCTAACAAAGAGGTGTGTCTGTAAGTAAAGGTTTGGAAAGTTGCGATGTAGCATACCATGCCCTCTCCTAACAAAGAGGTGTGTCTGTAAGAAAAGGTTTGGAAAGTTGCGATGTAGCATACCATGCCCTCTCCTAACAAAGAGGTGTGTCTGTAAGTAAAGGTTTGGAAAGTTGTGATGTAGCATACCATGCCCTCTCCTAACAAAGAGGTGTGTCTGTAAGTAAAGGTTTGGAAAGTTGCGATGTAGCATACCATGCCCTCTCCTAACAAAGAGGTGTGTCTGTAAGTAAAGGTTTGGAAAGTTGTGATGTAGCATACCATGCCCTCTCCTAACAATGAGGTGTGTCTGTAAGTAAAGGTTTGGAAAGTTGTGATGTAGCATACCATGCCCTCTCCTAACAAAGAGGTGTGTCTGTAAGTAAAGGTTTGGAAAGTTGCGATGTAGCATACCCTGCCCTCTCCTAACAAAGAGGTGTGTCTGTAAGTAAAGGTTTGGAAAGTTGCGATGTAGCATACCCTGCCCTCTCCTAACAAAGAGGTGTGTCTGTAAGTAAAGGTTTGGAAAGTTGCGATGTAGCATACCCTGCCCTCTCCTTACAATGAGGTGAGTCTGTAAGTAAAGGTTTGGAAAGTTGTGATGTAGCATACCATGCCCTCTCCTAACAAAGAGGTGTGTCTGTAAGTAAAGATTTGGAAAGTTGCGATGTAGCATACCCTGCCCTCTCCTTACAATGAGGTGAGTCTGTAAGTAAAGGTTTGGAAAGTTGCGATGTAGCATACCCTGCCCTCTCCTAACAAAGAGGTGTGTCTGTAAGAAAAGGTTTGGAAAGTTGTGATGTAGCATACCCTGCCCTCTCCTTACAATGAGGTGTGTCTGTAAGTAAAGGTTTGGAAAGTTGCGACATAGCATACCCTGCCCTCTCCTAACAATGAGGTGTGTCTGCAAGTAAAAGTTTGGACAGTCCCGGTGTAGTATGATTAAGTGAAGCCCATGGTAAAGTGAGTTGCAGTTCACTTCACCATTATGGTGAAATAATATGATTATTGGTAAAGTGAAGCATTTCTCTTTTTTCTTACTAATTAACTTAAAATCTCCCTATGTCTATTCATCCATCCATACAAATTTTTTTATATCACTTTTTATTGATGGATCAAATTTCATATGTGGGTTGCCCTTAGTCCTTAGTTGTGACTGTTTGATTTTTCGAATGATCAGAAAAACAAAATGGCTGACAAGTGGCCATCTTGGATTTTTTCAGTGAAATTTGTCATCGCTATTTCTTGAGAAGTGCTAGATGGATCTTTCTAAAATTTCATATGTTAGTCCCCCTTGGTCCCTAGTTGTGCTGGTTTGATTAAGGGTCTAATCAGAGAAACAAAATGGCAGACAGGTGGCCATCTTGAATTTCACCTAGTAAAGTTGTTATTGTTATATATTGAGAAGCACTCAATGATCTCTCTCAAATTTCATATGTAGGTTCCCCTTGGTCCCTAGTTTTGCTCTTTTGATTTTAGGAATGATTAGAAAAGCAAAAAGGCTTACAGGTGGCCATCTTGGATTTTGACTTTGAAAGTTTGTTATCACAATTTCTGGAGAACTACAGCATAGATCTTTTTCCAATTTCATGTATAGGTTGCCCTGGGTCCCTGGTTATTCCCCTTTGATTTTAAGTGTGATCAGAAAAAAAGAGAAGAGAGGAGAAAAGAAGGAAAAAGATTCAACTTTCAAAGAACAAAATAAATAAAGATCAAACAATGATGGCCGCTAATATCCCTTTAGGATCTTTTGTTAACCTATGTTATTTCCTTGATACCCTGATTCATTCATTTAAACACATCAATAACAAAAAATGTGTCTGGGATGGTGTTCACTTTTCCATTTCCAAATTTTATATGTAGGTTCTGTTTGGTTCCTAGTTATGCATTGTTCAATTCAGTTTGGACAATTATTGTTATTTCTTAAAAGGATCATATAATTAGAGCAAGAACAGAGGAAAGAATAGGAAAGAAGGGAAGGAAAGAATGGAAATAGATTAAAGAAATAAAGACCAAACAATGGTGGGCACCATGTTCCCTCCTAAGTCTCTTGTTATAAACTACATAAAACAGTCTGAATAATTCATCCTTTAGAGCAGACAACTGTATGATGGAGGAAACACATCAAGGTGACTTTTATATTGTCAGGGAGATGACCTAGTTGAGAAGAAAGCTGTCCTTTCAAAGGAAACAGAAGACATAGACTGTGGTCTGGTAAGAAAATCTTTGTGAGGTACCATCTGCAAGAATTCCCGAAAATTGCATTGTAATATATCGATAGGTAGTTGAATGTGACAGGAATCTTCAATTGAATATCAACATCTTGATTCCATTGTTTATTTCTGTTTCAGTAAGCTATCCTAGCCATCATCAGAGCAACAATATTGATATAACCTGCCCATGTTAAATATATGTTAATGTAACGATTAGAATGGACAACCAGTTAAAAATAGAACATATTTGTATGAACATACAATATATGAATATAAATAAACAGTAAACAAAAGGCACAGGATGCTGATATAGAGCCTGTAGCATTCTGGGATAAAGTGCTAAGTTTGTTAATATTATTGATCTTGACCCAATCTCAAAATCACATGGGTCAATTCTTCCCAATAGCAAAAAGGCCTAGGGTGCTGATATTGGGGTCTAAGGTAAAGGCAAAGATCACCCCTGCTACATAAAGAAAATCGTCAGCTGATTCAACACTGAAACTGATTTCACTTCGGGTCGGAGGCATTTATGTCTTGCAGACAATTGCTTGTTATTTGTATTACAAAATTATCTGGAATAAATGCTGTTTTCTAGTCTTTTATTTTTTGTCTATTGATTCTTTAGGTGCTGAGGAGTATAGGCTACCGGAGTGTAGCTATTGACAAGGACATTCCTTTTAACTTTACAAAAGGGGTAATCTCCCATACACAGGGAAGAGTTGAGGGAATCACTGGTGAGTTAATATAGAGAAATGTGTGATCTCTGATACACAATGAAGAGTTAAAGGAAAGTGTGATAGCTAGAGTTGTGGAAAGTTATCAAATAGAAAGATACTATCTCTTATTCACAGAAAAGTTGAGAGAAACACTGGTGAATTAAAATTGAGAAAGGTGTGATTCCTAATACAAAGAAAAAATTAAGGGGTGACAACAGAATTATATACAGAATATACACATGGCCTAAGTTAGGGACCATCAATTCTCGTATGAAAATTTTAATTAAAATACTGATATATGTCAAGGTTTTTGAATGGTTCAAGATGTCATGACATACAGGACATTTTAATGTCAGACATTCTGATATTTCTTCATTAATGTAAGAACCAAATTGGAATGTTGACAAGCCATTCGGATATGGCAGACCTCAAAAGACTTCAGATAAACTTCTGTAAAGATAGACAAGATGGGCCTAATTCACCATTGATGACAGGCTCAGAGGACAGTGGAATATCGGTGTTCATGTTAGCCTGTGTACCCTTCAGACGAATAAAATGGCAACCTCACTCTCGCCAACCAGTGCATCATCTTTTGTGGACTGGAAGGCAAACACAAGCAAGACTGCAATGGGCACAAGATCACTGGACATGGAATATTAGGTTTTGACAAAGAGTCTACTGGTCTGATGAAAGCAGCTTTTCACTTAGTTCAATATATGGCAGGGTCAGTGTTTGGAGATCAAGAAATACAGCACACCATCAGCATCATATTGTGGGCCTAACAGTATTTGGTGGTGTTGATGCTACTATATGGGCATGCTTTTCTCTAAACTGTACGCTTTGCTTAACTTACATGTTCTTGATGGAACAGATGTACCATGAGCAGATCCTTTACATATTGAGTGCACATCCAGTGTCAAAATGGCCTATCCTAATGGATGACAATGCCAAACCACACAGAGCCCCCTAGTGCAATCTTCAAAAAGAAGTGACAGAAATGCTCCTATGGCCTGCGATGTCACCAGACATTAACCAAATTGAGTATGTATTTGTCGATTTTGGACAGAGTCAATGCATGGGATACGGAACTCAAAGCAATTGGAAAATAATGGTCTGCATTGATACAGGAGAAATTTAAGGTGTCCTCTGAACAGCCTTGGGTGTAAGGTCGATGATATTAGACAATGGGCTCAAGAATTTTACAAGAAGTGTGATGACTACCCAATATTAAGAACTCGTTGATTCGTTAATGTCATTGATGACGTAACTTGTTTTGATGATTTGATGACGTATCTGTTAAAAAGAGACTGTTAAATTCAAACCCTTTTTCTAGAATTTTGGAATTCCTTTTTGAGCATGTCTTTTTAAAATAATACAGCACATCTGGTGCTGTGAATTTCTTTTTCTATTGACTGTGTAAAGTTTCATTAGATGCCTAAAAAACATTTCTATATACATGTATCATGTTGAGTTGTTAATGAATATCTTCCTTAAATACCTTTTATAGTGAACAAAGTTAAGCTCAATTAAGGTATGTGCGGTCCCTTACGTATGGCCAAGTGGATATATGAGGATAAAATTCAGATCAGAGATTTCAGGACAGAGAAGTATATTCCTGAAGGTAACATGTCAAGTAGACAGAATACTTTTGAATGTATAGACCTGATACACTTATGTTGTAGGTGTTTACTGTAGTGGATGGGTTAACACAGGCCCTGTAGGAGTCATTTTGACCACAATGACCAATGGTTTTGACATTGGCAAGACTGTCATCCAGGACCTATCTAATGGTGTGCTAGAGGTGTCTGGTAAACAGGGCAAGGAAGACATACTTCCTCAGCTACAAAAATCAGGTATACTTTAGAAACCTATAGAGAATTTTACATAGAAATAAATTATTTCTTGGAAACCTACAGAGAAATTTATATAGAATTCAGGTATACATTGAAAACCTAGAGAATTTTATATAGGAATCAGGTATATATTTGTAACCCAGAGAATTTTAAACAACAAACATTAGGAAACAATGAATTATTCAGAGTACTCTCCCTTGCATTGCTTATGTTACATTTTGCTGGATGTACATTTGTTATAGTATTGATGAGAGTAACTTCCTTAATGACTTTAAATGTCATTTACATAATACAAATTGAATGTATATATATCTAAATGTTTCATACTGGTCATATTGGTCACAGTTAAAACTTTATCAAAATTGTCAGCTTGCTTTTGGCAGAGACGTATATATCACATGTGATATATACGTCTCTGCTTTTGGGAAAGTAAGTTAATATTCCAGTATTGACACCAATAAGAAAAATGGTCAACACTGAATAGTCAGATGATGGTTTTTGTTACAGGGATCCAAGTTGTGCATTTTTCTGACTGGAGGAAGATAGATGAAGTTGAAGTGAAAAATGGCAAAGATTGTGGAAAACCAAGAGAAAAATTTGTAGACATTGACACCATGTTAAAAATTGCCTCTTCGACTGTATAGATACATAACAATTGATTATATCTTCACCTTGTGAATTGATATTCCACTGTGAAGTTTTAATAATTCTCAGAAGTTTACATGTACTTGTAAAAGAAAACTACCAATAGGAACAGGGTAATTTATTCTGTAAAATGCACAGCTTTAAAACCTGAAAATTTAATAAATTAATAAAAAAAAAACCATTTTACATAATAAAAGGAGTAATGTTTACAAAAGCTAGGAACAATAGAAACAAGAAACTGTCACAGAATTCTTATTCTCTGAATGCAGAAACACTGAAATTGGTCTACATGTACTATTGATTTGCATGATTTTGTTATTGTTTGTGAACATGTTGTTAAATAAACTACAGCTACGATATACAAAATTGTTTTATTTTATTATGTGAATATCCTTTTGGTTATGTTTCAAGTTTCCAGCCATTGGAAAAAAATCTTTCAGTGTCTCGACCTTTTATCCTATTCAAATCTGTGCAAGAAATCCCCGTTGGTGAAATAATATTGGAAAGATTTGAGCTGTAGGACAAGATGTCTGTAAAAATGAAAAGATTTGTGGTATTAAAAATAGCTGCCAAGGACGAAACCATGCAGATATGGTAAATTTAAATGATCACTCTTCCATTTCATTTTGACATAATCAGTAATTAAAAAGTAGATCTATTCACAAACTGATTGAATTAACATGTAATATAGCAGAATTTACACGTACATACATTTCATGACATAATAAAACAATTTGACTTGTACAAGTGAGGGAATCAAGGTGCATTGGTCAAAGGAGTCTGCATGCCATTTAATTCTGTATTTTATTTTATGAAATAAATACACAGCCTCACTGGAAAGGCATTCCAAACATAGTTGAATTTATCTAAAATGTTGGAGTTTGTTAGATGATATGATGTCATACTTTTTGATAGAGTTGTTTCCCTTGAATTACCATCGGATTGAAAGAGGTATTCCGAGTGAAGGCGCGTCGTTCAAAGACGAAACGTCTGCAAGTTCCTTACTTGTTTCCTTCACATGATTATATTTTGAAAATGAGGCAATGCAGAAGATGAAGATATCATTGAATATTAAGGTACCTAGTTATAATCTTAAAGATAATTCAGTGTCTGTTAACACCAAAGCCTTCGATCTTTTGCAACACCGGATCGCTCGGCACTCACCAAAATGTTGTTCTTACAGTTTTTGATTACTGGGATATCATGGATTTAGTTTCACAGTGGTGGTTGTGTTGAAATTTGGAGTTACACACTGAAAGTTGGGCCTTAGAAGTTATATTACACATCAGACTTGTTATGTTATAATTACGTTCTATCATACATGTTTTACATAAAGATCTTACACCAATATCTTTTCATAGCGTAGTATGCATGAACGCACTCTCCTTCACAACTTGATTTGAGCTGGAGATTTTCACTCTTTTGTAGATATTCATAATGTATACCAATGAGATCGTTTTATCTTGAATAAGCATGCAATTTTAAACAACTTTTGGCTATATGTGTGCATGTACGTATGATGTATACGTATAATATCGAGGGATAAGAAACAAGGCTCAGTGGTGACTTCTCTGGCATAAGTTTTTGTCCTTATTCTTTAAGCCGTTAAGCCCCTTCTTCTTACTTCTGCTATCTATGATCTATGATCTACCTGTGTCTCAGATGTATCATTGTGGACTAAGTACTGATTGACCTGTGTGGCCAGAGCCATTTTGCTGGCAAGTGATATGTGAAACACATTTTCGTAGCAAAAAAATAAAAAATGATACTGATAAATGAAAGTAATTTATCACAAAAATCACACAAGTTAATTGGTTGAGATGATTTTCCCCATACATTTAAGACAGAAAGTGGTATACAATATATCATTAAGCTTGCTGATACTGTATATTTTGAAAAATAAAGTGCAAGCTAGAAGAAGGCATTGTTGGAGTAAGAGAATCAGCGTTAAAATTTGATTGCGTATAGGATTATATAATGTGATGCACCACCCACTGAGCTATTGTGGTCCCATAAGCAGACAAATTAAAGGCTCCTTTTATTGGGAGGTGAACATATCATATGAATTTCAAAAGAACAAGTTAATATGTAATCACGATAATACAGGAATGTAATTAATACCAGAGACGTATATATGTACCGTCATTTTTCATATTGCTTTTCATCAGTTTCTTTGTCAAACTTCATATATAAGAATAATAAAGCTAGGCATGTTAAAATGGGATAAAGAGGAACTATTTTCCCCTAAAAAATGAATAGGGAAAATGTTTTTGCCTTTGCAGGTGTTTAGGTTTAAGATATATGTGTAACAGATAATGTTTGATCTGGATTAAAATACCAAAAGGTATGTGATTGAGATTTGCAGAAAAAGGGGAAAAAAATTATAGTCCTGGACTTGTGTATTAGGTTTTTTCCCGTGTAATTTCTCAGAATTTCTGTAAATCCTTAAACTATCAAGTACGCAAAATCAATTAAACTGTTAATCTTGGACATTTTTTTATTCTTTTATTAAATGGTCAAAACAATCGTTGGTTTGTTATGGCAGCTTCTTTACATAGATCTCATTATTATCCTTGTACCTGTAATAATGTGATAACCATAGAACTATGATGCTAGTTCATCCTTAGAGTGATTATACATAGCTGTATTTGTTTTTTGTTTTATATGGTACCGACCTGTGAGGCAGTCTGATAGTGATAATGATCTCAGAAAATCAGGGAAAGTAGCAGCTCAGAATTGCAGGTCTTCCAGTACTTCCCATGATTTCGTACTTCCCATGGTACATAATTAATGAACAACATAAATTGTTTGGGGCATAGGATCAATGGATAATATTCATTTATACAGTTTGTGCTGTCCTTTAGTCATAGAAAACCCTGTTGCTTATGACCATCCTGTACAGTGTACAACAAGAAAATACCAACATGTCAACACCATCATAATCCAGACTCAAATTCAATAAGACTAGGGCAAAATATGAATGAAAGAAAGATTAACATGGAGACATATGAACAGTTACAAGAATAAGACTTCTTGTTCATTGACATCACTCTCAATTTTGTAAAGTCACATTCTCAAATGAGAACAAGGTAAACAATAACAGAACCAGCAGGCAGATAAACAAGCATCAAACATTTCCAGCTTCATATTGCACAAAGAAATAGAATATTTCACCATGAGATCACTATGGCAACCATAAAACATTCCTATAATCTTCATTAACCTGCATCTATTTAAACCTATTACTAGATGAAGACTGTTTGCAAACAAAAAATAGTGATAATGGGAACATGCTTTTGAATAGTGTGTCAACTTGATATGTAAACACCACAGGTAGGGGATGCAGGAACGTTGTTAACCAGAAAGAAAATTTACATAAGGGAATTAAAAATCATCATGCTTATCATATAACTTAGTGGAAGGCAGTCAATGTTAGTTTCATTTTTGGAAAAGATTGAGATAAGCTGCTGATGTAGAGGATTTCATCCTATGTCTTTGACTCTGCTCACGTGAATTTTTAACAGTTCACTGTGTATACTTATAAACACAGAAGTAACACAGAAATGTCTTCTTAATACTTCAGGCTATTCAGGAGTAGCAGAAATCAATCTTCTAAATCCATGAAAGTCTATAGCTAACCCTTGTAATTATATCTACCTGTTTAACCTATCTACAAGCTTGTTAACAGCCAACATACATGTATGTATGTATGTAGTGTGTAATTTCTCTTACATTTTGATTCATTGAAATCAAGAGAAGGCCCCATTAATATCAATGTATACACTAGTTTTGCCAAAGATTTATACACTATTAGCAGGTGTAACTTTTAATGACATTGTACTCCAGAAGTTGTATTATGATGGGTTTTGAAGACATTTATGTTACTACAATTTTCAGCTGCTTCTAGTAAATAATTATTTTGTTATAATAAAAATCAGATTTAATATAGGAAAATTTGTACATTTAGCTTGACCTCACATACAAATGCATTTTTTCTGAATTTATATCTATTTGAACATCTATGAAAATTACCTAAATTCTTGTGAATTTCTAACAAAACACACAGAAGTGTTGGAAGTAGTCGATACCTGTATGTTCAAATTCCACATGGCAATGTTTACAGTCGTTTTATTAATAACAACCAATCAAAACGCGGCTTACATCGGTGATGGGAGAATATTGATAATGGACCAGACTGGCGTCATCTGTGATTTAGCAAATGAGTTGTCGGTTGTGGCAGCATTTGCGTGCGTGTGTAGCCGCTGATGAGAGAACATGTGTATCGTTGTATAATGTGTTCTAAACAAGGCTAGGAGATATACACAGTGTATTATTAATCTCATTATATACCCAGAAGCGTGTTTTCAACCGTGACAATACTACTGTGCCCTGCAGGAACACCGGTCAGTCCAGATTTAATCCCAAGAACTTTGATGTCTGCTGCCGTTCTGGACATCCGATTTTATCATTACAGTTGGTGAAAATGCGTATATTGGACGCTATGTAAGTTAAATAGTATATTTTGTCCCTGTGCTATATATGACGACATGTAAAACGTAACGGTCCGCGAGCTTTCAGTTTTCAAATGACCACGCCTCCTTTTCACCTGTCATTTCACTGACCCGAAATGCAGTTTGAAAATAAATGAACGGTTGAAAGGTCAAGAAGAACAAATATGTATTCATCTTTAAATGTGTAACATGGTGAAAACTGCACAGGTCTTAGGAGTACTGACCAACTTCAGCAAGCTGATAATAAATTCAATACATGTGTATGTTGGAAGTATGGTGTATATAATAAATCATTATTATTTTTAGGTTACTATATACTTAGAAATGAATAAGTCGTTATATGATTTCCATAAGTACACAAAAAATTAATATCGTTTATCTCCCAGAGGAACTAGTCCTAACCTATCAATCATTTTAATTGTACTCGGTAGAAAAGTTTGTTTTTGTTTTTGTTTTAGTTTTTATTTAAGTCTGTGATAGCATCTTCATGTCTTTCATGTTAATTTATCAGATTGAAGTATTATTTAAGATGGTAATAGTAATGTTGTCTGTGAAATGGAGGTACTCCTGTAAACAATCTAATTGATAAATGTGTACATCTGTTCAATCTAATGCTGTCCAAAATCGCACTAGTTTGAAGTAGGACAATTTTGTTATTCCTATATTTGTAATTAAACCAGTAATTGAGTATGACTGATAGAATGCATACAAGAAACAGCACACTGCAGCATCCAGGAAGTACTTGTCTGGTTAGGAGTTTTGTTGTAAATGTTGTGTTTATATTAGGTTGTAACTATCTTGGAGTATCATGACTCACAATACCTCAAGCTGGTAAATGCTTCTGCTATGTAAAAATGTCCCTGATGGGTGTATTCAAATATACTAAAAGGCACATTGTGAAGTCAGAAAACATGTTGAGTTTGAATTGATCACTAAATTTTGATGCATTGTGGCTGTTTCTGAATCTGTTGTGTGATATGATAAAACCGATAATAGAAATAATCTGAGTGGTAGATTGATATATTAAAAAAATCAGTTCTTCCAGTCTTTAAAAATTCATCATGTCTACTGAATGTATTAACTGATTAAACTGATAATAGAAATGTATTAAATTTGAAGATCTATGTGTGATCAGAATGGTAAATTGATATGTAAGAAACCAGCTCCCCTAGTTTCTAAAACTTGCTGAATGTAAACAGATTAATGAGAGGTATATTTAATCGGTGTTATAGACATAGATCTTTTGAATATCTAAGGCATCTTTGATGAAATTACAAAAAGTACTATGAAATTGATTGTAGAGTAAGAGAAATGTATCAGATGGTGTTTATTTGTAATACTAAATGAATACAAAGTGCCTGGTACAAATGTGTACTTACAAAGATTATTAAGCAGCATGGTTTAATGTATAGACAATATGATAACTTTTACTATAACTGTGCCAAAGTACTCATAATATCATGTCTGTTAATGTAACATTTCACTTAATATCACATTTTATAATTGCAATTGATAGTTATTTGTATGTATTTACCTGGCATTATTTATTTCAGATTAAAGAAGAATGAGACACATAAAAACAAAAATGCCATTCCAGCAGATTTATCAGCAGAACAGAGGGATTTCATGGAGCACACTTACTTTGACAGGTAACTAAAGAAATATACATGTGACTTGTGAATAATGACTTATCAAATGTGACCTATAAAAAGTTATTTTGAAAAGTACTGTGTAAAGGTGACTGTGAAGGACAATTGAAGGGTCCAGACTATTTATTCACAATTTTTTTTATCTTTGTTTCCATTGATAGCAGATGTATGATCAGAATTCTTTGGACTAGTAACTAAGAGAGTGAATGTACAGCTTGTGAATTGGATGTTGACATAGATGGTAGCTTACCAGAGAATCTTTAAAAAGATACATTTTAACCACAGATATATATAAAATATAACACATCTATCTCATAATTAACCAAGTATACTTGTGTCCTCACATAATAAGTCATGTGTTTTCATCTGAATCAACAAGAGACTGATTGATAAAAGCTGACAGCTTGTTTTGCAATTGTTGTAAAATTAATAAAGTCTATAAAAAAGAAAAAAAAAACCAATACCTTGTGGTGTCACTGTCCTGTTATAAGCCTACCCCATAACTTTGATGTAGAGATAATGTGTTGGCCTCATATTTTTACCAATTTCTAGCAATTTTGTACCTTCTTGTTTGTCATTTTGATTCAATGCTTGTTGAAAGAGTTTTTGTCCTTTAGTTATTGTTGTGTAGTTGTCCAGTTCTCTCTCAGTTGTTGGCTTTATAGTAATAAATGTAGTCATGTTTTCAGTAAAGAAGATTGCATGTCACTCTAGAATGTTGCTATATTTTACTCTGGCTGCTTCCCAATGTTTTAACTCTCCTGACCTGAACTTATGGCATACCACAATGTCTATCTTTCTAACAACCATCAGTTTTCCTCTACTAATCACCACTAGTCATCCATGACTGAGCAGATTTTGACCAAATTTGGTCTGAAGTATTTTTAAGTGGAGAGAATGGGAGTGGCAGGGTGCCACTGCAGAGGAAGTAGAGCAAATACTTAAAAATCCTCCATTCTGTACAAAGGAATGTCAGGATTCTGTTCCAGTTTGGTATGAAACATCCATGGGTGAAGGGGAATCAAATTTGTATCAAATAAAATGGTTTGTCTGAGCCCCCTGGGGCCAGAGGGGTGGGGTCAAATAAGGGAGATTAAGCAAATTCTTCTCATTTATAGGAATGACTGAATTCTATACTAGTTTGGTGTGAAGCTTGCTTGAGTGAAGAAGACTATTGTATAAATGGTTTGACTGGCCACTTGGGGGAAGAGGGTGGGGTCCAGTGGGGGAAATAGATATAAGTAAACCTTTACAATCCTTTCCTTTAGTTTGGTTAAAGCAATATCAGCCCATTCAATCTGAAGGTAATCTTTTACAGGAAATTACAAACACTATAAAAGGAATGGTAGAAATAAAAAGAAAATTATACTCTTATACATAATTCAAACCATGATGATTTTAGGGAATTGATAAAATCACTCAAGCATCCAATTTGTAATCATCCAGTTCATTGTCAGAATGTGTTCACTCTACTTTATACTGTTGATACTAGAATATATTTCAGGCCTTAATGCATGAGAAAATGACCAGAACTATTGTGTGTTGGGCTGGCTAGACCAACTTGCTGGCTGGCTGGTGTTAATTGATCAATAAACTGCACTCTGTACCAGGCTAGACAAGTGGAATGTCTGGGAGGTGCTAGGTTAGGAGGAAATTGGAAATAAATGTTGGAGTTTCATTGTTATTACCCATGGGAAATGTATTCTGGGTGATACTATAATGTGGCCCAGATGGGTTGGTACTGACCATGCATATGCAAGTCTCTGTATACATCTTCATTTAACAGCATCCAACATGGATTTTTATGTTTTTTTTTCGTGCAAACATATTTCAAAGTTTCAGGATCTAGTGGCTTCATGAGTATGCACACTGTTTTAATGCTGATAATACACATATATTAGATATTACAAAATGTGAATGGCTGGTCTATAATTATACTTAGTGTTACCTAGATGTCTGTATATAGATATATTGGGTAAAACCGGTATGATTACCTTGTACATTTCATTGATTAGTGTTCATGTGTTCATAGTTACTTGGTTTGAATGTAAAAATCTGTGCAGAAGTTTGAAAGCAAATTTTCAGTGACACATTTTTTGCTGGTATTAGCATGTCAGTAGATTTTCCACAACACAAAAGGATGGCTAGGTGTTTTTGAAGTGTTAGATTACAGATAGGTGTATGTCATGATAGGTACTGGTAATACTACTGTCTATTGTAGAAATGTATGAATGAGCTGTATAGATGGCTGTTTTGTACAGGACAACAGTAGTAGGTAATACCCCTGAAGGAACACAGATTATGATCTGTAAATCTTATATAGTCTCATTATAAGCAATGCTTACAGTACACATATCTCCCTGTAACTACAAGGCTTTCAACACTTTTTTTCAAATGACATGCAAGGATTGGTACCTGGTAGATTTTACTGTGTTTAGTGACCCAGTGTAACCTTATTACCTGAAGGGGTACAATATAAATATATATATATATATAAAGTGCATGCTAGACAATAGGTAGATATATGAAAAATTTCCTGATACATTTGAACAATTTATTTTTCCAGACTGTCTCCTAAAACATCCTATTATTCAGAGTTTTTATTTCCCATAGGCAAAAAAATATAACTACATCTATCCTCAAATTAACAATGTGTTAATTAATCTTGAATGGTGTACATACTGATCACAAACTTACCACATATACAGGTACCTTAAATTGTCACAATAAGGATAAAGAGGAAGATTGAGAAAGTTTGGGTGTGCGAGTCATTTCTTCCAGAAGATAGGTTTTATACAAGTACAAAAAATATAGACAACATCATACTTTTCTGTGCAGTGTACAATATTCGTAGTAAATAAAAAACACTTTTGATAGATCAATGAATTAAGTTGTATCATCAATCTGAATGAAAATTGTCACTGAAATGATGTTATGTTTTTATTAAATCAATAATTTTTACCTTCTACTATTAGGGAATGGAATGGCATACCAAATAACATAAGAAACTCTCCAACTTTGAACTCAAATTATTAAACCTCTACATAACTCTCTCATTATCATCTCTATAATAATCATGTTTCAATAAAGTGTGTATGTGGGCAGGTTGAAACTTATCATTATTTGATGAGAAAAGATAATAGATGTAGTAAAAATTTCAAAAAACACTGTTTGATAATATCATTATATTTGAAAAGATGCAAAGGTAATGAATTAAGTTGTATCATCAATCTGTTAATGGTTTACAATTAGCGGACAGTGTTCATCAGTGTGTTAAGTTAAAAAAAAAATCTCTTTCAATGTGTTTAATGTAAATTGATGTTTTTTTATGTTTTTATTAAATCAATGATTTCAGATGTGTCTTGTCCAGATGCGAATTCCTTGTTTATGTACTAGTACATCATATTTTGACCAGCACTTCAACAATAATCAGAAAGGAAGTTGCAGATTCACTTATAGTATAACAAATATAATTGGATTTCTTACTTGTAAATGAGTAACAATTCAGTGGTATTACCGACAAAAACAAACTAAATGAATCAGTAATTCTTAGCTTATTTATTAATGTGTAAACGCAATAGATTCTGTTCAGTGAAGTGTTTAAAAACATATCGAATTTCATACTGTTTATAGAAAATGATATAAAACAATTACATCTGCTTCAACACAGAACCTTAATACAATAATATTACCTGACTATTGACTATGATCATATAGGTCTACACCATAGAAATATATGTTAAAGATCTGAATGACTTGCCTTGGTAGATACAGTTCACTAGGTAAGTGGTTTAATTTTCAAAGTAGATGAATGATCATAAGAAATAAGTTCTTACCAAAACATTTAAAAGAAAGTACTCACTAGATTTGGTATTTAAGTTGTAAGCTCATGTTTAAATATTTGCTTTACAATAATTGTTCGAAGGAAATCACAGCACTGAACACTATAAGTCAGGGAAGGAAGAGTTATGCCCCTTGGTTTAACCACTTGAGGGATATGAATGAATGGGTTGTTTTGTCATTAGCTGCTCTTGATTTTACATATTAGGTGGGGGATATGGGAGCGTGGGTTGTTTTGTCTTTTGAGAACTGTTTAGGAATAATCAGTAAAACGTTCTTCTGGTTTGTAATATGCATAGGAAAATGGTTAATGTTACTTGTCTGCTTCCTATTTCTTGGTGATGTTGCCTGCATGTCATTTTCAATCTTATATATAAAGGGTGAATAAAAATATTTCACAGTTGAAATTTTGATAAAATTCAAGTCAATTTTTCACTATGATGATGATGTTTATATGATATGCTGTAGGGTTATCCATAGTGACATTATACGCTACAAATCTATATTGGTACATCTAGTTCTGTTACACCTGCACTGCAGTCTCTGTGTTGTATCTGTAATAGCCATGTAATTGTACTATTTATAACAAAAACTTACCTTGTACTATCATGGTTGTATGGCGGTTACATCAGTATACTTCGATGTGTGTCACATGCCAGATTTTATGAGCTAATTGTAGTGTTTGTTTAGATAACAATTGTTTGCCTTCAGGATTTTAAACTGCATTCATCAGCGCGTCATAGATGACTAAAAAATTTACCTTTACAACATCATGGCATTCATATTTTATATTTATCAGTTGCTGAAATAGGATTTATATTTGAATGTGAATATGAACTTTTGTTAAAGAATTTGTAAGGTACGTTATTTTGCTGTGGTATACAAGTAATAATATACACCTATAGTTGTGGTAAATAACATCTGTATTCATATTATGTCTAACAGATTTAGTGAAGGAATAATAATACTCATTTCTGTTTACAGAATGCCCAAGACAGATTATACATACTCCAGAAGGTGGGTACCATATAAAACACATATTCACTTACTAACACTAGTAACTGTACATTTTGATCTGTGTGAAATGATGGATTACATTAAACAAGATAGATAGCTAGATATACAGCAGTAGTAGATAATCTCTACTCCGAAGATAAAACAAGCCTCAAACGTAGCTACATTCAGCTAGATATACAGCAGTAGTAGATAAGCTCTACTCCGAAGATAAAACAAGCCTCAAACGTAGCTACATTCAGCTAGATATACAGCAGTAGTAGATAAGCTCTACTCCGAAGATAAAACAAGCCTCAAACGTAGCTACATTCAGACCACTTTTACTGAAAATGTAAATCGTTTGCATATTGAATTTTCTTCAATTCATGTTGGTATGAATCTATAGTATGAAAATAACACAGATCAGTATGTGTAATGCATACAAATAATGTATATCATACATGTACATATAGTCATGTGCCATAAGTAATTTGCCTTGATTAGTGTCTCAGAGGACAGTAAATTGTGAATTACACAAATTGGGGTATCGTTGGCAAGTTGTTGCTAAGAAACTTGGAGTTTGAGAGGTGAAACATAAACAATGTCATGAAAAGTTACATTGGACTGAAGAGGAGAACTAGAGATATATCAGATTTAGTAATGGGATGACTGTTATTATTAAACCAGACAGAAAAATGAAGTGTTAATGTGTGGAGGAAATCACCTGAAAAGTGGCCAGGTTGCTGTCTGGGGTACCTCTGTCAAGGCCCTAAAAATTTATGAAATTGATAGTAGAGTGGGGACAATAACTTATAATGAACAGTGTATTTTTGGCCATTATTGATGGTAATATGAATTCAGAAAAGTATATCTCAACACTCCATGTTTTTTTTTGGGCCAGATATTGTGAAGTACATGTATTTTGAAAATGAACACTGGTGTGGATGATAAGTGTCTCATTCAAAGGTCCTGTTTAACTGAAGATTGGAAACAAAGTAGTAATATAAACCCATACTTCTGGTCCCTACAAAATCCAGACTTGGAAAAGATTGAAAATGTGTGGCCAACTTTAAAGACAATTGTTAAAAAAAAAGAATGTCTAACATACATGGAATACAGGAATCCAAGAATGAACTGTTACCTACATTCAGAGATTTTATGTGTTTGTCACCAAGATGTTCAGGTGATATAGACTAGATAACTGGTATATTTCATTTGGGCCAGTGAATATATACTTAATAGATATAAGTGATGAGAAATACAAAAGGTGAATGATTGATGAAGTTAGGAGAGGGAAAAGTGTCAAGAAGAAACTCTGTGAGCAAACTTAATTTGAATGTGAAAACAAAAACTTGTTCATACTATAGTAAAGCACACAAATATTCCCTTTACCAGAACAAGAAGGTAGGGTTGAACCTATAGGGGAAGGTGTTTTAATAGTATTAGGTTGAATATGGTATTGTCCTATGGCCTGGAATCTTTTGAAATATCTGCTAAATATTGATATGAATTATCACATGATTAATACAGGATAAAGTCTGTTGTCTTTGTGACTAGTAATTGGGTTTTTCATTCTATTTTATTTTGTATTTATTTTTTTTCAAGTCATTCAGAAATGATTTATTTTCTCTATTCGTTTGAGTTGTCATGAAAATGGCACTATTTTGTGAGGGAAATACTGATATGCTTTCTTCATCTCCATTATTCAGTAATACAAAGTATTACAGTACAATATGTTAAAATCTTGTGTTTAAAGGATTCATTATATTTTAGCTCCTTATACACACAGGTGTAAGTTGACAATTACATACTTATACAAATGTAACTGGATGTCCCATTTCTGAACATATACACAACTGGCTTTCCATCTGCTGCCTCTTCCGTTCCTCAACTACCCAGAATACTTAAAGATAGCATGTACAGGTTCCCATGTCAAACTTCTTTTTTCCCTATCCATTTATTACATACATGTATAAATGTCTGTAACTGTTTTCCTCATCTCCCAATATCTCTCAATTCATAACAGAAGCTTATATGTCTGAAGATATATACATATTTGAATCTAGCTGCATGATTATATATGTTCTGTAATTGGAACTAGCTTTTGCCTTTTGCTCAGCTTGTGATTGCAGTTTGGTGGCAAATATAGCAGTAATTAATATAAAGGAAAGAACTTCACATTAAGATGCCTGTGATTTTTTTCTATTATTTATGATAAATACATGCACGTGTGTATGTTTTTAATTTGTTTATTAAGTTAACTATGAAGGAAGTGGGGGGCGTTTTGTTTTACAAAGTCTTAGATCCTTGGCATGAATTATTCTTTCTCTCAGTTGCTAGGTCTAGCCCCATATTCTAATATCTACTCTAGCAATATAGTACTTCCACATACTAATAATGTTTGCTTTTCTACCATTCCATTAACAGTGCAGACTGGATTTTCTTTTCCATTCATTGCACTGAAAGTACAGACCATACAATCCACGTTCTGTGTTACATATACATATAATATTCACTAATTTGCACATTTTGTTGGGTACAAGTGTCTGTCGATTGCTTTAATTATAACACAATTACAAAAAAATTAACTGGTTCTGTATAAATACAATACTTTGTACACTGTCATTATAAGAAACTTTCCAGATTTTTAGAGATCAGGTAAGGTTGTTCCTGCATGCATCACAGGTCATAATCAGCATATGGAAATAAACATTTTAGTAATCATTTGTTTGTTGGTTCTTTACTGAATATTGCTCCTCACAACTGCACTTGTGAAATTCAATTTTAGGGAGGGATGATTATATTTATATATATTTACCCTGTCAATTTTAGGAACTTGGGATTATGAGGTGATAGAATGAAATTGACATGAGCCATATTCGGTAGGCTATTTGGCTGTCAGATTTTAGAAATATGTCTTATTATAATTCTGAAAACTTCCCTCTACTGTAAAGGTTCCCTCAGTTGTCAGGAATCTGAAGCATGTCTGTATAACCATGTAGAGGTTCCCTCAGTTGTCAGGAATCTGAAGCATGTCTGTATAACCATGTAGAGGTTCCCTCAGTTGTCAGGAATCTGAAGCATGTCTGTATAACCATGTAGAGGTTCCCTCAGTTGTCAGGAATCTAAAGCATGTCTGTATAACCATGTAGAGGTTCCCTCAGTTGTCAGGAATCTGAAGCATGTCTGTATAACCATGTAGAGGTTCCCTCAGTTGTCAGGAATCTAAAGCATGTCTGTATAACCATTTAAAGGTTGCCTCAGTTGTCAGGAATCTGAGAGATGTCTGTATAACCATGAAAGGGTTCTCTCTGTTGTCTGGGATCTCAGTTGTCACTGCTCTGAAGAAAGTCTGTATAACCATTAAAAGCTTTACACAGTTATCATTGGTCTGAAGAAAGTCTGTATAACCATTAAAAGCTTTACACAGTTATCATTGGTCTGAAGAAAGTCTGTATAACCATTAAAAGCTTTACACAGTTATCATTGGTCTGAAGAAAGTCTGTATAACCATTAAAAGCTTTACACAGTTATCATTGGTCTGAAGAAAGTCTGTATAACCATTAAAAGCTTTACACAGTTATCATTGGTCTGAAGAAAGTCTGTATAACCATTAAAAGCTTTACACAGTTATCATTGGTCTGAAGAAAGTCTGTATAACCATTAAAAGCTTTACACAGTTATCATTGGTCTGAAGAAAGTCTGTATAACCATTAAAAGCTTTACACAGTTATCATTGGTCTGAAGAAAGTCTGTATAACCATTAAAAGCTTTACACAGTTATCATTGGTCTGAAGAAAGTCTGTATAACCATTAAAAGCTTTACACAGTTATCATTGGTCTGAAGAAAGTCTGTATAACCATTAAAAGCTTTACACAGTTATCATTGGTCTGAAGAAAGTCTGTATAACCATTAAAAGCTTTACACAGTTATCATTGGTCTGAAGAAAGTCTGTATAACCATTAAAAGCTTTACACAGTTGTCGCTGATCTGAAGAAAGTCTGTATAACCATTAAAAGCTTTACTCAGTTGTCGCTGATCTGAAGAAAGTCTGTATAAACATGAAAAAGTTCCCTTGAGATCTAAAGCAAGAACAAGTACAAGTTTTTGGTCCTAGATTATATATGCCATTTTGTATATAGTATTGTAAACAATACTTGGTTACTGTAGCTTTTCTTTTGTTATTCTACAATGCTCTGCTATTTATAGTTAAAATTACAAAGGGTTTCTTGTATGCAATTATATATATTATATATATATACCGTGTAGGAGATGAATTGTTAGTGTATGTGGAGTTCGCACAGACTATTTGTCTTTGAGAGGAAAGCACTTGATATGGAATTATGATTGTCTACGTTACCCATTGTGCTGTAGATCTGTTTGTGAATGGTGCATGTAGGCCTGTGTTTATTTATTAGTGAAAGCTGCAGTCTTTGTTGTAGTAGTACTATGATAACAAGGCTTTGTTAACCTGTTATAGCCTATAACGAGATTGTTATGTCACCAGGTCTGGAGGCAGTATAACCACAGACTTGTTATAATCAGTGGGGCTTTTCCTGTCACGCTTGGTCATACCTCAGTGAGGACAGCACTTTCTCCCACAAGCATTCTTGTAGCTTTCAGTTATATTTTAAATATAGGCCCAGTACACATCATATTTCATCACTAGACCTCACCACTACTGGTATCTAATTGCCCGACAGCCATGGACTAAATCTGGGATGGGAAAAAACATGTGCTAAACTGTTTGTAAAAACACATCGAAGGAATTAATGTGTATCCACAAGGTTATTGATACCTACTCTTAACCTGGCTTCAGGAATGTGACCTCAACGTTGTACATGTACGTAGTGTATTTACTGTTTTTGAAACTTTTTGGATATAGTAAGAACCTAAAGAAGGCAGCTTGTGTATGTGTTCTGTCTTCATCTGTGAAGAGTTCACTTTCTGTGGATCATTACTAACAGATCATGACCTTGTGTGAGGGCCAGTGGGTGTGTATTGTTTATTTTTCTACCACGAACAGGTGCTATATCTTATGTACAGCCATAAGCTCAGTATGTGGGAATCGACCAGATACTAAAAACAATAGATTCAGGTTTATAAGGGCAGGAACAACTCTGTTATCGTTATATCATAGTCATTAACAAGAAATTAGGTAGTTTTTCATTTGAGCTTGGTGCCAAATTTGAAGTACATTATACTTTGGCAGAACATGTATGGGGTTTAATCTGTGGGATTGTGTTTTCAGTTGATTGGGAATTAAACACTGACAACAAGATCAGGTAATATAACATATACAGTATAGAATCAATGATACTGTAGCATGTAACACCAGTCAATATTCACACAATTATGTCTGTTGTGGACTTCTAAAAATCATCCTCTTTTTGTGTGGTGTTTAAATTTGTATGTCATATAGAGCGAAACATCTGAAGACATGTGTATATATATTAAGCCTGTGAGAATTAGAATTTGATATGTCCAGTCATCCACGACGACAGATATGTGCCATTTACATCAGGCGGTAAAATAGTGAATAACATCCAGGTATGTTGTATGTTTCAGCCCCAGCTATAGCAGGAGGTATCTAAACAAGCCTTATAAAATCCCCAACATGTCGAGACGGCTGGTCAGGTCTGGCACCAGCCTTGTGGAGGACATCAGTGATGTTTACAGTTCTGAGGAGGAAGATGGATACATTTCAACGCCAAGTATGGAAATGTCGGAAACCTATATCACTAGTAGAACAGGTGAGAGTCACATTACTATCAGTGTATAATGAATGAAATTAATCCTCCAAACTAGGGAAATTGTTAGTTTGATTTGTATTAATTGTGGAGGAGGGTTGTTTGTGTAGGTATCAAGTTTCAGTTGTCTCTGAAGGCTTACCTTATTCAACACATATCACATCAGAATCTTAAACTATTCTGCAGAAAGGAGCAGATGTATTAGGAAACTACAAATGGAATTTGTTTGCAATCTTTTGGATCAGGAGAATACATTAGCACATAAATGGTGTTCAGTTACAGAAAGAAAGGGTTGTGTAAATAGACTCTATAAGAATGTCTTGTATCTACATTATATGCACAGTATAGAGATGTGATGTAAAAAGCCATTTTGACTGCAGCTGTTTCCAACATATATATTAGACAGTTGCATTATGGCAAAGTCATGTAAATGAGAATATTAAAGTGTAGAAATTATGTCCTCATTTCCCAACTCCACATTGACATAATCCCTCCTGCACCCATACTGTGTTGTGATAAGGTAGGGCAGCATACTGAAGTGATAGATGTTTGGAATTGGCACTGTACCCCCAACCAACATAGTCCCTCCTGCACCTATACTGTGTTTGGAGTTGGCCCTGTACCCCCACCCAACATAGTCCCTCCTGCACCTATACTGTGTTTGGAGTTGGCCCTGTATCCCACCCAACATGTCCCTCCTGCACCTATACTGTGTTTGGAGTTGGCCCTGTATCCCACCCAACATAGTCCCTCCTGTAACCATGCTGTGTTTGGAGTTGGCCCTGTATCCCACCCAACATAGTCCCTCCTGTAACCATGCTGTGTTTGGAGTTGGCCCTGTATCCCACCCAAGGTAGTCCCTCCTGTAACCATGCTGCGTTTGGAGTTGGCCCTGTACCCCCACCCAACGTAGTCCCTCCTGTAACCATGCTGTGTTTGGAGTTGGCCCTGTATCCCACCCAACATAGTCCCTCCTGTAACCATGCTGTGTTTGGAGTTGGCCCTGTATCCCACCCAACGTAGTCCCTCCTGTAACCATGCTGCGTTTGGAGTTGGCCCTGTACCCCCACCCAACGTAGTCCCTCCTGTAACCATGCTCTGTACTGTGTGGAGGAGTGTAGGACAGCATACTGAAGTAGTAGGTATTGAGACTCAACCTTGTACTCCCACCCAACATGTACGTGGTTGACCATCCATTTTTTGTGGAGTAAATAATATATTAATTTGTGTCAATCATTGAACAGAATTGAATAATCAAGACATTTAAAGGTTATTTCTATGAGGAGAGATTTAAGGTCGAGATGGACTGTTGCTCATGGGGTGGGGGATCTTTTTTTCATTTCAGACGCAAGCAGTATTCCTTTACTAGCTACTTGTGAATACAATGTACATATGCATGTTTACAGATAGTGAATTTTAAGCATGCATTTGTTGGTTTTCATTTTTATTTTCACAAGGAAACAATGGTATCAATTTGTTTAAGGAAGTATATCAATCTCGTATGTCCAGGTTGTACTATATCATCACATTACTAGTAGATATTTCAGGCATTTTGCTGCCCTTACAGTTCACCTCATGGGTTTACAGCACATGTAATCTTGTACATATTTACATATATAAGTGTGAATTTTATTAGATCCATATGTTCTTAAAATGCAGTTAAATTTTGATGATTGACCAAATTTACTTAAACTGATTCTGTTTTTTCTGTGATCAGTGTGTAAGTAGCACTCTATCTAGCTTCTACAAGTAAAGTTTGTGCTGTTGACATTGAAGAGATAACTTTCATGGTATATTAATGAGTCAAATGGCGCCACCCTATCTTTAGCTCATTTACTTGATAAAACCGAACAGACGTGAGGGCACCTGCCATATAAGACCAAGCGATGCATGTTACTAATTCTGTTGATATGAAGTTTGATATGATAGCACAAGTCCTTCAAATAAGGCAGATGATAGGTATACATAAAGTTTGTCAAACTGCTGTGTATGCTTGAAAAATCTTTTTTTTTCTTTTTTCCAGAATTACTGTCTTTATCCAACCATATGCCTATGATTACTAATATAGCCACTAGCATATGTTAAAATTACTGCATGAAAACCAGTGCTATTTCATTGTATCAGAATTATTAAGATGGAAATTTGTTAAAATGTGTAATGAAAGCTAGCTATCTGGTGACTGTCCTGTTACATGTAATACATTACAAGAATGACACCTAAGTGTGATGTAGGTCTCTATATCTACAAATTAAACAATACAGCTATGCGCTCTGTCTTCCAATAAGATGCAATTATTTGGCTTATTGTTGATATGAACAGTACTAATTCCAGTCTTAAGTAGAGGTTTGTATGTTATGTGGCTGTTAAAGCCACTGAATCAAGGTAATACCTAACGTGTATTAAGATTGTCATCACTTTTGAATTTCAATTTGCATAACAGGATTTTAAGGTGTAAAGGTCTGTATGTTATGTGCCCATTAAAGTTAGGAAACTAGGTAAAGCCTACAGGATGTCATTACCTTTATGGTGGAGCTAAGAGAATACAAACGTTAATGGAAAATAACAGATTGTTTAGTAAAAGTGAAGGCTTGTTTTAAACATAGACATTTCACAGAGAAGTTACAGATATAAGATAGTTTTAGTCTTGTTATCGTTTTAATTAACAGATAAATATTTGTAATTTATTGATAGAGGATCCCTGGGTTAAGATTTTCTACTTGGTTTAAAAAAATTTGTAATGCCATAAATTATACATATGAAAAAGGATATATATCTATGAAAATATATTTTTAAAAAAGTACACAAACAATGAAGTCATTGTTAAGCATGAGTGCTTTCAATATTCCTGCTCAGATGCTCAACAATAAATACATTGTTACATTGTAACATGGACAATACATTGTGACGTCATTGATTTAGTGACGTCATAGTATACAAAAGGAGATGAATCTTATACAAGATTATTTAACTCAGGTTTAAAATACTTTTCTTTCTAAAACTGTGTCTGTATACATTTTGTGAAGCGAAATATTTCAGTGTATCTATATATATATGAAAAGATTTTGTTACTGACCATTCTAACAGTTAATTTATTCTTTTTCAGTTATTGAGGATGGTATGGTACTGCGATCTGGTAAAGGTATAAAAAATGCTAAAGAAATATTTGAAGAGCATGAAAGAGCTAGAAAGAGGAAGTCTAAAGGACAAGTCAATAGTGCAGTCAGTTCTAGATCACGTGGACGTTTATCATTAGCATCAGACATGGTAACGAGTACAAACATGTTGGAAAGCCACCAGTCTCAGTCTTCCTTGTCTCAGAAAATGCGAACCAAAGTGCGAAAAACATTAGTGCAAGAATTTGAGGAAACAGAAATAGAAAAAGGAATGAAAGAAGCTGCAAATGAAAAAAGACGCATAAGTCAAAGAGATTCTCTTCATAGTCTTAACCATTTATATGGTAAGTTTTCCTTACATACATCAGCCAGGATTCCACACTTAATACTGAAAAGATGCAGTTTGGATAAAAATGTTATTAATAAATTGATTTATTCAAACTACCCTGTACAGGTTGACAAGTAAATTTGGGCTGTTCTTTGCTAGCACTGACTTAACTGATACATAAGGACCAGTTATCCCTTTGTTAACTAATAGATCCCAACACTGCCAAAATGTAATGGGCATTGTCTTGTATCTGGTTTGGTCACTCAAGGACATTTATAAATAAGCAGCAAATCAGTAGTACTATTTACACTTCTGAATTAAGGATTCATGAAAAATAAAATCTACAGTCCCATAATGTTTTGTGAATTAGAGTTTAATGAATACATTACATTGATATTTTTCTACTATTTAAACCAATTTTTATCAGTTCAAATGGAATAGGTACAATATAGCCATGGAATACGGTATTGACTGTCCAATTAACTGGTCAGATTCTACCGTAGGGCTACACCAGGGTATGGAGGGACACACAGTAAGATGTCAAGATAGCAAATGACAAATACCTTTCTGTCTGCACATAAAACTTGGGGCTTTAAGACATTATTAACTAATTCATTCGCTGAGAATATCGTTTATATTAAAGTTATAATCTGAATCTGAGCAAGTGTTGCTTTCTCCAGCTGCTTCATACAAGCAGCCATTGTTAACATGACCCAAAATATGAGACCTGAAATGGCTTGTTTCATAGTAAGCCTGATAACAGTAAAAATAAATTTAAAGAAACTTACACAAACATGCACAAAATATATATCACATCATTCTTTCAGCACTAATATCAGTTGGTATGTATTACATTTCTAAGATAAAATTGAAATTGGTTTGGTTATAAATCATAATTTATTAAGCAACTTAAACAAAGTTTAAGTATGTGTTTTACATAAAGCTTACAGATGAAATACCATTTCGTGTATAAAGACAATTAGGATTCTATAACAAGTCCAAAATTTATTGTGGTACATAGATAATAAAGCTTTAAAAATTATTCACGTTGAAGAGGGAAACCACTTTCTTCATTTATAAAGATTCCTGAAGGAATAAATATGTCACAATGAGCCTATATAAGAAAAAATAATGAGTGAATGGAGTGTTCATTTAGGTGTCACTGGTCTCCACCTAAAATTTTGACACGTTTTCAATTTTCTCTGTTTGGTCGTCAGATAGTGAACTATTTAGATCACTCTATATCTATGGTCTGTCATCTGTCCAATAATAACAATTTTTGTTATTGATATTTCTTAAGAAAGTTCGGGATGCATATTTCTCAAATTTCGGATGTAGATATTCCTGGATTCCTAGTTGTGCCGGTTTGCTTTTTGGACTGATCAGATATGCAAAATGGCCGACATTCAGCCATCTTTGATCTTATGCTTGGGAAGTATAAGATGGATCTTTGTCAAATTTCATATGTTGCTTCCCCTTTGTCCCTCATTGTGCCTGTATGCTTTCGGGATTGATCAGAAATACTGAATGGTTGACAGGGACCCATTTTGGATTTTGACAATGAAAAATTATTGTTATTTCATTAGAGTTAGGGAATACAGATATTTTTTAGTTTTCATTTGTAGGTGGCCCTTGGTCCCAAGTTGTGCCCTGTTAATTTTGGGGCTGATTAGAGAAACAAAATGTTTTTTTTTGTTTTTGTTGTTTATTGATGTGTAAACTGCATTTTTGAAATAGATTTTTCATCACAACACACAACAATGAAAATTTGACAGAATGCAGTTTACACAAAAGTAAACAACAAGAAAGTATTCCTTATTATAGACTAGTGTATGGACATATCATTTTGTGCAATTAGACAGAATAAACAGTACATTTTCACATCATATTTCATCACTTTCAGATTGATAGTCAGATATATGAAAAAGATAAATATAAAAATGACAAAAATACCAGGTATGATATTTTAGAGGCTGAATAATTTTGTCAAATTATGCCTAACAATAGTTAGGATGTGTTTACATGGTTTCTGATTTTTTGAGATATACAAAATTATGCATGTTATTTCTAGTTCAGTAAGATGAGTAAAGTTCATTCATTAAACGGTGTTAAACTAGGCTTCTTGTGAGTACTTTTTTCCATGGTATTATTTCATTATGTCTTTTCTAGATTCAACTTTCACATAGACAATGTCATATATCTCACACATGTAAAATGCACCTTCATATTTCCAAGTTACACTAGCTGTGTGTGTGTATGTTGTATTAGACTTGCAGCATTCAATTATAACATGATTTTGTCTTTTCAGGCCTGGACTATGAAGTGTCAGGTAAGTAAACACTTGTCTTTACCTAAACTTAGTTACTATGATGGCGACACAAGTTCCTCTAACACTGCCTGTTATTTACCATTTGACCAGTTTACGTGCTAAGTTTCCATTTACTGGAGGGAAAGTCTTCTATTCACCATCCCCTCCCAACTTTTAAATTGACATTTTATAAGTGCTTTTTACTCAGTATTGGATAATCCAACGACATAATTTCTAAACGAGAAATTAATCATGACCTGGATTAGAGAAGATAAAACCCATGAAGTATATATTAATGGGATATAATTGTATATTTATAGGTGTTTTAAAACCATTCTGGATTTGATTTTGTTGATGTCATGTATTTGGCATCTGGAAAACCAGAGAGTTTGTTTATTTCATTCCACTTATAATCTTTGTTTAAGGTGTGGAATCAGAAGAGGAATATACTGGTAAGTAAATGGTACACTATTGTAGCCTCTGTACCTGATAAGTAGGTATAATTTGTAAATGGAGCTTGACATGATGACATTATAAATACTCTCTGCCATTAGTGTTGGATATGTATATACAGAGGGCATTCAAATTGTATTTACTAATTCATTATCCAGCTTGTTAGATAATTAAAATATTATACAATGTAAGAATTAATTCTACCTTGGTTTAATTCCATTTCACAGATTCATCTAAAAAAGACTACAGTTACAATGCATCCCGCCGACAGAAGATTCTGGAAACAGAAGAGAATCTTGAGGACATTGCTACATTAACCACAGTCACCACCACCGTGGTCACTACAATAATAGGTAAATAAATGACCAATAATTGTCACTATAATAATAGGTAGAATATTGACCACATGTGTCATTAAAATGATAGACTACTGACCACACAGGAGCTAATAGTAATAGGTACGTAAGTGACTGTTCATGGTCCCTACAGCAATAGAGAAAACGCTGTCATTTGCTTTGAAAAAAATAACCACTCCTGATCTTGTCTGTAACATTCAAAACACTGACCACTAATGGTCATGTCATTTACGTTCAGAACACTAACCTTGTCATTAACAAAACAATGAGACTGCTTATTATCACATCAGTAACAAAACACTGACCAGGAATGGTCACATCAGTAACAAAACACTGACCAGGAACGGTCACATCAGTAACATAACACTGACCAGGAATGGTCACATCAGTAACAAAACACTGACCAGGAACGGTCACATCAGTAACAAAACACTGACCAGTCACGGTCACATCAGTAACAAAACACTGACCAGGAACGGTCACATCAGTAACCACTCATGATCATGTCAGTAACATGTTCATCCAGCAGCAAGTTCATTACTGGTACCTTGTTAAATATATCCAAATCAACTAAATCATAAACCAGTGATATGTCCTATAAGCCTATCCTCTGACTATTAAGAAATGCTATGTTGGCACCCTGAGCTTATTGTAACACCATAAAAAAGCAAAACGGGAAAACATCTGATCATGATGGATATCCCAGGATATAAAACTTAATAGCTTTGAAGGATTTTTTGAAAATTTTGTATATTGGTATTCTGTAAAGAGGAAGAAAATAATCTTATAGACAGGTAGCTATAGGATAGACTAGGTTCTTGCTATAGGTATGAACAATCAACAGAGTAAAAGTAATGTGGTGAGACCATAGGTAAATGATTGCTTTCAGATCTGGAAAGGAACATATAACAATGTTTTCTAGATTATTTAGTTAAGCAATATTGTACTGGTTACATGACATAAATAAATCATGTGATAGCAGGATATTTTGTAAGTAATATAGCTATTTATTACAGAGCGGGTATCAGCAGTGGCAAGCCCAGTGGTCACACCTGTGTGGAACACTGTTGGAAGTCCTGTGTGGAATGCTGTGGGTCGACCAGTGTGGACATACATTTTCCAGCCAATATGGACATATGCAGTGCAACCAGCTTACTATAGTTTGTCTTCAATCATGATGACTACTGTCATGATTCTACAATACCTGGTGTCTCAGGCCGTACTCTGGGATACCTGGCTACTCTCTAGGTATGAAATGTGTCCATTTATGGTCCTATAATACTTGGTATCTCAGACTGTACACAGGGTGGTAACTTGTAGTGTGTCCTATCACAATCCTACAATACCTGGTATCTCAGACTGTACACAGGGTTATCTGTAAAGTGTCCTATCACAATCCTACAATACCTGGTGTCTCAAACTGTACACAGGGTTACCTGTAGTGTGTCCTATCACAATCTTACAGTACCTGGTGTCTCAGACTGTACACAGGGTTACCTGTAGTGTGTCTTATCACAATCTTACAATACCTGGTATCTTAGACTGTACACAGGGTTACCTGTAGTGTGTCCTATCACAATCTTACAGTACCTAGTATCTCAAACTATACACAGGGATATCTTTAGTGTGTCCTATCACAATCCTACAATACCTGGTGTCTCAAACTGTACACAGGGTTACCTGTAGTGTGTCCTATCACAATCTTACAGTACCTGGTGTCTCAGACTGTACACAGGGTTACCTGTAGTGTGTCTTATCACAATCTTACAATACCTGGTATCTTAGACTGTACACAGGGTTACCTGTAGTGTGTCCTATCACAATCTTACAGTACCTAGTATCTCAAACTATACACAGGGATATCTTTAGTGTGTCCTATCACAATCCTACAATACCTGGTATCTCAGACTGTACACAGGGATACCTGTAGTGTGTCCTATCACAATCCTACAATACCTGGTATCTCAGACTGTACACAGGGTTACCTGTAGTGTGTCTTATCACAATTCTACAATAGCTGGTATCTCAGACTATTCTCTGTGATGTTCTCTGATGTCGTTCAGTGGTCGTACAATTTGATTTATTCTGCTTATCTTGGAAGCTTTACTAGCTAGATCTTGATATGTAGATGACAAAGTTTACAGAATGAAGAGCTGGTAATATTTATATTATAAAAATGTGTATACTGCATTTGACTGGAAGATGAACGTGTTTATATTATAAATATGTGTTTACTGCATTTGACTGGAAGAAGAACGTGTTTATATTATAAATATGTGTTTACTGCATTTGACTGGAAGAAGAACAGGTGTTTATATTATAAATATGTGTATGCCGTATTTGACAGGAAGAAGAACAGATGTTGTTTATGTATCCCTCTACTGTTGTTGTTACCATTGTTGATGTTGTCAGGTAAGTGATTGGTGTGATAACTTAATTTTTCCTGTAAATAAGGGCTTTGACTTTAAACTCACTAATGGATGTTAATAACTGTGAACAAATAAATTTTGTAACTATTCCTCTACAAAAGCTATGTCTGAGTGTTATTATAATAAACCTCTATACACAAATTGTATGATTATTATTGTTGTTATGTATTTTCAATTTTTTCGAAAAACTGAATGTTAATGAAAAACTAATTAAGAAACAGAAAAAGAGAAAAAGTGTTTTGGAGCAACATGACTTTCTTTTTTTTCTCAGGTGTTGTACCACATGTGCAGAATCTCAGTTCAGTATTTAGTTCTCGTCAGCATTTAGGAGAAGGAATCTCAGTTTCAAATGTAAGCCAACAAAATATACGGAAAATCCCATCATAGTCAAATTAATAGAATAAAAACAAAACAGGCTAGATGGTCATGTCAAATTGATGGAACAAAAACCTAATGGTGCAGTATGCTTGTCTGTACCTTAGGCTAACAAAAGTGATACTTTAACAAAAAACTCACAATATTTAATCTGATAGATTTTCTGTATATCATGTAAAGGAGTTGTTTTTAACCATAATTAACTGTTTTTATTTGTTTTATTTAGAAACAGCTGATATAGACAATAAAAGGGAATACATTCACCTGTAATGCTTCTTTTGAACAGGAACATTTATTAAACACAATAAATCTAAAAGAGGAGGTGAAGAGGATTATTATACAGCTTCAAAGCAACTCGCAAAACCAACTCACAGAAGCAGATGTAGAACGTATTGTTGCTGGTAAAATTTCTACAGAGTTGTCTGCCCTTAAACTTGATCTTGAAGGGAAAGAAAACCAACAGATTGCAGCCGAGGTAATTATTGTTCATTGATACCATTGGCACAATGTCTCCAGCTAAAACTGTTAACATTTACATGGATGTAGTCATATAGTTTGATATATGTATAGTAAGTATATCTGTACATGTGTGGCTGAAGGCATTCATAAAGATCAGTGTCTTTTGTGTTGAATTATCAGCAGCAGCTTTAGCTAAAACATCCATCACATTCATTTGTCTGTTTGCTGATTTTTTCAATCTTTTTCCCATACCTTCTCTTTCAAAATGTAAAGTAAACTATTAATTTGTTTGGTTTTTTTTTCAGATCCATAAAAACAACGAGCAGGCAATCAAACTTCAGCAACTCCACACTAGTCTTCTAAGTAACATCACGGTTAGTTTTTGTACTATTAGATTGCTAAAACACAAATTTATGAAATAACTTTTATCACACTTAGCTCTGGCCACATCTCCAGCAAGTGCATGTAGAATTATGATAATACTTTATATCAAAGGAGTAGTAATTTCATGGAGTAATGAAAGGTTTTCTGTTTAGCTTGTCATTCAGACAATAAAATGCAGATACTGTAACACAGTACCAAGGAAGATAATTGATTTTATTCAGGGTGAGTTAAAAAAAATGATGTAGAATGACTTATAATTTCTACTTCTGAGATAATTTTGACCAATTTTGAAATAATCATAAATTGTTATTTTATATTGAATTTTAAATTTTTTGAATTTAATCAATTCAATAAAGCCAGACAAAATTCATTTTTAAATGATCGTTTTGATACTGCCTGTATTTTTAACTCAAGATAACATCATTATTTTTCACATGTTGCAGATGGTGGAGGAGAAAATTAAGATGGAAAATGAGAACCTAGGAATGTAAGTTATTAGTAGGAGGAACATTTAGGATATACAACTCTCCCTGTAGTCATTTTAAAAGAATACACGACTCTCTCTGTCGTCATTTCAAAAGAATACACAACTCTCTCTGTCATCATTTTAAATGGATACGCAACTCTCTCTGTCGTCATTTTAAAAGAATACACAACTCTCCCTGTTTTCATTTTAAAAGAATACACAACTCTCTCTGTCATCATTTCAAAAGAATACACAACTCTCTCTGTCGTCATTTCAAAAGAATACACAACTCTCTCTGTCATCATTTTAAATGGATACGCAACTCTCTCTGTCGTCATTTTAAAAGAATACACAACTCTCCCTGTTTTCATTTTAAAAGAATACACAACTCTCTCTGTCATCATTTCAAAAGAATACACAACTCTCTCTGTCATCATTTCAAAAGAATACACAACTCTCTCTGTCATCATTTCAAAAGAATACACAACTCTCTCTGTCATCATTTCAAAAGAATACACATCTCTCTTTGTTGTCATTGTTATTGCCCTTAAGCTATTATATTCAGGTTCTGTGATCTGTGAACCACGAAAACAAACATCGCAAATGATTCCTAACACTACATGATGTTTCTCTAAAAATATTACTGTAAAAATATTACAACTTTTACTATTTTTTCCAGTGTGGGGGCTGAATACCAGAGTCGGACAATTAATAACCTGAACCAACTCAGAGATGACCTTGTAGCACTCCAAGAGAAGTTGAAAGGAGTAGAAATCTCCCAACAAATGCTGGAGCTACAGATGAGGAACTGTTGTCGTAATGACACTGCCTTAGCAGCATATATTCATGATCATATCAGCACAATACTGGCTCAGGTAGGTGTATTGTAAGAAGATATCAAAGTCATGTGGGGGATCATTTACTATGTTGTTCTTAATTTTGAAAATCACTTTCACCTCATTGTGCGTAATTTTCTTTATATAACATATGCAATGCTAACAAGAATGATGTAACAAGAAGTGAAAGGGACACCTCAGATTCAGTCCAACTACAAAACTGTTGGTGTTTTCCTTTGATTTTTCTGGTAAAAATAATCCTGATGTGAAAAATTTACAATTTTTGCGGTAGACCATATAAAGAGATTTTCAATTCTCCTGTTGCATCAGATTTTGCTAAAACTTCCATATTTGGAAGTCATAAAAGTTTTCATTCCATTGTCTTAGACAATGATAGCAGCATAGTAAGGTTTTACTAGACAAATGGTGGCATTACTACCGATGAAGGGAAGGTGTGAACGTTTCAAGTACTGTAGTACTGAACAAAGTATTGATAGTATTGTACTGAAGTACTTCACCAATCGAATTTCTTAAATTTATGCAACAAGCTCTCTGATTGGCAGAGCCAAGTCTAGATCGATTGTGGGTGGATCCAGGTGAGAAAATACTGTGCAGACATCGGCATTTTACAAACACTCGACTGTCGCGAGAGGTTAATTGGAAGAGTCCAAGTCACAGGTGGCTTCAGATCAGACCTAATTGGGTTGTCCCATTTTTTTCGTTCTACACCCAATGCTACCTTGCTTTTCCATCGATGGTACAACGAGAAAACGAAAGTTACTCAGTACTAAACTAATTTACGTACAAAATATATATCAACAGGTTAGATCACTGGGACCGGAGAATTCATAACATCTTAACAGTGAATATAGTCATATAGTCATTCTGTACTAGTTTTATTCATATATTTATTTTTTTGAAAGGGGGGGGGGGGGGGGGGGGGGAGGAGGAGAGGTTGGCTCAAAATATTTCGGTTTAAGCCCAAGCTTATGTAACAAAGAATTACGAATTACCTGGGACCTCCTGATATATGCCGATAATTCATACTGCATTAAAAGATAAAGGAATTCTGTGGTCCCATATATTTTTTATTTTATTTTTTATCTTTCCATCGAAAATTATACATATCCGCAACATGTGAAAAAACTTTGAAGTTGGTTGGGCGGAATATCTAGAGCATTTACTACTGCAAGTTCCAGAAATTCTGACACAAGTCGGGTATTTGCCCGATGCCTCTGTCTCATGACATTGAATACATATTCAGTTACGTTGTATTCCGGGGAATAAGGCGGCTGAAAAACCAGGGACACGCCATATTCTTTCAGCATATTTCTTAAAATGCGCTCTCCCTGTCTATGGTGATGGAATCCACAATTATCCATCACAACCACATCGCCTTGTACAAAAACAGGATTCCCCATATCGTTCGTATCGGACATAATTTCGTCGAAGAAAATTTTGCGTACTGTTGCCGTCGTCGGACATGTTTCCAGCGATTACTTAGTAATTGTTATGTAACTGATAGTGTACAATAACTCCGCCTACCGGAACAAATTGGGTGTCAGATCAACTATTCAGGTTGTCTAAACTCCGCCCCCGACCAATCACAGAGGTCGTTGTATACTTGACTCGATTATTTGAATACTTCAATACAATAGTATCAACACTTTGTTCAATATTATAGTAAGTGTGTCGTTCACACCTTCCCTTCATCGGTAGTAAAAACCAGGTTGTATTGAACAAGTGATGGCATTAAAAAGTGTTCTTACTATAATTGACTGTTCACTTGAAGTCTACTTTTCTGCTTTGTTTTCCTTGTTCATGAATAGCCTCTTAATAGTTATAACTGAACTAAGAAAAGTGCTTATGTCTTCACATTGTTACTATTTGTGTTACAAGGTGATGGGAGGCCATGAGAGTGGAAATGGACCACAGGATACATTTACAGCTTGGTTACACAATAATTATGTCAGTCGCAAAGACTTGGAGGAGCGAATGTCACTCATGGCTGCTGATATCACCCGTAACATCCTAGCTGAGCAGAGGAAGGGAGTGGAACCTTCAATTACTATCTCAAACTCAGGGGGTGGAGCTGACATCTCAGAACAGGTGAGGTCAATTTCTAGGGATGGACATCTCAGAATTAGTAAGGTGGAATTATGGGGAAGGGCAGACATCTCAGAATAGGTGAGGTCATTATCTAGGGGTGGACATCAGAGAATAAGTAAGGTGAAATACCGGGAAGGGCAGACATCTCATAAAAAGTAGGATCAAACTCTAGGTTAAGGTAGGACTTCTATTTGAGAAATGTGAGCTCTAACATTGCTTAAACATTGTGGTTACAAACTAATTCTTTCAAACAAGCTTTTAACATTTATACAAGTGAAGTTTGTACAATTTCTTTAAATCAAAAGTGAAAATTTAAGAACTTAACTGTAGTTCTTTGACTTGAATGAAGTGATATTTTCTTGAAGTAACTTAAGTCTATGTTTACACAGCTCATAAAGAACATTGTGGATGAAGCTTTACTTAAGTACAGTGCAGACAAGATTGGCCTCCCAGACTTTGCTTTGGAATCCTCTGGTAAGTTAATACTATTCTAGACAACATTGGACTTTAAACATTACATTGTAATCCTGTAGTAAGATTTGTCTATAAACTCAAATGTGAAAAGAAGGAACTTGTAGCCATATCTTTGGTGTAAATGGATAAAAAAAATAGCTGTTGCAATTTCCTTATTTATATTGTACATAGTTAAAATGCAAAAATCAGTCGCCATAAAACAGCTCGGCTATAAAGTGGCTGTTGCAGTGACATTAATGGAAGTATGAAAAGTTCAAACATGAAAAAATCAGCCAGTTTGAAACAGATATTGTCGTGACATTATTGATAATATATAACACTTTAAGTGGTCAGACATTTATATACTTCAAAATGTCTTCATATTGAATAATTTGTATGTTTTAGAACTTATCTCAAGTTCAATTGATCACTTGTGTCTTAATTGTGGGACAATCTTTCAGTGTAATTAGGCAATGTATTTCAGAAGAAATGATAGAGTTTGTGTGCTAAAAGATGGATTGGATTCTTATGTTACAGGAGGAAGTGTGATAAGCACAAGATGTTCAGAGACTTACCATAAAAAGACAGCTCAGTACAGCATCATGGGTATACCTTTATGGTATGCATCAAACTCTCCTCGTACTGTCATACAGGTAAATCTATATATAAAATGACATATTTACAAGTTCTTGTGATATGCATTAAACTTTTGTACAGTAATATAAATATATCAGAATATACCTGCTACATAAACCAGCTGTACACTGTTACTTCTTGTGTAGGTAACTTTTAATTTTTACACCATTTACAAATGCTATATCATTAGTTCAGCTGGCTCAAATGCCTATGAAACTGCATAGCATCGGTCATAAGTCCATCAACTTTTTCTGTTTATTATCACCAGTCATAAAAAGCAGATTTTACCAAATTTCATTAGAAATATCCTTAGGTGAAGGGGATCCAATTTTATGGGCGAATTTTGTAAATTCTTTAAATTTCAACTCTTCTGTTAGAATGATAGGATTTTGTCAAAATTTGTTCTGAAGCATCCTGGGTTGAAGGGGCTCAGTTTGTTATAATAATTGATCTGTCCAAAAGGAAGAGGGATGGAGACTGACTAGCGACATAAACAGCAGATTGTGTAGGGAGTGACATAGTTTTTTGGTAACATCCTCTGGTAAAGTCAGTTTTGTATAAGCCTGGATGTGGCTTGTGAAAAAATCATGAGGCCCAATAAGGGATATAAAGCAAATCCTGCAGAAATGACAGTAATTTGTTCTAATTTGAATAAGCTTTGAATAAAAGTAATTGAAACCCTGGGGTAAAGGAACGGAATCTAAAAGGGAAGTTGGAGTAAACCTTTAATAATCTTCATTATGAATAAAGCAATTATGACCAGACCAAATCTGGTGAGTGACACAGGCCCAATGGGCCATTGGTATGGTAATACATCTCTACTACTTGTAATGGAAGTTTGTTTTTTTTTTTGTCATAGCCGGAGGTTCATCCAGGTTCATGCTGGGCATTCCAGGGAAGTCGGGGCCAACTAGTGGTGGAACTCTCAACCATTATAACACCAACAGGATTCTCACTTGAACACATCCCTAAATCTCTAGCACCTAATGGTAAAATTGACAGTGCCCCCAAGGATTTTCTTGTACAGGTAGATACTATTTGATTTGATGTACATGGAAATCTATTAATTCCTATTGCAATTAATGTAAAACAACAATGGTAAAACAAAAGTTGTGAGACAAAGAGGAAAAAAGTATCTTAATTACATCATGTCTGTGAAAGTAGAATAAACCTTGCTTAGACTTTGCTTTGGAGCAGCAGTGGTTCTTTACCTCACTGGAAAAGCTCTTCAGGAGACAAAGGCTACAGGCAACAGTACTCTTGAAAAATAATTGAGCTGATCTTATCTTATGATTGGTCAGAAAATAAAGTTTACCAGTGATGACAGATAAATTTCATGTATCATAGACACTGACTTAACATTGCATATGATTGTTATTATTTTTACAGGGATTAACGGGCGAGAAAGATGTGTCTGGCAAAGTACTGGGTAACTACACTTACAATGATGATGGCAGACCTCTTCAGTTTTTCCCTATACAGGTAACGAGTTTCATCATGTTGCTAGCCCACCATCATCAGATGAGTGGCTATTCAAATCTCCCATCCATCTGTAAACAATTCTTGTTATCACTATTTTTGATTGGATCATTCTGATTTGGTCCCTAGTTATGCTCTTCTGTTTTGGAACAGATAAGAAAAGCAAAAAACTGATAGGCGACATCTTGGATTTCAGAATCAAAGACTTTTATCAGAAATTTTTGTCAGCATTCAAGCAGCATCAATCCTTGGCAGAGTTTGATCAAACATTAAATACTGGACCATTTTAGGCTATTCTCATTCACATCACTCACTGGTGAATTATGAGGGAATATGTATAGCTTGTGTTGATAAAAATGAGACTTTGCTGTCAGAGTAGATGTTTGATACTTGAACATTGTGAAGATTGTGGTCAAGATGTGAATGTTTTATCTTACAGGTTTCTGATCCAGGACTGTTCAAGTTTGTGGAACTCAAGATTCTAAGTAACCATGGTAATCCAGTATTCACATGTCTATACAGATTCCGTGTCCATGGCTCACCATATACAGGATGAAGAGTTTGTCCAGGAATATATGTCTACAGGGTCTAAACAATAATGGAGTTAGATGTGTTCATTAAAAAAGTTTATTCCTCACCATTGTGTATGATATATGAAATGATTTGAGCACTGTTCATGGCTTATACTTCATACCTCAAAGAACATTGTACTCTTTATGTTGAGAAGTGATGCTGTGAAAAAGTGCATTATGACTTACATCTTCAATTGTAGCAGCTTGGCTATACGTCAGTGTTACAAGGAAATATCCTGATGGATTACTACAAGCTTTCACCGGCTAGTGAAGTTAAACCATGTGATATGTTCAGACTATGGAACTGTGGTATACAGAAACAACACTATCTATGGACCCTGAATAGTACTCATTCCAAATGATAAGATGGCAGAAAACTTGAGATCACTTGTCATGTATAGAGAACTTATAAGGATTGGTAAATGTTGTTCTGACCATGCTTGAACAGATGGTTTTTGCCGCCAAAATACTTGCTCAGTGAAATATTTGGACACCAACTTAGATCTACAGCAATAGGTCAGATGACACATAATATGATTAACCATTGAGGAAAAAAACCAAATGTGAAAGGCTTTGATGCCGTTTCCTGTATGATTAACCTGATATGATTTTTTTTTCTAGGATATTAATTTTAAGGTGAAATTGTAATAAGGGGATTTGTGTGGTATTTATATTTAGCCAAGTTTATAGGAATTGATGAGAGAAAGTGTAAACATGAGTAAAATTATGTAAGCTGGTGCTGTGAATGGGAGAGTATTGGATGTGGAGACACAAAATTAATTCACATTTTGCTACACATGTAAAGATGGCTCTTAATATATATATTTATATATTACACATAGTTGTAAAGTTATCTTTGTTTAATATATCTGTGTATGTACATGCCTTTGTGATATTTATATGTGACTTTGGCTACTGTTATGTCTTTAAAGCATATATTTAGTGAATGGGACACATCCTGGCTAATATAGTATGGTGTTTGCCTCCGGCTGTCATAATCTGGTTTCTGCATGTTCATTTACTCTTTAGCAGATGCTAATATTTGATTTGGTTTGTAGCTGTATAATGAGAAGATGTAGCTGGTCACAATCAATTTATCTTTAGATTTTAGGCCCTCATAAGCACAAGTTTTATTTGTTGAATACGGCATTAGTAAGATGCTGAAACGTCTACATAAAGTTACTTGAGGGGGGAAATGTTAAAAAACGTAACTGGCTATAGTTCTTTATGTGTTCATTGCATAATACACAAAAATTCATTTCATGAAATTGAATCAATGGATATGTCAATACTTTATCTAATTTGGGATAGGTCAATACTTTATCTAATTTGGGATAGGTCAATACTTTATCTAATTTGGGATAGGTCAATACTTTATCTAATTTGGGATAGGTCAATACTTTATCTAATTTGGGAAAGGTCAATACTTTATCTAATTTGGGATAGGTCAATACTTTATCTAATTTTTGATAGGTCAATATTTTATCTAATTTGGGATAGGTCAATGCTTTATCTAATTTGAGATAGGTCAATACTTTATGTAATTTTGGATAGGTCAATACTTTATCTAATTTGGGATAGGTCAATACTTTATCTAATTTGGGATAGGTCAATGCTTTATCTAATGTGGGATAGGTCATTACTTTATCTATTTGCTTCCTTTTGCCTTTTTGGACAGTCTTCTGAATATTTAGTGTTATTTACTTATTGGTGAAATTTGCATAATTCAATGACCTTGCTTGAACTCTACATAAATGAAATTAGTAGCCAAGTTGCACCATTATTTTGTAATATTGGACATGAAATTAATGACACGTTTAGTTTTTTTCACCCATTATCAGTTCTCTTTAGATTGAAATTTGAGGTATTAACCATTAATTGGTTATCACATTGTTGATATGACTGAGATGCTGTCAAACCTTGCCTATTGGAGTGATATAGAAACACCTTGGCAATTATCAAGATTTCATTCCTGTATTGTTTTACGCTGCTGCCTTATATATAGGAGCTTGACTTTGTCATAAATGTACCAAATAAAAATATCATATCAAGTGGTAATAATGTGGGTCCTCAGAAATCTTTCCATTTAATTATACATTGTGCAATGTTGGTGACATGACTTTTTTTTCATTTTTTTTCTTTAATATAAATTTTATATATGACTGGATTTCTGATGTCAAATAGTTGTAGCATTTTTATGCCTGTTTTTACTACCTGATTGTTTTATTTGTAGTTATAGCAACTAGATGAATTCTTCTTTACATTTTGTTTCCATTCCAAGCAGTTAGAGAGCGATTCCTTTTGAAGTTTTTGTTTGGGCTTTGTAGATTTATGTTAAGTCAGTGATGAAGGTGTCAATGTTTACCCATATTTTGTTGAAGTGTTGTGTTTGTAACTTAGTGCATGGATCTGCATAATATAGCCATTTCTCATATGTGTACAAGGCTTACTGTTCAATGCCATTCATGTAGTTTTGTTTAATCTTAGATAAAGCAAGAAAAAATGGAAGTCATTACTTTTAGCTGATAACAGAACAAAGCAACACTAGTACTAAGGTTTCCATAGGTGCAGGTGTGAGAACTTAACCAATGTAATGATGTAAGATTTTATCTCCTTAGGAGTAAGAGGATTTATCTTAAAAATGTTTTAGTGATTCTTATTCATTCAGGGAAATTATTCTAATCATGAAGTTAATAGTTAACCTAGATGTTTATCAGAAGACAAAGGAAACAACACTAGGAGAGGTATCACATTGTACACAGAATTATTACCAAGTTAAATGCAGCTTTTTCTTTTTGTGTGGTATGTTAACACTAGATTTTGACAGTTTTGTCATTTTACCAGGTATTGCATCACCTTATTTTATCGCTTGAATCATTTCAGCTTTTTATACAGCATTGGCTTCTAAAACAGTAGTTCATTCTTCATTTTTATAACAGTAGAACCATTGGGTAACTCGGGAGGTTGCTAGAGCCCCGATAATCATCACACTGATAGTCCTTATTACTAATGTAATGATGGTTAAGACAAAATATTAAAGACCTTATTTGGTCAGCAGAAAATTCTATCAAATTTTAGATGGAACAGCTTTCATGACAGCTGATTGATGAATTGGCTGGAGATGTACAATATTTGCCTTGTTCTTCAGTTCACCTGTCTCTCAGATTTATGTTGATGTTGATTTCATTGCATGGAAACTTTTTCTGGGTTTTACATTAATCACAAATATTCAAGGGATTTTTTTTTTCTGCAGGTTTTTAACTGTGAAATGACAGTGTGCAAGTGAGAAACAGTTATTTCACAAATATTCTCATGTTTAAAAGATTTTTTTTATTTCTATCTTCTTTTTTTTAAGAATATTATTCATCAATGATCTGTTGATTTCACCTGTTTTTGTTTGTATTTCAGGTTGTTAAATGTAGTTTTACCTGTGGTAGAAGTCTCTTTGTGAATTATGTGAATGTCCTCATGTGTTTATTTGTACCATCATTAGTCTGTTTTTTATACGTAATGTGTTCATTTTTAGAATCAAATAAATTTTACAGACAGTGTTAAAGCCTCAAAATTCCTAACTGGTATAAGTGTATACCACTATCTATTATTGTGAAAGCAGCTAATTATGTAATAACGTCTTCTTGATGAATAATTAGTTGATGATATAAATAGAATTGAATATTAGATTGTAACTTTATATTGTTGATAACAATAATCTGTATCAATACAAATTTGATAGTAACGATATTTGGTGAATCGGAATTTATTGTCTCTCATATTAATAATGCAGTTTAAAAAATATCTTAATTGTGATTAATCCTCCCTGGAGATTTTATTTGGTTTGGTTGTCTTTTGAAGCCCCTACACAAGACAGACCAGTTAAGGTCAACACCACCTAAGCTGTCCAAGGTAGTTTGTTTAAATGTTATTATTGTTAACTTATATATGCTAGGCAGAAGGTCTGTTGACGTTGTGTATTTGTTGTGCGTTAAAGATATACGTGTATTGTTTCATTTTTACTATGACGTGTTAGGCAGCATCCTAAAATAAATCACTTACAGTCGTAACATCACATGTTGGTTATTTATCATAGAGTTTATGACAAAAGGTATCGGGATAATTCAATATGAACACTACATGGAATCTCCTATTGATAGTGTGGAGGGAAACAAGGAATAACATTGTAAAGAACCATGTGCAAAGATGTTTACGACTGCACCGTTCATCAATGAATTGTACAAAAGTAAAACATGAAGAATACCTTTTTATGACAATTATTTACAGCACGTTTACCAAATGATGAATTGAAATGCATCATACAGCTATTATTTCATCTTCTTTAGGACTCGTGATGATATTTGAAACTTTGAGGAAATTTAGGTATACTTAAATTTTACCTAGATCCCACTGTGTGACTTTTTTTTATGCTTTCCTACTTGTACTTGAGATAGGCTTTATAAGGGATAGAATTTCAAACCCTGCTTCTTACCAGATATAGCAAGTTATGGAAATATAGGACAGTACACCTCCCCATCTAGATTTTGACATTTCTTTTGATGACATTGGATTTTCTGCAGTCACTTTCATCATGGACACATCCTTGAAGGACCAACAGCAGTATGATGCAGATAATTTCATAAAGGGTCTTTTTCAAGAACAAGAAAAATTTTCCCATGAACCAATTTAAACTTGACTGTGTTTTAGTAGCACCTTGAGGACAACCAATGAATTAGGTTTGAAAAATTCAAAAGGTTTCAAGGACATGTGATATGACATTTAGTGCCGCGATTTATGGATGAACTTTCACCCGAAAAGCTATCAAGACAAATGATACCATTTTTTTCATAAACAGAAGTCTCTGCAAATGATTATCTCAAACATGCATCACAATATTGCAAAATGAAAAAAAGTGAAGTAATTTTAAACATGAAAAATGTTGAAATCTTAACACACATCTTTAGATAAGACCACATGGAAGGTTGCACCAATTTCTGGTTTTCGTACACCAAATTGTTATCTATCATTTGATGTATTGTATTAGAGCCAAGTGTGAAAATTTCAGAAAAATTGAGAACCAGAACAGAGCCAAATGGTCATCCAAGTTTCAGAAAGGGTTATGGTAGCGGCTGTATATTATCTTCCTGCTTATAAAGCATCAGTGAAGTCTTCAGTGAATGTTGAGCTTGACCAAGGACTTGAAATATGTCTATATGGTAAGATAATGGAAAACAAGTCCTTTATGAATTAGTCCATAATTTTGTATTGTAAGTTGTTTTTCACTTCAGTTTCTTTTGTGCAATCTTTCTTGCCTATAAATTCAGTATTAGGTCTACTTGTTCAGAGGGCCAGGTATCAGCTATATGTTTATTCCTTTTCTCTGTTTTAAGAATTGTCGTGTGTTCAGTGGTTCTGGATTTGACAGTGTTTTTGAGGAAAGGACAGCATTCTCATCAGATATTGTTTTAAGTTTGTCTATCATCTTCATCCTCTGCGATAAAATGTTCTTATTCTGAAACAAACAAATTGAGAGGAGTGCATGGGATGTAATGTGTTCCATGTCCATCTATCTTGTTGCGTCCCATTTAGAATCAATTTTATATCATCTGAACCTCTGGACAGATTTGGTTCATATATATTTATATAATCATAAGTTCTACACATTATCTTCTGAAAGTGGCTAACGTTTAGTAGAAATATTATACGAAGTTTTCAAAATTTCTTGGGTCACCTATGTCTTAGACATTTTTATCCAGAATTGTTAAATGTGTCTTTGGTAAATAACATGCATTTTTTTACAGACTCCTGTAAGTGCTAATATTGTACATTCAACAGATGGAAGTTGTTGAAGTCTACTGTTTAACGATCACCGTCGTGATCTCACTGGAACGTATTTTTCCATATACGGTCTGAAGTTTTAGATATGTTGGATGATCGTTAGTATACTTGGCAGTTTAATTGCTTTGATTATGTTGGTTTTGTTGATGGAATGTTCTTCTACTTTACTTATCAGTGAAACTCTCCTTTCTGGAATACCTGGTCCGTTAATTTCTATGTGCTTTTTCATATGTAAATATTTTGCTCATATTTTTTTTTTCAAATTTGAGCTTGACTTATGACTTATGTTGACTGTTTATTTCTGTAATGACGTGATTTATGTAAAAGTCTGTTGACATTATATAGGTAGATATAGGTATGTCATCAAATGTACGACCTGACTGTCGAGGTATGTCATTTGACCATCTGGACTGTCGGTGATAACAGCCTTGTTTGAGTTCCCGTAGTAAATGTGAGGGAAGAAAACCAGGTGGAACAATGGGCTTACATTGCTGTGGAAAGAGATATGTACAGTAGAACACAGCAGTACACAGATGACTGGAGAATTATGTGTCGTGGAAGAAATTATTTGACCATGCCATGCTGTAAACAAACTTATTGGACTCAAATACAAAATGATATAATGATGAATTGTGACAAGAATAACAGTAACTTGTATGTATGGAAGTAGTAGCATTTAATGGTGAAATCTCTCCTGATATTGGCACGGTGTTGAATACATTGAAAACTTGAATCTCTGCGTTGTTATATCCAAATGAGATAGCTGAATAGACAGGATAAATAACCAGTCTCCTTGGATACATCTATTGTTGAGGATGTTGATGTCTTGGATAACACCATTACAGCTTTGAGGCATAACGTGGTAAAACTTGTGCTTTCGATGAAATAACTACTGATGTTTTACACAACGAGGCGTGCATGCACTGTTCACTTTTTTAATGTTTGTCCTAATACCGTTCTGGACTCGCTAATTAAGAAGTTTGTGGCCTTCCAGAACATGTGCATATGACCATAGAGATTGGCCGTTATTATGGTGGGTGTAGCTTTCCAACCTAGGTATCAGGGGCCAGGGCGATGAGTGTGGCAATAAGCTTTGAACTAAATATAAGCACGTTTAGTCCTATGAGTCCCATGTACAGATGTCTCTCGCGAGGTCACAGAGTAGTCAGGCGCGGATCCAGGATTTCGGGTGAGCGAGTGTGCACATTTTTGAAACGAAAAATCTTCCCTGTCCGTAGCTGTGCAAACTCAATAATAGGGGACTGCGATACCGTGAAGACAAGAACCGCTTCTTGGATTTTGTCAGAAAAGGCTATTTGCGACTGTTTCTTTGATGAAATTGAGGAATCCTTTTCACAAATTTTGTACATGTATGTGTCGGTCTTCCTTGGTTACTAGTGTTTGATGTTCTGTTCTGGGTACAATCGAGGAACTGGTCTACAAAAGAATATACATGTCGCTTGGATTTCGACAAACCATCTAACTGAATTTCATCGGTTAGGGTTCTGTTGATGCTTTCTTATCTATGTCTAGTTTTTAGACTGATTGGAAAGTTACTTGCGGTCGCTGTTTCATAAAAGTGAACGTGCTGCACGTGAATAACACGATACCCTTCCTTCAGGTGGGTTCTACGTTCTTACAGAGCGAGAACTAAAGAGTAAAGAAACTTGTCGATGAACTTACAAAGTAATAACTTGTCAGAGTCCAATTGTTATATAAATACGTGTCCAAAGTTCGTATGTGATTGAAGGATTGACGTGTCATAGACATATAAACATGTGTGATGATGAAATTTCGTTTTATTATTCTCGCAAAAAATGGTCACTTTTCACTTGGCCAATTTTAGGCGCTGAACCACCAGTTGAAGCACACTTGCCACGGTCATGTGTGGAGTGGCACCACCACGTCTTGAGACGTTATGATAACCTACCTATGATAGATGCGGCCAGCCGTTTTTGCGGAGACCATGTGGAGGATGACACAATACTGGTTAATATGTTGTTATCTAGTGCATTGTCTATGACGATAACGTGACAATGCCTTTCACAGTGCTTCACATATTGATGTCAGTTTTAACAATTATAGCAAAGGTGAAAACATTGTGTTAAAACGTAGTAAGAAAGCTGGATAATATTAGGCGGCGAAAGTCTTTTATTATGAAATGTGATCATTAAAAATGATAGCAGGTTTTTAACGTTATGTTTTATAAATTAATATTGTCTTGTAAGATTAACTTAATTCTTTCATAACTCTAAAGGTGGCTTTCTTTGTCTGTTTTATGACATCTTTTTATCTCGATTGTAATATGTGTATCTAAAAGGTGAGAGTTAAATACTTGTATCTTTGTATGACCTGTATGTAATAACTTTGTCTCACTTACATATATGACGACAATTTAGACTGATTTGTTTCGAGATGCATCTGTACGGCAATAACTGTGATACGCTTTATATGTATAATACGTACTGCTGTACAATGAAATGTACACATTTAATGTTTTCTACCATCAGATACTGTTCATATATATTACTACGCCACACAAAACACATGAAAAATGATGTTTATTCACCATGAAGAGAAAACAATGAACACAGTATGCGCAAGGTGAATTAAATGGGGTTGTCGTAAGAACGTACTGTTCAAAACAATGGCATAGTAGGCAAATTCTGAAAATAAAATATAAACAATTAGGTTTGTGTATATACACAAAGAAAAATGGCCTCAATGGCATCGAAACTAGGTTATGTAATTAGGAAAATTTGGTGTATATAGGACAAAAAACATGATCAGGTTATGGTTTTGTTGGTCTGTAATTAGATAACCTAACACTCTCGGTCTCTAAAGTATTAGTGTTATTAGAAGTTATTTTTCACTCGTTATATTCTATATATATTCTATAATACATATAGAAACAAATTTATTACCATTAATTGTTATTACAATTCATTAATATATATTAGATAAAATTACTAAGTAACAACCCTGCCCCCTGATCTAATGGTACTATAAATAGATTACTTAGTTACAAGCCTGTCCCCTGACCTAGTGGTACTATAAATAGATTACTTTGTTTCAAGCATGCTCCTTGACCTAGTGGTACTATAATTAGGTTGCTTAGTTACAAGCCTGCCCCCTGATCTAGCGGTACTATAATTAGATTACTTAGTTACAAGTCTGCCCCCTGACCTAGTGGTACTATAAATAGATTACTTAGTTACAAGTCTGCCCCCTGACTTAGTGGTACTATAAATAGATTACTTAGTTACAAGCCTGCCCCCTGACCTAGTGGTACTATAGATATATTACTTTACTTAGTTACAAGCCTGCCCCCTGACTTAGTGGTACTATAAATAGATTACTTTACTTAGTTACAAGTCTGCCCCCTGACTTAGTGGTACTATAAATAGATTACTTTGTTACAAGCATGCCCCTTGACCTAGTAGTACTATAAATAGATTATTTAGTTACAAGTCTGCCCCCTGACCTAGTGGTACTATAACGGGTTTAATAGCATTAAATGTACTTACTGTTTTGATTACTGGGACATTATCACAGAAATCTGGGGGCATGAATACCATTGGGTCCTTGATACCGGGAGTGATATTACTGTAACCGAGGGACTGCATGTACCGACCTGCAAGAAATTAAGTCAAAATTAAACACATGTACCGAATGAAAGATGCCATTTAACTTTCAAACCCTGTACAACGCTGTCAGAAATTATGTCACAACTAACAAATATGTCGAACAAAAAGCGTCCTGCACATCCTGGTCACAGCACCATTTTAAGGTGAAGCTAGAAACAAACAAGTTATCGCCGACGATCAACAGTAGGTAAAGTTTGCAAGCTCCGGAAAATTTTCATGAGTTATTTCAAATGTATATAAACGTTCATTGTACTGGAAGCTGTTTCATTATATCAAAGAGAAGAATATGAAAAAAGCAACTTACTGCCTTCAAACTCCCCATAAACAACTTCTTGTACTGGTGCGCATGTGTCGGTTGTCATAGTTGAATACACTTGGAAACCGTTTTTAACGTAAGAGTATGCGGTTACGTTGATTGGTGTAAAAGCGCCGTAGTATGTGTCTCCGTCTTTATGGGCATCAGCTGTTGATGATAAGAATGATCTCATTGAGTATGTTCAACAAAACGTTCATAATATGGTTTAAACTATACATTGTCAATATCAACAATAAAAAAATCGAAAGTCATTGCGATGGAAAACAAAATAACACAAGACTTGCCGCAATACCATTAATACTGTCTTAGACTTCTGTAGAAAGGCGTTACGGTAATAGTCTTGTGTTATTTTATTCAATATGAATTACTGTATGTATATTGCTTTGTAATTCAATGTTTGTTATATCCTATGTATTTACTTACAGGGAATACAGCTTTCCACGAAAACTCCTAGAGTGGTCTTTGTACACTTGGGTCCCTGGACGGTGTACTGAATGCCCTGTTTGAGAATACGTTTATGATATTTACTAAATGATGTCCAATTTTAACGAGAATTCCTGATTTCTTTAATCATCGAGCTTTCACCTTAACCCCAATTGTTTCTTCTCAGCAATTACACGCTGATGATTTAGAATGTGTGGTCAAATATTATCTAAATGCCGAGGTTAATCATCTGAATTTTCAGATATTCGATCATCACAATAATTCGGATTAAATTTTATCAACCATGGCATGTAAAAAGCGATTGCTTATTTTTGCACGCATGAAGTATTTCCTTACCGCGGCATAGTCAAGAATGACTCCAGCAGAGTTGGTGTAGTTGCCGCTGCTGACAGATTGAATGGTAGCAACACGTTTGTTTGTGGCATCGTACGAAATCAGATAGGATGACTGTACAAAGAAAAAACAACCAGGATTTGTTATTTCATGAACCCAGGCAACATGTCCAAAATATGGTAATGGATTATATCATAATTTGCAGATTATTACAATAGAAAGCAGACCAAGATAAAGGGTCAAACGGACTTTAATAGAAATTATATTAAGAAAAAAAATTCTACAATATCTGAGAAAGAGAATACTTACATTCGTTTTATAAACAGCATATGAACTGGAAAACTATGGACACAGGTCACCCTGGTAGTTTTAAAACGTTATTTGGAATGTCAGTTCTTGTCAAATGAATCTATGTCAGAAACAGTTAAATGGTGTAAACTTACCGACACAATAGTTGGTTGCGCGGCATTATCTGTTGTCATGGCTAAAAGGTTTCCTTGGACACCCTCCCATTGTTTCGGCACACAGCAGATTTGGGCACTGGCCACCACGGCGACGGACAATGTGACTAGGACTTGGAACATGGCTTCTGTTGGTGTGCTGCTTACTCGACGTCCTCTCAGGTTGTGACTCCTGAAACACAACTGGCCGGTCTACTTAGACCAATGTACGTGACCTATCGCTCTTGTCCATCTGTCTTATCAACCCTTATCATACAGACCTCTGCTACACAGTGACATTGTCTTACTCAATACCATCATTGTTATCTTTGACAAGTACCTACATACTATCACCTGTGCAGTGGGGTATCTCGCAACCCCAAAGTATTGACAATGTTTCACGTAACACTGGAATCGTGTTACATTACTGTATAGTAACTGTTAGTTTTAGGTTTCGAAGTGTATAACGTAACCATGTAAATTTTGAAGACCTTAACAAAACACTAACACAACATTTTAAAAGAAGGGGTACTTGACTATAGAGGAATGGTACATTGGATATGTTTCAGATAAACTGAAAACAGTTAATGTGTTTACACTCAATGGAGACCAACTTTTCTCTGTTGTATTAAATGCCTGGAAAAGCAAACTTACATATAAACCTGAGTTTGGTACATAAAGAGCAACTGAAGAAAAAATGTTCCTCGTTTTCAATAATATTTTATAAATAGAAGAGCCTAAAGCTTCTTGAGTTATTTTTCATGTGACCATTCGCTATTTCCAAATCATAATCACATGGATCGCAAAGAAGATGAAACTCCCCACCTGTTAGGTAAGATTCCAGACGAAAACCTCATACAGTTGTACAAGAATTTATCTTGTCATAATAGACTGTCGATGTTAAGATTACCAGTTTTTCTACTTAAGTTTAATGTTTATGTTAACTAGGTCACTTTCTTCCTAATCAGGACTGTTGTAACAATGCTAATACTCTACTAATACATACCTGTCAATGTATCGTTGGTGTGTAAGATTTTGTTTAGTTGAATCATTTTTTGATAAATGGGTCGATTGAAATGTTATATTCTAGAGAGACCGTCACAAACTTGGATTATAATGTGGAAATAAATAAAAAAAAAATCCTCGTGTCTTGGGTCATCGTTATCTGATCTACTGATGCCCAAGATATGATTGCAAACTTTTAAATGATCATCTTTTAAAGGGAGAGAACTATCACATTGCCAGATCTATTTTTGCATTCAGAAACTTTTGAATATATGCAACATATTTCTAATTTATAAGTTCAACATATACACTAACAACAGATCCCAGTATAGACATTGGATCTTAGCAGGAAACGTCAATTTTGTGTAAAAAGACTCTCGGGCGACAAATCTTAAACAGAGGTTAGGAACTAAGTTCATGTTTACATTCGTTAGTCGGAAGAATGTCGATATTTCATAAGTTCAATTTGAACACTAATACATTTTAGTTTTATTATTTTAATATTTGCCCTTAGGAACCAAAGCAGATCATCATACACAATGATATACGAGCGCAGGACCATTAATCTGGGAAACGGTCTTTGATGTGGAACCTTTTTAAAATAAAACATTACAGCTATACAACAAACTCTGAAACAGACAAATTATGTTAAAAAAATATCCCCCCTCCAAAATAAATAAATAAATGAATAAAATAAATAAAAGCCGTTTCGTTGTACATGTATGTATATTCAGGGATAACAAGTAGCAACATGCACATTTAAGGTTCAAACAAATTTGGTCTGTGCTTCCTAATAACACCAGAAGGTGTGAATTATCCGAAAAATGAAATGGTTTCAGTGATTTGTATGTTTTAGTTTTGTCTAAGAACAATAACTATTTAAACACGGGGTTTCAGAAATTTAATATCCTTTTCAACTGGCGCCAAAAATGTGATGGCAGTATATGGTGAGAGCTCTATCATTATTTATATAAGATAAATGACGAGGACTGCTGGTCAGGACCATACCTTACATGTTACGCTGTAATCTAATCTTAGATTAAACGTTCGTTTTTGCTTACCGTCGACAACATGAATACTACATCCGTGACTACACCTAATGTACCCGTAAACAGTTTATTATATAAATATATACACGTACTTTGTATATTTTCACTTGTACTATTTCAGAATAATTTCTGTAAATTTAATATGTTATCAAGTTACAACGAAATTATAAGAATAATGCTGATAGAACAAACGGAAATATAGCTCAAGGGAATCAACTCCTCTGTGGTATGCGTTCAAGGGAGGCAACTACGTTATTTCCAATATGGCGAGCTCCAAGGTAAACAACCGGGTTGCGATGCTCGAACGAACATGAAGTAGCAAAATATGGAGGGTAAATTGAAAGCGAGAATGACTGGAAATGTCCCCACAACTCTTGGGAGACCTGTTGGTGTAATGGCATTAGAAGAACCGGCCTCAAGAATGCGAAGGACAATCGCAAGGTTAGTTTAAGTTTGGACACAGATTGACTTTCAACAGCAATGTTAGTCACGACTTCTAGTCAGATGGTTTGACCACCTGCAGTGTAAGCCTATAGTTCACATCGTCATACAAACGAGAATAAATAACCCAATTTAATTATTTGTAGCATGTGCTGATGCGTGTTTACCAGTACACAGGCCTGCTTTCAGTTACCCAGAAAAACGTTACTCTGTACAAAGAAATGTCAAATGGTCTCGGCTGGTAGCTTGTGCTTTTAAGTCAGTTGTTGGAAATGCTCTTTGCCTATACCTACTACAACCATTGCAATGACACATGAATATATAATTATATAAATACCCCCCCCCTCCCCCAGAATATCAATTTCGTATCATGCACTACAACAACGACATTTGAGGGATTAAAGACACAGATCCATTACAAGGTACATATACATATATATGTATCCTTTAACCCCTTAGCGGAACATTCATCTTTTATTTCTACCTTATACTCCACAAAAATTAACAGAAGAAAATAGAACACATAGAAATAAAACATGAATGCACTTTTTTTATTCCCTTGTATGCCACTACACACATGTATTTGTCAATATGTGGATGGCTTTAAGTAAAGAAGAAGAATTATATTACAAACTGTAGCAATCTATGGATATTTTCTGTTAGGCTTTTTATTCTGAAAAATAATTATTAATGTGTAGACTGTTGAAGTAACTTTCATGTTCCATGTATGGTTTTGGAATCATTAAGAATATATATATATATTTACAATTTTAAACTTATTTGATACTGATGAAAAATTAGAAAAGTCTATGAATACAATTTTTACCTTTCAACCCCAAAGTTTTCAATCTTCAAACTTTTAAACTAATCATCAACTAAAGTCAATATGTAACATTACTGTAACAAACTTGATATCATTAGAGAATTGATACACATTGATGATACATCTTTAAGAGAAATATAAATGCTTTCCCTAGAATGTGCTCCATTATTTAAGAAAAACTGCACAATTATGATTAAAGCATGCAAGTCTGCTCAGGGTTTTCCATAATTTTGTTAGTAGTAGGCTGTGTAGTGAAAGTAGGAGGCTGGCCTGCCGTGTACCTGTAGTAGTGTACATAACATTATTACGGAACTGGATTGGTGTAGGCGGCCAAATGATCAAAGTAGCCGGTCAAATTGGCCGGCGACCGGCTCTTGTGGAAAACCCTGTCTGCTATTTGAAATTCAAAACTGAAAAAAATGACAGCAATTGCATAATTTTATTGGATATTTTGAATTTGAATTATAATTGAATAGTGTAAATAGTAAACCATACAGCATTACAAGTAGTCTTCAGGAATCCCATGAATGATGCCATTTGATTGTGGTTGTTTTTATTGCCAGTTCTGGTCATAACAAGCCGGTAATATTACGGCATGATATGGGTGCTGGTCCTGCACCACTGTCCCAGAGTCGGTCATGCCCAACACAAGATCTCACAGATAACCAAGGCAACACATTGGAGGAAAGTCCAGAATGTGATATACAGTTCATAGATGTTCCAAAAAAGAGACAAAGTTTGAAAAGCATGCCCGACCCAGTAGTTGGTCGAGTGTTTAACCCAGATCTCGATGGGGACCGAAAGGAGATAGGGTCAACAAATAAACTTATCAAAAGGAACTCTACAGGAAAAATATTACCAATGGACCATGGAAATCCCAGTGGAATTAAAAGCGGTGCTACTAACAGTATTATAAATAAAAGTGGTTTTCCTGAGGACAGTAATGGAAGTGCTTCTTCCCTACACAGAAACCGAGGCTCTAGTTCAAATGAAAGGACAAGTGGAATCTCGAGAAGCAGTATTCAAAGTGGTGTTCCTAGAAGTGGTAAGAGAGAAAAAGGAAGTTATAGGACTGGTGTTTCTGGAAACCGAAGTGGCATTCAAGGTCAGCGAAGTGGTGTCTCCAGTATCAACATGGAAAGAAATGATCAGTCAAATAGTGGGAGGCCGAGCAGTGGTAGACAAGCCTCATCCTCTAAAAGGAGGACGTCTGCTTCCTGCAGTGGCACTGACAAAAGTAGTGCCCCTGACAAAAGCAGTGCTCCTAGTAGTGGTACACGCCGAGGAAGTGCTTCCAGTAGTAGAAGAGGGAGTGCTTTAGGCAGCACACGGAGTGCACACAGTGATGTCTCAGAATCCGAGATCAGCCAGAGCTCTGAGTTCTCAGAAGTACCAAAACCTTCCAGAGTAATTGACCCAAATGAAATTGTAAGTTTTAGTTATGAACTATCCGATAATTATTGATAAACAAAATTAGAAATTATGTGTGATAAAGTATATCATAACCATAAGCAATCTGATGCAGTTGTAAATCAAACTAGGCAAACTGATGCTTATATACATATATGTTCAGTGCTCAAGTTGTCATCAACTTTAAATAATAATCAGGTCCTCTTTCAGCATGAGAAAAAAAAATACAAATGATAACAGGCCTTTAGGCCTTTTGTTAGTGAGTACAACAGTGAAGAGTGAAATGTATATAGACATAACGAGGTCTTATTTTTTTTACAGCTTGAGCAGAATCAGGAAAGAGACTTTGAGAAAATTTATGAGATCAATCTCCATGCCTCTGAATTGACTGCCATCTCCAATTTAGAAAAAGTAAGCTTAAAAATATTTATCCATTTCTCTGTCTTTGCAGTATTGTTTTAAATCGTTTTCATAAAGCACAATTATGATGTTAACACATCTTTTGATATTGCTAAATTAATCTAAAAACAGAGACATACATAACATGTATATGTCTCTGTCTAAAAACAAATTAATTATACTTGAACATATTTCGAAGTGATTTGAATTTCTGGCTTAAAATATTAACATAGATATAACAGTTTATTCCATTGGTCTAGCTCTCTGTCCATGTTGTGTCTGTGGAATACAAGGTAAAAGGTCAAGGTCACAGACACTTCAGAATCATTACTGATATTATTATATTGAGACAATATCACCTCTAAAGGAATCAGCTTTTGGTTAATATACAGATACACATTGTAAGATACCTTTAGCATGTTGATGAGATCTAAGCTCAATACCTTCAATGCATTTAAGTGAAATGTGTGAAGAAAAATGAAAGAGTGTTTTTATTTTTTATACATACATAGAAAGCATCTTTGGCAAAATATTTAAAACCACACAATAAATTTTACATTGATTTATTGATTTATTTAAGGTCTCGCAGACAATGAATGCTTGACTTATTATCTCAATCACAATGTATATTTTGTATATATGCTGGTAGCCCTTTATGTGATATAGATTAGAAGCATCCTTTAACAAATTGTTGTTGTATATCAAAGTTATTGATTTGTTTTCTTCTGATCATCAGATAATACCTTCATTCTTTTAACATTCTTTTTTATTCCAGTTTATCAAAGTAAGAGTACTAGATCTATCGTGCAACTTCATTGAAAAAATTGAAAACTTAGAGCCAAACTCGGTAAGTTTTGACAAAGTAATATACATAATATATAGGTCACTGATAGGTTTACAATAAACTTAATAATTTAACCAAAATCAACTTTTTATGTGAACTTCAATTGAACATCAGACTGCCTTCCATTGGAAGTAATTTTTAGAGAACTGAAGAAGGAAATCAATATGGTTCTTCTGACTCTTTAAAATGGTGATGCAACTAGATTTGCAGTGTTATGGTAAGAGTTTGGAATATTACTGTGAAGTTTTATGTCAATAAAAATAATATGGCTTGTTTTACGTAGAAAAGTTATGTAATTTCTTACAGGATTTGAGGGAACTTAAACTTTATGACAACAGGCTGAGGACAGTAGAACGACTGCGAGGGTGAGTAATACACCTTATGATGGGATAATGGTTATTATTAGGTTAATACAAAAACGAAGAAAAGATTGTGGTTATAAGAATTAGGTACCAGTTAAGGGCTTTGATAACTTTGTTTGTAAAACAACAGTATTTACAAACCCAGGTGTAGGTCTCACTAGGGTGTGTGTTGCGATGATCACAACCCAGGTGAATGTGTTGCAATGATCACAACCCAGGTGAAGGTCTCACTAGGGTGTGTGTTGCGATGATCATTGTTATTTACAATCAAATTTACATGGTTATGTGCTAGAGATGCAAGAATGAAGAACATCAAAGGTTTGTTGTGATAGAAAAAAACTGTTTGCAATGGCATTTTCAGAACATGATAAAGATAGTTGTATGTATCTTTTGCCTTCATTCTTTTTCTCACTCTAAAAACTGAAACGTCCTTAAAGTTTGCTGTGTTATATTTAGTTAAACTTTATGGAATAGAAAAAACAGCAATGATGTTGTGATATAATAAAATTACTGACAAAGTATGTTAGTATCCCTGAAAGCGCACAAAAAAATTGTGTATAATTATCATTGAACTCTCTATGACTGACAAAGTTTGTCAATATCTCTGAACGTACACAAAAAATTATGTATAATTATCATTGAACGCTGTATGACTGATAAACATTTTGCTGCCTTACCTACATTATATATAGCGTTTCATTTCAGATGTAAAGAACTAAGTAACTTACAACTTCAACATAATAAAATCAGACAGATTGGTGAGTAGTCTTCTTAGGCTTATTACAGATTTACTATAGATTTACTTCCATACACATGTAGATTAACTTTCATAGAAAGTCTACCATAGATTAATAATTTTGAAAATGATTCCAATACCTTGGTATGGGGTCAATTTTCTGAAGAAAAAAATGAGTAATAGTGAATTGATTTTTCTTTGTGATATTTATGAATGACATCAGAAACTATTCTGCCTCCAATCAGCTAAAATGAAAATTTGAAGAGCGGTTTTATTTATATCTTATCTATATCTATATCTTAGGAAATTAAATCACATACCAGATTCTATTTATCATATTATATATATATATATTCATGAAAACAATTTATCATGCTGACTTCAAACCTAAGTAACATATTGGTTCAAAGTAATTTTCTTAAGTAATGTCATACTACAGTTGTAAGCTGTTGTATGTTTACATTTCCAGGTAAAGGACTGAGTGGTTTATCTAAACTGAAACACCTGCGTATAGACTGTAATCGCCTCCTCAAATTGGAGGCAGCTGAGCTGTCGTGTTGCTCCCAGCTGACCACACTGGACATCAGTTTTAATCTACTTGACAACATCTCAGTAAGTAGCTTCTTTGTTTCCAATCTTACCTTTACTGCTCTGTCAAAACATGTATACTATTAATCCATTTTCCCAAATTCAATGAGGTTATCATATCTCACAAGAACAATTATCTTAGCTAAAATATATTCAGAGCCATTAGGTATTTTTGTATCCAAGCTTTGGAAAGTTATTAGTTGCTAAATGCAAACTATCTTTCCAATAATTGAATATGAAGCAATTCAAAGTTAGCTAAATGATAAACAATGTAGGACACTTTTGTTGGAGACTTAATTCAGTGAACAAGTTTCTGCCATGAATGCTAAATATGATACCTGTATATTAAAAGTCATACAGCAGGATGCAGGTCTATATTCCTGAATGACACCATTTTAATGTGTTTAATTTACCTAAAGTATGATTTTTAATTATTTTTGTAGGCACTAAATTACCTTCCTCACCTTGAAGAGTTGTTGGCTGCAGGGAACAGGCTGCGCAGTGTTGACCTGTCTCGCTGTAAACGGCTACAAGAAGTAGATCTATCGCATAATAAGCTTACAGACATTAGTGGTCTGCGAGGTCTTCCCAACCTACAGGTTAGTGTTACACTTAATATACATCCTACAGGTTAGTGTCACACTTAATATACAACCTACAGGTTAGTGTTACACTTAATATACAACCTACAGGTTAGTGTTACACTTAATATACATCCTACAGGTTAGTGTTACACCTAATATACAACCTACAGGTTAGTGTTACACTTAATATACAACCTACAGGTTAGTGTTACACTTAATATACATCCTACAGGTTAGTGTTACACTTAATATACAACCTACAGGTTAGTGTTACACTTAATATACAACCTACAGGTTAGTGTTACACTAAATATACCACCTACATATTAGTACTACATTGACTATACCACCTACAGGTTAGTACTACATTGACTATACCACCTTCAGGTTAGTACTACATTGACTATATTACCTACAGGTTAGTATTACATTGACTATATTACCCACAGGTTAGTATTACATTGACTATATTACCTACAGGTTAGTGTTACATTGACTATATTACCTACAGGTTAGTGTTACATTGACTATATTACCTACAGGTTAGTGTTACATTGACCATATTACCTACAGGTTAGTACTACATTGACTATATTACCTACAGGTTAGTATTACATTGACTATACCACCTACAGGTTAGTATTACATTGACTATACCACCTACAGGTTAGTATTACATTGACTATATTACCTACAGTTTAGTGTTACATTGACCATATTACATACAGGTTAGTACTTCATTGACTATATTACCTACAGGTTAGTACTTCATTGACTATATTACCTACAGGTAAGTATTACATTGACTGACTATATTACCTACAGGTTAGTACTACATTGACTATATTACCCACAGGTTAGTACTACATTGACTATATTACCTACAGGTTAGTATTACATTGACTATACCACCTACAGGTTAGTATTACATTGACTATATTACCTACAGGTTAGTACTACATTGACTATATTACCTACAGGTTAGTATTACATTGACTATATTACCTACAGGTTAGTATTACATTGACTATATTACCTACAGGTTAGTATTACACTGACTGACTATATTACCCACAGGTTAGTATTACACTGACTATATTACCCACAGGTTAGTACTTCATTGACTATATTACCTACAGATTAGTATTACATTGACTATATTACCTACAGGTTAGTATTACATTGACTATATTACCTACAGGTTAGTATTACATTGACTGACTATATTACCCACAGGTTAGTATTACACTGACTATATTACCCACAGGTTAGTACTTCATTGACTATATTACCTACATATTAGTACTTCATTGAATATATTACCTACAGGTTAGTACTTCATTGACTATATTACCTACAGGTTAGTACTACATTGACTATACCACCAACAGGTTAGTATTACATTGACTATATTACCTACAGGTTAGTACTTCATTGACTATATTACCTACAGGTTAGTACTACATTGACTATATTACCTACAGGTTAGTATTACATTGACTATATTACCTACAGGTCAGACTATATTACCTACAGGTTAGTACTACATTGACTATATTACCTACAGGTTAGTATTACATTGACTATATTACCTACAGGTTAGTGTTACATTGACTATATTACCTACAGGTTAGTACTACATTGACTATATTACCTACAGGTTAGTATTACATTGACTATATTACCTACAGGTTAGTATTACACTGACTGACTATATTACCTACAGGTTAGTACTACATTGACTTTATTACATACAGGTTAGTATTACATTGACTATATTACCTACAGGTTAGTATTACATTGACTATATTACCTACAGGTTAGTATTACATTGACTATACCACCTACAGGTTAGTATTACATTGACTATATTACCTACAGGTTAGTATTAAATTGACTTTACCACCTACAGGTTAGTATTACATTGACTATATTACCTACATGTTAGTACTTCATTGACTTTACTACCTACAGGTTAGTACTACATTGACTATATTACCTACAGGTTAGTATTACATTGACTATATTACCTACAGGTTAGTACTTCATTGACTTTACTACCTACAGGTTAGTACTACATTGACTATATTACCTACAGGTTAGTATTACATTGACTATATTACCTACAGGTTAGTATTACATTGGCTTCCCAATCTTCAGGTTCAATAAGTATTACATTTACTCCCCAACAAACAGACGTTCCACCCTACAAGTTAGTATTACACTGACTTTAAGCACCTACATGTTAGTATTACAATGACTGCCCAACCTTCAAGTTAACAGAATAATAAATAATAATAATGGATTTTATTTCAGGTTGATAACACTTGAGTCAGAGACTTTTCTAATAAATGGTCAGTAAAATGTACAATATTTACAAATTGAATTTTTAAAATTTCATCGTCACAGATAAGTTATAGTGTATCACAGTGAACTGATGGAAATTGTAATGTCTATTAATCAAAAGCAGTGCACTCATTAAAATCATAATACAAAAAGTTAAGTATACCCTCGCAGTGGTTTGTCGAGTGTATATAAATGTAGAAAAACTCCTTTACCTACATCATATATTCATATGCAAAAAGACAAAAAATGATGTCCCTGCCATACAGGTTACATTTCTCATCCAAATGTCTTGAAACTCCACACAAATGATTGCAATCATAGTTCTTGTACCAGACTTCCAACCATGTGCAGTGAAAGACTAGGTGATTGATACTGTAGGTAGAAATCAACAGAATTTACACATTACCACTCTACAGGCTGTATTTCTAAACTGATTTGTACAAAACTCCACACACATGATCACAAACCTTACTTCATGTATGAGTTTGACTTCCAACCTTGTGCAGTCAAAAACAAGGTCACTGTTACTTTAAATAGAAATCATCAGAAATTTTATGTCCTTGCTCTAATGGCTCAATAGTTTCTCTGATTTGTACCAAACTTCATACGTGTTCACAAAGATCACCTTTTGTATGAGTTCAAGTTTTGACCTTCAGTGGTTAAAAAACTAGGTTAACTTTGCTATATAGAATTTGACTGAAATTTGGATGTCGTCACTCTACAGGTGCTTATTATTGTCCACTACAAAGTTCTCCAGCATCATTAACGATCAAAATGAAAAAAACAGTTGCACTGCAGAAGGTACAAATGTGAAATCTTACAAGATGTGATGTTTGTATACATGTGTAGGTTTCTGTTAACTTCTACCATATCATACAATTTAAGGTGCGAGAACATTTGTACTGTGTGTGATGCCTTGTTTAGAATATAAATGATTCACAACCAATAATGGAAGAAAGCTAAAATAGCCACGACTAAAATGTATAAAACATCTGCCTGAATAAACCATTTCTGTCTTGTGTTTGGTTATAAGTTACTTTCCTCGTCATGGACACTGGAAACCAGGTTATTACATTGTAGATAAGTCAGTTGAATATGTTTATTGTGAAATATACATTCTTTTTGTGCATTCTTTCTTGTTTGTTTATGTATGATTGAGATCAGTGCCCCTAAACATCACAACAGTAATCCAATTATGGTAGAAAGAAAGAGTAATAAATACACTGTCTTTTCAACCCACTGTTTAATATTACTCTGACATTGTACAAGTATTACATTGTCTTCCCTCCTTACTGGTACATGTTCACTAACATACCCACCTACCACCTACAAGGATGATCATTTTAAAACTGATTTCCAAAACTGACAGTTCAACTAGCTTCAATGTTTATGGGCCCCCGTTGATTGATACAGATTTCTAGTGTAAGGATCAGTTCATTCTTGAGTTTACCACAAGTTGCCTCCCCTGACACATGTTTCAGTGTTTCATTTTTATACCGACACTTTCCTAACCAAGACTGAGTCAGTACCAATGTAGTAATGGAAGAAAACATTACAAACTGCAGATGAGAAATGTTTAGGCTTAAAATAAAAGTGTCCAATAAAAATTCACAGACATCACTCGTAACCTGTATAATACGCTGATTCTAAACAGATAATATAATGCATTCAAGATTTTCCAAACCAGTCACTGTCACAAAACTACCCTATGGGCATTGAATACAATATTTTATGTTTTTGATATGATCTGACCCAAAAGGTCAAGATGACCTGTTGTTATCATGCATTGTCTGTCATTGTGTGAATTGTGCCATGCACCGTTCGCTATTCGCTGTCTGTAAACTTTTCCTATAAAACAATACTCCTGCTAAATGCCTCAGTGGATTTCAACCAAATATGGTCTGAAACATCATTAGGTGTGGGGAATCTTTTCTTAAATTCAGAAATCTGATTTGACCTGGGGATGGTTCCCCAAAAGGGTAATTAGATAATACTTTGCTTCAAAATGATACTCTTCCTTAATGCCTGAATTGATTTTATTCAAATTTTGTAACATCAGTAGAGGTGGGCGAATAATTTTTGAATTCAGAAATTTGATTAAACTCTTGGGGAGTTGGGGTTAGGGCTCCAAAAGGGGAAATTAGACAATATTTTGCTTCAAACTGCTACTCCTTCCTTATGTCTTGGTGGATTTCAACCAATCTGTAAATGTTGACAATTAATTCTTAAATTTAGAAAGTTTATATGACCCCAAGGGACTTAGGGGTGGAGCCCCAAATGGGGAAGTTAGTCAATATTTTGCTTCAAAATGCTACTCTTTCTTAATGCTTGCATGAATTTCAACCAAATTTGGTCTGAGACATCATTGAGAGTAGACAAACATTTCTTAAATTCAAAAAATTGATTTGACCCCTTACTAATTAAATGAAAATTAGAATATATATAGATTCATGTAGTAATTTTTACATGTCATTATAATATTGGTCACACAACTATTTTACTGCTTGGAAATCATATGTTGTAAAATCAGACATTCAATAAAATCATGTTTTTGTACTGCACAATAAGATAGGCAGAATATGGCCACACCAATTATTTAGGTTTTATAGATTGTTTTTATTCTTATTTACTTTCCAGATCGTCAACCTTGGTACTAATCAACTGACCTCGCTGAAAGGTCTCGGCAAATCCAGGTATATTATCTATAATTCTATCATTCTAATAACCAAGTCCAGGTATATTATCTATAATTCTATCATTCTAATACCCAAGTCCAGGTATATTATCTATCATTCTTATACCCAAGTCTAGGTATATTATCTATAATTCTATCATTCTAATACCCAAGTCCAGGTATATTATCTATAATTCTATCATTCTTATACCCAAGTCTAGGTATATTATCTATAATTCTATCATTCTAATACCCAAGTCCAGGTATATTATCTATAATTCTGTCATTCTAATAGCCAAGTCCAGGTATATTATCTATAATTCTGTCATTCTAATAGCCAAGTCCAGGTATATTATCTATAATTCTGTCATTTTAATAGCCAAGTCCAGGTATATTATCTATAATTCTGTCATTCTAATACCCAAGTCCAGGTATATTATCTATAATTCTGTCATTCTTATACACCCAAGTCCAGGTATATTATCTATATTCTGTCATTCATACCCAAGTCCAGGTATATTATCTATAATTCTGTCTAATACCCAAGTCTAGGTATATTATCTATAATTCCAAGTCCAGGTATATTATCTATAATTCTGTCATTCTAATACCCAAGTCCAGGTATATTATCTATAATTCTATCATTCTAATACCCAAGTCCAGGTATATTATCTATAATTCTGTCATTCTAATACCCAAGTCCAGGTATATTATCTATCATTCTTATACCCAAGTCCAGGTATATTATCTATAATTCTGTCATTCTAATACCCAAGTCCAGGTATATTATCTATAATTCTGTCATTCTAATACCCAAGTCCAGGTATATTATCTATAATTCTGTCATTCTAATAGCCAAGTCCAGGTATATTATCTATAATTCTGTCATTCTAATACCAAGTCCAGGTATATTATCTATAATTCTATCATTCTAATACCCAAGTCCAGGTATATTATCTATAATTCTATCATTCTAATACCCAAGTCCAGGTATATTATCTATAATTCTATCATTCTAATACCCAAGTCCAGGTATATTATCTATAATTCTGTCATTCTAATACCCAAGTCCAGGTATATTATCTATAATTCTGTCATTCTAATACCCAAGTCCAGGTATATTATCTATAATTCTGTCATTCTAATACCCAAGTCCAGGTATATTATCTATAATTCTGTCATTCTAATACCCAAGTCTAGGTATATTATCTATAATTCTGTCATTCTTATACACCCAAGTCCAGGTATATTATCTATAATTCTGTCATTCTTATACACCCAAGTCCAGGTATATTATCTATAATTCTATCATTCTAATACCCAAGTCCAGGTATATTATCTATAATTCTGTCATTCTAATACCCAAGTCTAGGTATATTATCTATAATTCTATCATTCTAATACCCAAGTCCAGGTATATTATCTATAATTCTATCATTCTAATACCCAAGTCCAGGTATATTATCTATAATTCTGTCATTCTAATACCCAAGTCCAGGTATATTATCTATAATTCTATCATTCTTATACCCAAGTCCAGGTATATTATCTATAATTCTATCATTCTAATACCCAAGTCCAGGTATATTATCTATAATTCTATCATTCTAATACCCAAGTCCAGGTATATTATCTATAATTCTATCATTCTAATACCCAAGTCTAGGTATATTATCTATAATTCTATCATTCTAATACCCAAGTCCAGGTATATTATCTATAATTCTGTCATTCTTATACACCCAAGTCCAGGTATATTATCTATAATTCTATCATTCTAATACCCAAGTCAAGGTATATTATCTATAATTCTGTCATCATACCCAAGTCTATATTATCTATAATTCTGTCAAGTACCCAAGTCCAGTATATTATCTATAATTCTATCATTCTAATACCCAAGTCCAGGTATATTATCTATAATTCTATCATTCTAATACCCAAGTCCAGGTATATTATCTATAATTCTATCATTCTAATACCCAAGTCAGGTATATTATCTATAATTCTATCATTCTATACCCAAGTCCATATATTATCCCAAGTCCAGGTATATTATCTATAATTCTATCATTCTAATACCCAAGTCAGGTATATTATCTATAATTCTATAGTCCAGGTATATTATCTATAATTCTGTCATTCTAATAGCCAAGTCCAGGTATATTATCTATAATTCTGTCATTCTAATACCCAAGTCCAGGTATATTATCTATAATTCTATCATTCTAATACCCAAGTCCAGGTATATTATCTATAATTCTGTCATTCTAATACCCAAGTCCAGGTATATTATCTATCATTCTAATACCCAAGTCAAGGTATATTATCTATAATTCTATCATTCTAATAGCCAAGTCCAGGTATATTATCTATAATTCTGTCATTCTAATACCCAAGTCCAGGTATATTATCTATAATTCTATCATTCTAATACCCAAGTCCAGGTATATTATCTAAATTCTATCCAGGTATATTATCTATAATTCTATCATTCTAATACCCAAGTCCAGGTATATTATCTATAATTCTATCATTCTAATACCCAAGTCCAGGTATATTATCTATAATTCTGTCATTCTAATACCCAAGTCCAGGTATATTATCTATAACTCTATCATTCTAATAGCCAAGTCAAGGTATATTATCTATAATTCTGTCATTCTTATACCTAAGTCCAGGTATATTATCTATAATTCTATCATTCTTATACCCAAGTCCAGGTATATTATCTATAATTCTATCATTCTAATAGCCAAGTCCAGGTATATTATCTATAATTCTGTCATTCTAATACCCAAGTCAAGGTATATTATCTATAATTCTATCATTCTAATAGCCAAGTCCAGGTATATTATCTATAATTCTATCATTCTAATAGCCAAGTCTAGGTATATTATCTATAATTCTATCATTCTTATACCCAAGTCCAGGTATATTATCTAGATTTGTATCATTTGTACTCTTGAGTTGAGATGTTTAGTGTATATAATTCTCATGTCAACATATGTGTTAAAACCATATTGACTGAATGACAACTATGAAACATTCCCACTATGCTCATGGAAATCTCCACTGATTGATGATAGTAGTATTTGCACCATAATGTTATGACATTATGATGCTGTATTTAGGACAGATGTGATTTCGTGTACCAGAATTGAAGAGGCAATTAACATTTAGCCCCCTTTCTAATCTTATGTTATAGAGTCTTTCTGTATGGACGGAAACAAATAGAAAATTGTATATTTCAGATCTATACAGGAAATTCATGCTGCTGAGAACAAGCTGACAGAACTCTCCTACTTTCCGACCAACTTTCCCAAATTAGAGATTGTCAACATTACAGATAGCTGTATAGAAGACTTTGATGAAGTGGTAAGTAAGATAGGTAAACTTTGATGATGTGTTAAGTAAGAAAGGAATACTTTGATGAAGTGGTAAGTAAGATAGGTATACTTTGATGAAGTGGTAAGTAAGAAAGGAATACTTTGATGAAGTGGTAAGTAAGATAGGTAAACTTTGATGAAGTGGTAAGTAAGATAGGTAAACTTTGATGAAGTGGTAAGTAAGATAGGAATACTTTGATGAAGTGGTAAGTAAGATAGGTATACTTTGATGAAGTGGTAAGTAAGATAGGTAAACTTTGATGAAGTGGTAAGTAAGATAGGAATACTTTGATGAAGTGGTAAGTCAGATAGGTATACTTTGATGAAGTGGTAAGTAACACAGGTAAACTTTGATGAAGTGGTAAGTACGATAGGTAAACTTTGATGAAGTGGTAAGTAAGATAGGTAAACTTTGATGAAGTGGTAAGTAAGATAGGAATACTTTGATGAAGTGGTAAGTAAGATAGGAATACTTTTGATAAAGTGGTAAGTAAGATAGGTAAACTTTGATGAAGTGGTAAGTACGATAGGTATACTTTGATGAAGTGGTAAGTAAGATAGGTAAACTTTGGTGAAGTAGTAAGTAAGATAGGTATACTTTGATGAAGTGGTAAGTACGATAGTTAAACTTTGATGAAGTGTAAATATGACAGGTAAACTTTGATGAAGTGGTAAGTTTGATAGGTAAACTTTGATGAAGTGGTAAGTAAGATAGGTAAACTTTGGTGAAGTGGTAAGTAAGATAGGTATACTTTGATGAAGTGGTAAGTACGATAGTTAAACTTTGATGAAGTGTAAATATGATAGGTAAACTTTGGTGAAGTGGTAAGTAAGATAGGTATACTTTGATGAAGTGGTAAGTATGATAGTTAAACTTTGATGAAGTGTAAATATGATAGGTAAACTTTGGTGAAGTGGTAAGTAAGATAGGTATACTTTGATGAAGTGGTAAGTACGATAGTTAAACTTTGATGAAGTGTAAATATGATAGGTAAGCGTTGGTGAAGTGGTAAGTAAGATAGGAATAATTTGATGAAGTAGTAAGTAAGATAGGTAAACTTTGATGAAGTGGTAAGTAAGATAGGTAAACTTTGATGAAGTGGTAAGTAAGATAGGTAAACTTTGGTGAGTACTTTGGTAAGTACGATAGTTAAACTTTGATGAAGTGTAAATATGACAGGTAAACTTTGGCGAAGTGGTAAGTAAGATAGGAAAACTTTGATGAAGTGGTAAGTAAGATAGGAAAACTTTGATTAAGTGGTAACTACAATAGGTTAACTTTGATGAAGTGGTAAATAAGATAGTTTAACTTTGATGAAGTGGTAAGTACAATCTGTTCCTTTTATTCATGACTTTTATACTGTCCAGGAATCAATGAACAGTATTTATAGATAGCAACATTCAAGTGAAGCTCTGTCTGTGAACCATAACCATGAATATTACATAAGGTGATATGGACGTCTGCATTGAATGTCCACACACTAATTAGTATCGTCTTTAATAGGAATGGATGTTGATGATACCGAGGTGTGAGGGTAAGACTGGTAAAATGTACTTAATGTGGTCATTGAGATTTGCTTTATGTTCATTGGCTGCAACTTCCAGGCAAACGCTAATGAAAAATGCATGGAAGACCATAAACAAACCGGAGAAAGTTTGTGAATGTGAAATCAAACCTGTATTATTACTGGCCAATATTGTGATGTGCTTTTCCACACAATAAAAAAAATCTTTTGTGTCCATCCAAAGTAAGAATTCAATAAAATGATAAAGATAGATTTAATATGTTGGGCTGAGATAACAGGGTTTTTAGTTTATTGATATATCCAGATGTCCCAGAACTTCAAGTGAACACATCGCAAGGTGTCTGTGTCTGTACTACTGAGTGTATAGATTGATATTTATACATATTTACCTTTGAAATCAATATTAAAATTGAACGGTATTATGCTGAATCATCATTTTCTCCATATGCTGTAATTAAAGAAGTATTGATTTCCTCGACCAATCTCGGGTTAGGACAGCATTATATTTGAACAAGAATTGTGAAAAAGGCTGTTAATTATTTTTGCAGTATTATCTGGAAGAGTTAAGTGAACTAGCAGAACTCTTTATTGCTGGAAATCCATTCTCTGATCCTGATGGACAGCACACTCACTATATGGCTGAGATTCAAGTCATCCTCCCAAACCTGGAGATTTTGGATGGGGTAGGTTTTGGTAGTAACAGTGTTAGAGTTTCCATAGTAACAGTAACCTACATCATACCTGTAGGTATCTATGGCAACAATCACTAGACCTATAACCATAGTAACAGTAACATATATCATATCTGTAGGTATCTATGGCAACATTCACTAGATTTATATCCATAGTAACGGTAATAAACATCATACCTGTAGGTATCTATAGCAACAGTCACTAGATCTATAACCATAGTAACAGTAACATACATTATACCTGTAGGTATCTATGGCAACAGTCACTAGATCTATAACCATAGTAACAGTAACCTACATCATACCTGTAGGTATCTATGGCAACAGTCACTAGATCTATAACCATAGTAACAGTAATAAACATTATATCTGTAGGTATATCTGGTAACATTCTAAAACTTAAGTTATGTTGGTAAAGTTTTGTGGTGAATATCACACTCGCTGAGAATGACATGGTTGAATGAGAGGTAGGATGTGTTTAGACAAGGGATTCTTCTGTATTGAACACATATTCAGATAAAATGTTGAACATTTTTTTAAAATCAAGTTTCAAGGTTTTAGTTTGCACATTTTGTGATTTTCAGGCTCATGTGAAGAGAACAGCCCAGAAAGGTGCTCCTTTGATGCGCCCAATGTCTGCCTCAACTAGTAAGTGTACAGTGTATAGGACATACTAGTTTTGTGTTAGTTAGAGTTAAACTAATGAATTGTTATTTTGTGTTTCCTGCTCTGTACAGGTTATCTGGTCTCACTCAACACAGTGGCACTGTTATGTTCCTCCACAAAAAGCTTTTCCTGTGTTTCTTGAAGGAACACTTACATTTTCATAATTTATGCATTTATTTAGTATCAGTTATCTGCTTCAGTTCGATTTGGAATCATTCCCAAAATTCACTGTGGTTACCATTGGTTAAAATTCAAGACGTAAGTGATTTCTGTGAAATAGAGGATTTTGCATAAATTTCTGTGGTGGATCTCATTTATGCTTAAAACTGCTTCCACAATCTGATGGGCTGATAGATTCTAGGTTTACCAGGAAACTGGTTTGTTGTATATTCTGCCCAAGGGATGAAATCGTGGAGGAAGATGTTTGAGAGTGCTGGAATTTGACTACTCAAGTCTCTCTGTAAACCTCCCACACTTGATTCACAAAGAATATATATATTTGGTTATATGATTTAGAAGAGGTTGTAAAAGTTGTGTATTGTGTAAGGTATACATTCCCTGGTGTAAAATACTGACTTCCAGTCCAGTGTTCTAATGTGTTTCAGTCAGGCAGCTGTTCAGCTAATTTGCTCAAAATTCAATTAAGTAATTGGTCATATATGTATTAGTTGCCAAACAAGTGGCCCGGTTCAATATCTCTCACGGTCAAGGGACCAGCACTACAACCCCATTTCTGAAATACATTCATTATTGACCATCCATACAACACTGAAAACTTGTCACCCAGCAGTAGTTTTACTGCTATTTTCATTATTTTTTTTCTCGTCAGTTTTAAGGGTTAAAAGTTGAGCCATCTCACAATAAACATATCACTTGTCTATAGGTGAAACACGGAACTTTTCTTTAAAGTGAGCTTATCGCAATTAGGAAATTTTCTGAGAGTTACAGCCTTGAAACCATATTTCAAAAAACCTTGTAAGCACAATTCTCCAGCAGTTGTAGTTGGTTTGGTGAGATAACCCTATAATGGAACCTGTAAGAAAGAAGTTAATGATTTGATCATTCGTCCTTGAGAACAGAGCTTTATATTTTTGCTATATTTCCATGAGATTGTAAATCATGGAGTTCCTATTGAATTTACATCGCCACTGATTTTCTCCTGTATTTTCAGTTATCAGTGTACGACAGGTTGAAACACAAATGAAGTCTTCTGATAATGAGATGAAAAATTTGGAGAGCAGTATTCTTAAAAAGTAAGTTATCAACAAGTACTCCTATCAAACTTATTCTAAACTTTTTCATTCTTTTCTTTTTATGTCTCAGGAACACAGAATAACAATAATAATCCTTAATAAACATGTTTTCTTCAAACGTTTATTTCATATATCATTAGATACTAACAGTACTACATTAAATCACTTCTGGCTTGGTGTCAACTGGTCAAGTAGCTAAAGTACATAAGTATCATTTTAGTATCATTAAGTATTATGTCTGACATAGAAATTTAAATCTAGTCACCACTTAGAAGATCTAGTCATTGGTGTGTAGATCTAGTCATTGGTGTGTAGATCTAGTCATTGGTGTGTAGATCTAGTCACCGGTGTGTAGATCTAGTCATTGGTGTGTAAATCTAGTCATTGGTGTGTAGATCTAGTCACCGGTGTGTAGATCTAGTCATTGGTGTGTAGATAATAGTAATAGATGAAGTAACTGGCTTGGTGTCAGTAATAGATGTAGTAACTGGCTTGATGTCAGTAATAGATGAAGTAACTGGCTTGATGTCAGTAATAGATGTAGTAACTGGCTTGATGTCAGTAATAGATGTAGTAACTGGCTTGGTGTCAGTAATAGATGTAGTAACTGGCTTGATGTCAGTAATAGATGTAGTAACTGGCTTGGTGTCAGTAACAGATGTAGTAACTGGCTTGATGTCAGTAATAGATGTAGTAACTGGCTTGATGTCAGTAATAGATGTAGTAACTGGCTTGATGTCAGTAATAGATGAAGTAACTGGCTTGATGTCAGTAATAGATGTAGTAACTGGCTTGATGTCAATATCTCATTAAGATCTTTCTGTGGTGTCCTGACTACAATATCTCATTAAGATCAACTGTAGCCCAGTGTGGACACAAACTCTCAAATCAAATTTTCTGTGGTATCCTGACTACAATGATCTTTCTGTGGTACAATATTAATATCTCATTAAGATCTTTCTGTAGTGTCCTGACTACAATTTCTGATTAAGATCTTTCTGTGGTATCCTGACTACAATATCTCATTAAGATCTTTCTGTGGTGTCCTGACTACAATATCTCATTAAGATCTTTCTGTGGTGTCCTGACTACAATATCTCATTAAGATCTTTCTGTGGTATCCTGACTACAATATCTCATTAAGATCTTTCTGTGGTATCTCATTAAGATCTTTCTGTGGTATCCTGACTACAATATCTCATTAAGATCTTTCTGTGGTATCCTGACTACAATATCTCATTAAGATCTTTCTGTGGTACCCTGACTACAATATCTCATTAAGATCTTTCTGTGGTATCCTGACTACAATATCTCATTAAGATCTTTCTGTGGTATCCTGACTACAATATCTCATTAAGATCTTTCTGTGGTGTCCTCTACAATATCTCATTAAGATCTTTCTGACTACAATATCTCATTAAGATCTTTCTGTGGTACTACAATATCTGACTACAATATCTCTCATTAAGATTTCTTTCTGTGGTGTCCTGACTACAATATCTCATTAAGATCTTTCTGTGGTGTCCTGACTACAATATCTCATTAAGATCTTTCTGTGGTATCCTGACTACAATATCTCATTAAGATCTTTCTGTGGTATCCTGACTACAATATCTCATTAAGATCTTTCTGTGGTATCCTGACTACAATATCTCATTAAGATCTTTTTGTTGTGTTCTGACTTGATTATCTCATTAAGATCTTTCTGTGGTATCCTGACTACAATATCTCATTAAGATCTTTCTGTGGTATCCTGACTACAATATCTCATTAAGATCTTTCTGTGGTATCCTGACTACAATATCTCATTAAGATCTTTCTGTGGTATCCTGACTACAATATCTCATTAAGATCTTTCTGTGGTACCCTGACTACAATATCTCATTAAGATTTCTTTCTGTGGTGTCCTGACTACAATATCTCATTAAGATCTTTCTGTGGTATCCTGACTACAATATCTCATTAAGATCTTTCTGTGGTATCCTGACTACAATATCTCATTAAGATCTTTCTGTGGTGTCCTGACTACAATATCTCATTAAGATCTTTCTGTGGTATCCTGACTACAATATCTCATTAAGATCTTTCTGTGGTACCCTGACTACAATATCTCATTAAGATTTCTTTCTGTGGTATAATGACTACAATTTCTCATTAAGATCTTTCTGTGGTATCCTGACTACAATATCTCATTAAGATCTTTCTGTGGTATCCTGACTACAATATCTCATTAAGATCTTTCTGTGGTACCCTGACTACAATATCTCATTAAGATCTTTCTGTGGTATCCTGACTACAATATCTCATTAAGATCTTTCTGTGGTACCCTGACTACAATATCTCATTAAGATCTTTCTGTGGTATCCTGACTACAATATCTCATTAAGATCTTTCTGTGGTGTCCTGACTACAATATCTGCATTAAGATCTTTCTGTGTACCTGTACACAATATCTCATTAAGATTAAGATAAGTTGCAAATTCTTAGATAATTAAGTTGTAAAATTATGATTGAAGACAAAGTTGGACTCTGGACTGTACAATATTGTCTTAAAACTTACACAACTGACTACAATTAATTCAATTGTTTATAGGAGAGCAAGAGACTATAATATTGTGAATGTCTTATGATAAACTCCTGTCAGCATACTCACAATTGTTTGTCTAGAGCCTAAGGACCTGATTACTGTCACCGTTCATTAGTTTTCTAATGTAATTTCATGGTTTTAGTTCCATGGTAATTGTTTTTCTGTTCATGATTGGATTCTTCTCATTAATTTCAATAACTATGATAATTATACAATAAATCCAAACATAGTGACATGAAGTTTAAAGTCCAATTCACATTACAAAGATATTACTTGTCAGCCATTTACGAGTGCTCCGTTGTTATATCTGTTATCTAATTTTGAAAAAGTTTATTTTCTTTAAAAATCCAGGATTTTAAAATGATGTTGCAGCTCCGAGATAGCTGGTTAGAGAATCTGTACAGTGTGACATAGTCTAAAGTTCTTTGTCTTAATTCCATGTGATTTGTTCTGTCTTGATGGCATTTAGCATCCTTGCAACAGTTAGTGTTAGATTTGTGCTGTGTTTTGGTGGGACACTGAGAGTGAGAAATACACTACAAAAAATGGAGCAGAAAAAAGAAGAAATAAAAATATGAAGACCCCAAGTATTGTAATGGGGCAGCAGACATGTCATTATCTCTTCAATGTCTCCATAGTAACAAACATAGAAGAAAACCTCTTGATTCTACAGGGGTCAACTTTTAGTCATTACATATTAACATCTTAGGCTGTCTGATGTCCTGTACATAGAAAACATCAAAGAGTGCACACTGAGTGCCCTACAATTAAACCCCTATAACAACATACATTGAGATACAGTAGACATGTTCATTCGCTATCTCCTGTATGGCTGCTGACCCATAGCTTAACAAAGAATAACACATTAATATTTACAAAGCTTATTGTAGATTATATACCCGATATTTTGACTGTTGCCAGAATAAGGATGACACATTTTATGTTTTCTCAGGCTGATTTGATTCTCCTAGAATGATGGATGTATCAGTGTGTGTTTGGTGAGGTAATCACTTTTTTTGAAAGGATAGCAATGTCTAGTGTGATTGTCAAGTTCAAATCTCAAACTATTGAGTGTGGTTAGCTCCCTTTGGCAGGACTCTCTAAAGAGAGATTTGTTTGCATTATTCAGTGTGGTTGGTTAACTCCTTGGTTTGACTCTTTAAATAAAGGTTCAAATGTACAATTTTAGCATGCTTGTCTGCCTAAAGTTTGATTCTCAAAGAGAGGATCAAGTGTACTATTGAGTGTTTTTCTTTTGGCTTGAATCTCTGAAGGATTGTACAAATGTAATGTTGCGTGTAATTGTTTCCTTGTAGACTGGCTCTCTAAAAAAATATCTCCTAAATTCCAATCTAAAAGTACAAATTTTCATAATTATCTCCATAACTTTTTATCTAAGTTACCATGACTGTCTTCAATAGGCATGAATATTAAAATATAATTATCTCCCTTAGGTTTGACTCGATAAGAGAGATGTATGAGACATTGCCAGAGAGACCACTTTCACCACTCACAGCTGAGAATTCATTGGATGGCCAGCGGAAAACTCGCAGGTCAGTAAAATTGTGCTGAATGAAATCAAAGACCTGATGAAATAAGAACAAATCTTTTGTAGAAAGCTTTGTTTTCATGTTACACATAACAGAGAGCTTCTTAGTACCATACATGTTTTCATGTTTTCAGTTAAGATTTTAGTGTGTAGTTGACAATTATTCAGACTTTCTTTTTTTCCCTTCTTATTTCTAGCTCACAATGCCTGAAGGGCAAAGTAACTTTATGGGATACCGTCCATTGTCCTTCTGTCAACTTTTTCTACAAAATTGCTACTAGTTGTAAACGACTAAGTAGATTTTGACCAAATTTGGTCAGAAGCAACATTTGGGGAAATAGTATAAACAGTAGTTTTGGGTCTGTAGAATGGACCAAATAGGTGAAATAGAGAAAATTCTTTAAAATCATACTCCTCCTGAAGGATTGATTGAAATTTGCTCTAATTCGGTCTTAAGCATTCTTAGATGAAGGTGAATGGTTTTTTTGTATAAAGATGGGTTTTGGTTTCCTGTGGCGGGCTCAGAAGGTAATAGAGCCTAATATCCTACTCCAGTTCTAGGAATGATTGGATTTTGCCCAAATTTGGTCAGAAGCATTTTTGGGTAAAGGGGAATTTATTTCATACAAAATGTAGGTCCTTGGCCCCTGAGCAAGAGAAGTGGGGCATTATAAGGGAAATAGTGCAAATACTTTGAAATTGTTTTTCTTCTGTAGGAATGCCCGAATATTGTCCCAATTTGGTCTGAAGCATCTTTGGGTGAAGGGGAATTAATTTGTATAAATGTCGGGCCTTGGTTCACCATGGATGGGAGAGGTAGGGCTGAGTATTCTCTGATATCCTTATGATGTATAAATGTCAGCACTGTTTTGTCCAAAAATGTTAGGGATGGGGCCCAAATGGGAGTAACTTGTAACTCTTTAGAATCCCTTTCCTTTCATTTGGATAAATTATTAAATTGAGCAATTGAGCTGAGTGATACAGGCCCTATAGGCCTCTCCTTTTTCCTTTTATTTATTCAAGTCTTGCATTTAGCTCCACATTCAAATCAATTTCTCTCTAAATGCATAACTATCCTAATGAACCATGCAATATACTTATATCTATATATAACCATCTAAATACACATTTTACATTCTGAACCATGCAATATACTTATAACTATATATAACCATCTAAATACACATTTTACATTCTGAACCATGCAATATACTTATAACTATATATAACCATCTAAATACACATTTTACATTCTGAACCATGCAATATACTTATATCTATATATAACCATCTAAATACACATTTTACATTCTGAACCATGCAATATACTTATATCTATATATAACCATCTAAATACACATTTTACATTCTGAACCATGCAATATACTTATATCTATATATAACCATCTAAATACACATTTTACATTCTGAACCATGCAATATACTTATATCTATATATAACCATCTAAATACACATTTTACATTCTGAACCATGCAATATACTTATATCTATATATAACCATCTAAATACACATTTTACATTCTGATTTTTACTTACAGGTTACAGTTTATTGGGCTTGTTGAACCATATTGAAGATTTCATTTCAGCTTAGTGTTGGGCTTAATTTATCTCAAAGTATACGCACTGGCATAACCAGATCTGTAATATACATGTACTATATATAACCATCCCAACATATATTTCAGATTCTGAATTTCATAATTCATCGTTTACAGTTAATTGTTTTTTCCAATTAGGTGTGTCATGTTAAAGGTTTTTTATTGAGCTCTACATTGATTTCACTTTCTCTCTCCAAACATATTTACCTAATCCTGATGATTATGAAGGCATGAGACATATAATTACACAGAGTTCCTGTTCTTTTCAGTGTCTTAAACTGCATGCTTTGCTTTATTTTATTTCATTTTTTTTTTAGATAATTGTTATTTGTGTTTTTTTCTTGCAGTCGAGCAAGAATACAAGATGCCATGAAATTTGCTGCAGAAAATTTTTAAAGAAATCAATTCACCTAAAGGATTTTCTCTGTGTTATAAGATTAGAGAAAATTAACTTTCAGATTACTACATGATTTAATTATCTTAGAAAATATGTATCAAAAATGTAATGTCACAAATGAATTTACATTCATTCCTTGTAGGAAATATGACAACCACAGAATGAGTTTGTTAGGAGTGGAGTAATGTGTGTTGGCACATCTTAAAGTATTATTGCACCCAAAAATGTTAATGAAAAGCTGAATCTAAAACTTAAAAGTTACTCAGTGTTTGTGTAAACTATAAATTGTCACTGTATCAAAAAGGCCATCATTTTCACGTACTGAGTAGGTGGACAAGAACAGTTGTGATAAGAAATGTGAGAAATACAAGTCTGATGAGATATGTAAGGACAGATCTAATGAGATGTGTAAGTATAGGCTTATGAGAGGTTAAGTATAGGCCTATGAGATGTGTAAGTATAGGCCTATGAGATGTGTCAGGACAGATCTGATGAGATGTGTAAGTATAGGCCTATGAGATGTGTAAGGACAGATCTAATGAGATGTGTAAGTATAGGCCTATGAGAGGTGTAAGTATAGGCCTATGAGATGTGTCAGGACAGATCTGATGAGATGTGTAAGTATAGGCCTATGAGATGTGTAAGGACAGATCTAATGAGATGTGTAAGTATAGGCCTATGAGAGGTGTAAGGACAGATCTAATGAGATGTGTAAGTATAGGCCTATGAGAGGTGTAAGTATAGGCCTATGAGATGTGTAAGGACAGATCTAATGAGATGTGTAAGTATAGGCCTATGAGAGGTGTAAGTATAGGCCTATGAGATATGTAAGGACAGATCTGATGAGATGTGTAAGTATAGGCCTATGAGAGGTGTAAGTATAGGCCTATGAGATGTGTAAGTATAGGCCTATGAGAGGTGTAAGTATAGGCCTATGAGATGTGTAAGGACAGGTCTGATGAGATGTGTAAGTATAGGCTTATGAGAGATAGGCCTATGAGATGTGTAAGTATAGGCCTATGAGAGGTTTAAGTATAGGCCTATGAGATGTGTAAGGACAGATCTGATGAGATGTGGAAGTATAGGCCTGTGAGAGGTGTAAGTATAGGCCTATGAGATGTGTAAGGACAGATCTGATGAGATGTGTAAGTATAGGCCTATGAGATGTGTAAGGACAGATCTGATGAGAGGTGTAAGTATAGGCCTGTGAGAGGTGTAAGTATAGGCCTATGAGATGTGTAAGTATAGGCCTATGAGAGGTGTAAGTATAGGCCTATGAGATGTGTAAGTATAGGCCTATGAGATGTGTAAGGACAGATCTAATGAGATGTGTAAGTATAGGCCTATGAGAGGTGTAAGTATAGGCCTATGAGATATGTAAGGACAGATCTGATGAGATGTGTAAGTATAGGCCTATGAGAGGTGTAAGTATAGGCCTATGAGATGAGATGTGGAAGTATAGGCCTGTGAGAGGTGTAAGGACAGATCTGATGAGATGTGGAAGTATAGGCCTGTGAGAGGTGTAAGTATAGGCCTATGAGAGGTGTAAGGACAGATCTGATGAGATGTGGAAGTATAGGCCTGTGAGAGGTGTAAGTATAGGCCTATGAGATGTGTAAGGACAGGTCTGATGAGATGTGTAAGTATAGGCTTATGAGAGATAGGCCTATGAGATGTGTAAGTATAGGCCTATGAGAGGTTTAAGTATAGGCCTATGAGATGTGTAAGGACAGATCTGATGAGATGTGGAAGTATAGGCCTATGAGAGGTGTAAGTATAGGCCTATGAGATGTGTAAGTATAGTCTTATGAGATATGTAAGTATAGGCCTATGAGAGGTGTAAGGACAGATCTGATGAGATGTGTAAGTATAGGCCTATAAGAGGTGTAAGTATAGGCCTATGAGATGTGTAAGGACAGATCTGATGAGATGTGTAAGTATAGGCCTATGAGAGGTGTAAGTATAGGCCTATGAGATGTGTAAGGACAGATCTGATGAGATGTGTAAGTATAGGCCTATGAGAGGTGTAAGTATAGGCCTATGAGATGTGTAAGTATAGGCCTGTGAGAGGTGTAAGTATAGGCCTATGAGATGTATAAGTATAGGCCTGTGAGAGGTGTAAGTATAGGCCTATGAGATGTGTAAGTATAGGCCTGTGAGTGGTGTAAGTATAGGCCTATGAGATGTGTAAGGACAGGTGTGATGAGAATTATAAGAACAGGTCTGATTGAGATGTGTAAGTATAGGCCTATGAGAGGTGTAAGGACAGGTCTGATGAGATGTGTAAGGACAGGTCTGATGAGATGTGTAATGACAGGTCTGATGAGATGTGTAAGGACAGGTCTGATGAGATGTGTAAGGACAGGTCTGACGAGATGTGTAAGGACAGATCTGTTGTAAAGTGTAAGGACAGATCTGTTGTAAAGTGTAAGCACAGATCAGTTTTAGAGTGTAAGGACAGATCTGGTGTAGAGTGTAAGGACAGATCTGGTGTAGAGTGTAATCACAGATCTGTTGTAGAGTGTAAAGACAGATCTGTTGTAGAGTGTAATCACAGATCTGTTGTAGAGTGTAAGGACAGATCTGTTGTAGAGTGTAAGGACAGATCTGTTGTAGAGTGTAAGGACAGATATGTTGTAGAGTATAAGCACAGATCTGTTGTAGAGTGTAAGGACAGATCTGTTGTAGAGTGTAAGGACAGATATGTTGTAGAGTGTAAGCACAGATCTGGTGTAGAGTGTAAGGACAGATCTGTTGTAGAGTGTAAGGACAGATATGTTGTAGAGTGTAAGCACAGATCAGTTTTAGAGTGTAAGGACAGATCTGGTGTAGAGTGTAATCACAGATCTGTTGTAGAGTGTAAAGACAGATCTGTTGTAGAGTGTAAGGACAGATATGTTGTAGAGTGTAAGGACAGATCTGTTGTAGAGTGTAAGGACAGATCTGTTGTAGAGTGTAAGGACAGATATGTTGTAGAGTGTAAGCACAGATCAGTTTTAGAGTGTAAGGACAGATCTGTTGTAGTGAGTAAGGACAGATCTGTTGTTAAGTGTAAGGACAGATCTGTTGTAGAGAGTAAGGACAGATCTGTTGTAGAGTGTAAGGGCAGATCTGTTGTAGAGAGTAAGGACAGATCTGTTGTAGAGTGTAAGGACAGATATGTTGTAGAGTGTAAGGACAGATATGTTGTAGAGTGTAAGGACAGATCTTTTGTAGAGTGTAAGGACAGATCTGTTGTAGAGTGTAAGGACAGATCTGTTGTAGAGTGTAAGGACAGATCTGTTGTAGAGTGTAAGGACAGATCTTTTGTAGAGTGTAAGGACAGATCTGTTGTAGAGTGTAAGGACAGATCTGTTGTAGAGTGTAAGGACAGATCTGTTGTAGAGTGTAAGGACAGATCTGTTGTAGAGTGTAAGGACAGATATGTTGTAGAGTGTAAGGACATATCTTTTGTAGAGTGTAAGGACAGATCTGTTGTAGAGTGTAAGGACAGATCTATTGTAGAGTGTAAGGACAGATCTGTTGTAGAGTGTAAGGACAGATCTGTTGTAGAGTGTAAGGACAGATCTGTTGTAGAGTGTAATCACAGGTCTGTTGTAGAGTGTAAGGACAGATCTATTGTAGAATGTAATCACAGATCTGTTGTAGAGTGTAATCACATATCTGTTGTAGAGTGTAATCACAGATCTAATATGAATCCTGTAGGTATAACACAGGCTATCACATCTTGATTTGTGAAATAACTATTAGACTTACATGCTACTGAAATGCTCGTGATAGGCTTGTTTAAACAAGTGTAAATCATAAAGGATTTTGTATCAGTTACCTGTTAATTGTTTGAGAAACATGTAGACACACGTATTTTATTGAAATAAGCACTAGTTTTATTTCATGCATGGTCATCATGTTATGTGTACTTGAAGAAGTTAACAGCTGTTATTTTAATAAACAATTTTTTTCAATTAGATATCTTGTGATTATTTTTCACACTGTCCCTTTCATTCCCACTCACAAAATAGGTAAGAAACGGGATGCCTTTGACTCGTTTTGTTTTTACTCTTTTGTCCTTCCGTATTTTCAAACCCTTTTTAAACTTCCGTAAGTCTTTTGACTCGTATGTCCATCTCTATTTTTAACCCGATTGACCTTCTGTATGTTTTGACCAGTTTGTCCTTCCGTATGTTTTTGACTCGTTTACCTTCCGTATGTTTTTGACTCGTTTACCTTCCGTATGTTTTGACTCATTTGTCCTTCCGTATGTTTTTGACTCATTTGTCCGTCCGTATGTTTTTGACTCGTTTGTCCTTCCGTATGTTTTTAACTCGTTTGTCCTTCCGTATGTTTTTAACTCGTTTACCTTCCGTATGTTTTTGACTCGTTTTTCATTGTTGACAAATTTGATAAAGCCCAGTTAAGTTCAAATTTTGGATTGCTCAGTCGTATTCGTAACTACAGTGGTTATGATCATTCATTCCGAAAATCTCTTGTAGCTTTTAGGGCAAGATTTGATAATGGTGTCATTTCAAACACCAATGTCACTATTACAAAACAACTTTGATTTTTGCTTTGTTCTGTAAGAAGTTTAATGTTTGTGTCGAGAGACAAATTTTCATGCAAGTTCTTTTGTCTTAGAATTTTTTTTGAGAAATTCATGTCACGTAAATAATAGAAAGTAGAATAAAAGATATATGTCCATTTAGAAATGTACGTTTAAAATGGTTAAACGTGTGATCGTGAATTTACAGGATTAAAACACGAGGGAATACCCATGTGGTTGATACCATCTAGAAGAAGGAAGCATTTCCATAAGAAAAAAAGCCGAATAGTACAACTATGTCATTTTGATATCACAACTGGATATTTGCGATAAACAACCACACTTATTCGTGTCTACCTGGAATGATAGACTCATAGATTCGAATGACATTGGAAATGAGTGTACTTTACTACCTGTTTACTTGCAGACCGAGATTCTTAATCACGACGACATACTGTATCTAGCTCTAATACCTTATATGTAGGGCACTTATTAAATGATATTGAAATACATGCACGTGGGTTTCATATATGCATTTAAGTGTATCAACAGTCGCTTCTGGTCAGCAGAAGAAGGAGATGAATCTCACTGCTAACATGTAAAGGTGTACACACAGGTGTTATCAGTTTGACGTCCGACATTGTGTTGCAGTAAACTTATTCTGTTTTTCAGTCGGAATCGTGACCATTTCGATCAGTTGTTTTATTACCTGCTTAGCTGGCAGAACACAAGCTCTTTCACTGGCTTTCGTCATCCTCCAAAACCAGTCGTTTTGTTCGCAACATCAGAGATATGAGAGTATAACGGATTGCAATAATATATATTTAATAAAATTGCAAACGATACAGACATGGTCCTGGTTTCGCAAACCTTTCTTTAAGGCATTGTTAAATATCTTATAAAAAGGATTAAGGAAAATGTTTTTTTAACTAGCATTGAAACCTTTCTATAAAGTGCAGGACGTATGTATGATGCCAGATTTTAAATCACTACTGTTGCATATAGCAAAATTGAGTTCTAGTCTGTGATGTCTGCTGCAAAAATACCCGCAATATACTTCGCAAAATCAGCAAATGTAGGTGAAATCCCGACACGATGTCAAATTACTTTTAAGACTCTTCTTAGTCAGTAAAAGGGGACAAATGAAAGTTTCCAAATGGCCCTGACTGGTATTCTATGACGTCGTCGTTAATATAACTGCTCTCAGCACTGTTATCGTTCGCCTTCGAATGTCAAGTGCATACATTTCATTTCTGAGAGTGTCTTACGCGTCACAGCAGGTCAGGTGTGATGTGGAATATTTGTGTCAAGTGTATACAATATCTGTAGCCATCTGTTGTCTGGCAGTTAGATCTAGGGTATGCTACTGACTTTCCAAGTCCTAATGTTTATATGGAATGAAAATCTTCTCTCTAGATGGAGCAATCGAGTAAATGATAGGTCTACCCTGTAGTTTTTGGGAGGAGAGTGTTTTCCTGTGGGGAGTCGGTGTACACCAATGACTGGGTCCCAATCGATAGAACTTCCTTAAGGGTAGCCTGAGATTGCATTATATTTTGGCCATGTTCTAACGTCAGACCATTGTTGACATTTCAATAGAAAGCCAAGGTCGATAACGGATGATCTGCCTCCTGAATACTTTGTTTGGCCTTTCTTGTTCAACAAACTCACTACCGAATCAGAATTAGCGATTAGGGACTGCTTCGTCCTTTGTTTGTCCACTCTCCAAGACTCTCTCGTTGAATATATTTTATCGTGATGGTTAGACATTGTTTCGATAGATTCTAAGTATTCTGTGACCCTTTTATGTAAGCATTTGACAGGACTCGACAGAATGCAGATCTAAAACGATGTCCTAGTTTTGTCGTCTTTTTGAACGTTGTAATAGGATATTTTGATATGAACGCCACCATTACAGAAAATGTCTGTTGATAGTTTCGTTTGCGTTTCGTCGACGAAACATTGTTGCATTCGGTTTTTAAAAACATTTTCTGAACAACTTTATTACGAAAACATAGACTAATAATAAAGGACGAAACTGAAGTTACGTTGAAAACCCGGAACTGATAATGCATCAGCGGACGTCATTTAGCGGTAACGGACGTTACATACGGACGGATGTTACTCTGGAATCAATAGCTCTGTCTAGAGAAAGAAATTGAGTTCTACCGACAAACATGGATTGTTAAACCTAGCAAGGATCTACTATGGTGACGTAAAATAATCACAAATAAATTAAAAGTAACAGATTTATTATGCCCTACGGTAATATAGAATAATTGGTAATAAAATGATATTTTCTCACCTGCTGTGATGGAAATTATCAATATTGATGTGAGTGACATTGTCGTCTATACCTGCCTCGAGTCATCAAGTGCTCTTTGTTATTGTCACCGTTCAGTGCTGTCAGAAACCAGAGCCACGCAAGTAACAATTGGTCTTGTGAAAAATCAATAATGATATTAACTGGAAATCCTTTGGTACATTATCAAAGTAAAACGAGATTCTTATACGGCAATAAGTCCCATCATCCCCAGATTATCACCCTCACCCATTCCTTTTATCCTTCTCATTCCATACGCTTTTTCACAGACCTTTCCACCTTGTAAAATAACTTACTTTCCTCGTCTCTCCATCCTTGACATCTTGCCTTCTACATATTTTCAGGTCAATAATTAATGCTATAATTCTCTATCCAAACAATGACTTCACATAATTTCATCTTTAAATCCAGAAAATAAATAAATAAACCTAGTAATATGAACCCGGATCAACCGCTAAGTCTCTTTACAGAAACTGTAATCATTTTATAGCATTACTACAATTCTTATTAATGAACAAAAAATGAAAAGCACTTTAAATTACATCACTACTGACATGATGGTGGTGTAACAAGCCTTGACGAAGCTAACAACTGAGGATAAGTGTATGGAACAGGTTGTGTTCACCCAGCCGCTTAATCACTTCGAAGAAAATTAAGTCCCCTTCAACCAGCCTCTTGTTGCCAATAATGGCAAATCACGACGGGATTGAGAGAAATCTCTTACTTTATGTTTGGGAATAACATGGCTGATCTAACCCCTTCATGCTTTCTGCACAAGTCTAGTGGGTTCCTTTCAAGTGATGTTTGACGATGAAGACGTTCTTGTGCGCTTCTTGTCTGTTTCTTGGGGCAATTAAAGGCTTCGAGTTGTTGACAATGTTTCTATTTAATGTCGTGGATGTTTCATAGTTATCGTAAGTTAGGAAGACTTGAGATTGTTATAAATATGAGGCCTAACATGATTTTCAGGTACTGCCTGATTTTGCATTAGTGTCAGTTTTCTTCCCGATGTTGATAAGTATATTTTTGTTTTTTTGGTTCTTTATTCTGTACGCCCTTTTTACTGACATGTTGTTTCAACAATTGTAAGGACAGTTGAAGTCTCCAGCCAATATCGTATTTCTTCTTTTTGACTGTAAAATCATTTATCAGCCCTTTATCAAGTTCCAGTCTAGGTTGTTTCTGTGCGGCACGTAGAATTATCCTACTATAATGTCCATGTTTCCTCGAATTTCGATTTTCACCTTCTCTACGTCACAGTTTGTAACGAATTCAAGTTGATCTATTTCCACTGACGTGGGGAAATTTTTCACTAAAATGGATTAGTAAGGGGGTTCTGAGGGTTCTTAATGTTTACGTCATATTTGGATGGAAATATTTCACCAAATTTCCATGTGTCCTTTGTTTGGTTCGACACAGGTTTTCAGCTTTCTCAGCCATGATTCTGTCCAACAGACAATATCTGGTTCGATGTTTTCCGGTGTGGTTTCTTCTTCTTTATTTGTCTATGATGCTTCGACAATTTACTGAGAGAATTGTGAGATTGTCGTGATGAGGTAGGTGGAAGACTGGACTTTCGTTGTTTTACTAAGGATTATGATGTTCTTGGTGATTTCATCCTGCTGTTATTTACTACTCGTTATCAACGAGATAATTTCACTTGCAGATGTTACACTCTCTAACGTTGTGTTTAGTTTTGACATTGGTTTGTAGTGGTTGCTACTAAGTATGTAGTTCTGGTCAAGTTTTCACATTTACAGCAGTACCAGTGAACGTTGGATTTCTCAAGTAGGTAGCAATCTCCACTTCACAGTTCATTGCTGGATTTGTAGTGCCCAATACCGCACTCGTCACAGCTGCCCCCTTGATTT